CGATAGGGAGGGGAGCCAGGCAGCCTTGCACTCGTTCTCCAACTCATCAACAATTTGTCATGTGTTCGGGCAAAATGTCATGACAGTGCGAACGCAAGAGCATTTGAAGCTCCGGTTGAAACAGCACTTGTGATGATCCGCAGAATTTCCTAGGTAGTTGAACTTCCGGCAAGCGGCGGTCATTTGGAAGTTCGGAACTATGGTGGATTTTTGGTTACATTCGATTTACCGCTGGATGTTTGGTTACACTTTGACTGTCGCATCAGACATTCAATGATAACAGAGATGGGTGTACAAAGCATTATAATGTGTAAAATCCTTACCATAAGTCTAACAATGATACCAAGTCTCACAAGGATAGTAAGACTTCATAGCTTCACTTCAAGATGACAGCCTTGTTGATCCAGAGTCCATCTCCTCCAGTATTCAAGATTATGTTCTTGGAGCCGGTTCTCACATTCACTAGAGCGCGTATCACTATACAAACGAACATATCGCGTTGACTCTGATTGTTTAAAATTACACTGGGAAATTCATCTGCATCACCACAAGCCTACAAGCCGTTCCACTCAAACCCTGTCTCAACCACAAAGCTGCCGACCAACGGGAGATCATCACAGCTGCCCCCCACCTTGACACCATAAACACCCTTCTCCACCACCCACCTCGCGATCCTCTCCTCCCAGAACGAAACAGCATACTTGTCCAGCGTAAGCGTCACCTTCTCGCTCTGCCCCGGTTGGAGGTCTTTAACTTTGCAGAAGGCGCGCAGGAGCAACGGCGGGTGGGTCACGTCAGACGTGGTGGGCATCGAGACGTACAACTGCACGACTTCAGAGCCTGTGAGCTCTCCAGTGTTTATAACGGTGACGGTGGCGTTCAGGCTCAAATTGCCATTCGAGAGAACAGCCTCAGAAAGTTCCAAGTCCGAGTAAGAGAAGGTTGTGTATGAGAGACCGTGACTGTCGAAGCAAAATCAATCAATATGTTGCTTTTCGTCCAATTGAGACGAAACTGCTCACCCGAACGAGAACTGTGGTTTGATTTTTCTATTATGGAAGTGCTTGTAACCCTGCCAAAGGACTTGAGCGCAAAATAACATTCCCTAAATGAACAGAACTCACCACGAACAGATCCTCGCCGTAACGGAGGGCACCATTCTCAGAAAGGAAGTGCCCGTGTGCAGGGATATCTTCCAATCTCTTAGGGAACGTCAAGGACAACTTGCCCGACGGATTTTTCGCGCCGAACAGAACATCCGCGATTGCATCGCCCGTCGCGTTACCCAGGTACCACGAATGAAGGATAGCAGGAACCGAATCCGCCCACGGAAGCGTTATCGCCGAACCCTAGTAAAAATGCGCATTCAGTTCATTTGGGTCCCAAAACCCCCGTCTCAATGGTACTCACGGATTGGGTCACGACGGCAGTGTTGGGGTTGACCGCTAACACCTTCTCGATCAGCTCATCTGTACGTCCAGGCAGAGCCAATGTCTTCCGATCATTATTCTCAGTCTCCCAATCCCCACTCAGGCCGACAATAGCAATAACCACATCAGCCTTCGTCGCGATCTCCACAGCCTCAGCCATCTTCACGTCCTCATCGATCGCCTCTGCACCACCGAGACGAACACCGGAGGTGCCGTCCATCACCTTCTCCTCTTCATCACCATCTGCTGGTGCGCGGACGTTACAGAACTCGACGAGGATGTCATGTTTGACGCCTGCCTTGAGTGACACGCGGCCCTTTTCTTCCATAGAACCATAGCCAAAGAAGGTTTGGCCACGGCGTTGGCGTGTCCAGTTATCAATGACGAGTTTATCATCCACGAAGAGCTACGAACGTCAATATTCAGTCAAAATGAAAGAAATGTGGATATATGATAGCGCACCTTGGCTCTTCCAGCAACAGTCAAGCCAAATTCGAACTCACAATCGTGTTCGCGGGGCTTCAGATCACCCTCGAGTTTCATCGTCCAACGTCTCGTGATGCCCTCGGGCGTCTCGTTGGCGACCGATATCCTCGTCTCGTCAATCACACGCGTCGAGTAGGGCGTGTCGCATGGAATCATGCTCTCGTCGTCTAGATGCTTGTACCACGTTCCAGTCCATCCTCGCTCGCCCGATGGTACGGAGAGCTCGTAGTCGAGAACGGGCATCTCCATGTAGGCTAACAAGATAAAAAATGATGAACATAACCCTTCTCATGGAAATGATAAAACCACGTACTACTAGCGCCCTCGCTATAAAGCACCTCCACGCCCTCGGGAAGCGCAGCGGTAATGCCATCATACGGGGTCACAAAGGATGTTGGCTTGAGTGCAGCCGATCCTCCTCCAGAAAGCACTATGGCTTTCGCATTCCCTCCGACAATAGCAATCGTTTTGAACATGCTGGGGTTCAGAGGGAGGATGGCGTTCGTGTTTTTGAGCAATACGATGGATTCACCTGCGACTTTGCGCATGAGAGCTGTGTCTTCAGGGCTTTCGGCGGTACGTTCGATACCATCTCCATCAATGATCTACGAGAGTCTATCATCAACGAAGAGCACGCGATGGAACAAAATGTACGTACCTCTGGGGCTTCCTGAGCGACGCGCTTGGCGAGCTCGACAACTTTGCGCGCGCGCTCCTTTATGGTCCTCACTGTCAGTTTCTTCGAGACAATAGCCCTGTTCATGAGATCAAGCGTGCGCCACTTGTAGATGCCTGGCATCTCGAGGTCATGGCCAGCATTGATACTCAAGTCTAAGCTGTAAACAGCGGTCCTAATTCACCATATACAACATGAACCACTACTGAATGTCATGCGTGTAAATTATGGACGTACCAATCAGACATAAAGAGCCCCTCAAAGCCCCACTCGCCGCGCAGGATGTCCTGCATGAGATGCTTATTCTCAGACACGTGGGTACCATTGACACGGTTGGTCCTAAAATATGAACGCGAGATCAGTATCAGCCAAAACATGTCGAGGTCCTCCTCCTCTCAAATGCGAACGTACGAAGTCATGAAACACCGCGGCTTGGCATACTTCTGGGCAAGCATGAATGGCATGAGGTAGATCTCGCGAAGCGCGCGTTCGCTGAGGATCGAGTCGTATGCCATACGATCGTCTTCTTTCTCATTGCACCTGTATTAGTTCCGAGTTAGCATGGACGGAATGTCATGTAAGATTATAGTCAGATGATAGTAGCGGGACATACACGAAATGCTTGATCGTAGTTCCAATGCCGCCTTTCTGAACGCCTTGGACGTATGCGGCGGCAATGAGGCCGGATAAGAGCGGGTCCTCTGAGAAACTCTCGAAGGACTGAACAATGACGCGCAAAATTAGATCGGATCCGAGCTATCATTCTGGACATAGGACTTACACGGCCACCTAGAGGGTGCTGCAGTCGGTTCCCGAGTCATGAACGGGTGCGCATGAAAGGGTGGAAAGTGGAGACATACGCGTTGGATATTACATGTTGGGGCAAGAATAACAGGCGCGGCTTTAAGCTTCGCCTCGCCTGCCAGCAACTTAAACCCAACTTCCTCGATCAGTTCCGTATCCCAGGTCGCTCCAAGCGCGGTGCCAGAAGGCAGGCACTTTGACGGTGTACCCATGAAGACGTGACTGCCTCTGATACCTGCATATATGCGTCTGAGTTCTCGCGTTTTTGAATCGCGCGGCAAATCTGACATACCGTTAGGGCCATCGCTGACTTTTATAGCGGGCATCCCAAGACGGGCTATCTCGTGGGTGTGCCAGAAGCCAACACCAGCGGTGAGAAGAATAGCCTCGTCCGTTGTGAGCTTCTCGACGATCTCATCCACGTCTACGTCTGCGAAATCTGACCACGGCATGGCAGGCTTTGAGTCAAAGTGAGATCTAGACTGTCTGATGGCCTTGCTTCTCACAGGTCTGTGAGTGCGATAAGGGCGAAAGGTAGAGATGAGCGCTTCTTGTCTCCCTCCCCTCCACTCTCATATATGGCTTTCGTGGAGCAGAGTTTAGCTCAACATTTATGCTGAAGCGAAGATCTTCAGTAGAGTCTGGGGTCTTTTCGTTGTGAATGCCGTGAGGGGTATTTGGACTTCGTGTGCTCAGGGTTTGAAGTTTCTCAAACGAATCGCGTAACGTCCGAGTAATAACAAAGTACCCACGAAGTCCTCGATGATAGCCACAACATTCAGCTGAAGCGAAGATGTCGAACAGACTCTGGGGTCTTTTCGTTGTGAATGCCGTGAGGGTGTTTGGACTTCGTGTGCTCAGGGTTTGAAGTTTCTCAAACGAACCGCGTGACGTCCGAGTAATAACAAAGTACCCACGAAGTCCTCGATGATAGCCACAACATTCAGCTGAAGCGAAGATGGGTCGAAAAGAGTCCCATGGGGTCTTGTCATTGTGAATGACGTACGGAGGGTGTTCGGATATTGTTTGCTCACCGTCTGATGTTTCTCAAACGAATTGAGTAAGGTCCGAGAGGTGATACCATGAACTCCTCACTGACCTGGAGGTTGGGATCTTCACCTATCAATGCTCATGATACAGATGTGTGGCAACTGAACCTTCACAAATCTAAATAGCAGCATGGAACTTGGCAACCTGTGATTTTCTTCGCCGTGCCGTCATGGCCATAAACTTGAGGCTGCCTTCTCGATAGAAGGTAAGCACGAGGAGACAGTAGTCATCCATGTCACGTCAATGGTAGTTGCTTGTTGGAGAATTAATATGAGCAAGATCGTTGCGGATAAAGTTGAGATAACGATGCATGTGGCACTTACCACATGACTTCCAGAGGCAAGGACACTAGGATATCTGAGTCACTAGTACTAATTCACGGAGCCGCATCAGAACACATCTGGCGAGACGAAGGCCAGCGTAAGATATAGGATTCTAAGTATTGCTGATGTAGCGAGCTGCGAGGCATGTATGGTTGGTTAGGGAGTTAACTGCTTACATAACACACCGCTAACCCTTGTCCCTCACGTGTCAGCAGAAGCAGAAGCGACCTACTGTGAGCTCCCCTAAACCTGTGGGCCACGCATCCAGTTATGCACAAACTATATTACACACGCCCATGACCCGTTGGCACTGCCAACATGCTACGTGTACCAGTAGTACAACCCAAATCATCCTCGCATTACACAGTGAACCCCCTTCTCCGACCGACTTCTTGCAGTCATCCTCCTCTGGAGGTCTCACAAAGCCATATCGCCAACCTTCAGCATCACGCGGGACTCCATTAATGAACGCCCGTGCACTCTCAGGACCCGCCGTCCCCACAAAATCGCGCCTTGAAAAACGTTCGAGACCATCAAACCCACTTCCAAACACCGACATCAATCAAACTCCCCGCGCCCGCCCAGTGCGAACACCGACGCCGCCTCCACAAAAGGTATGTCTGCCCGCCAGCCTCGTACGACCCCAAGAAGCAACCCACTCACTCACCCTCCACCAGCCAACAATTGCTATTCTCCCCCCACCCCTCCCCAAATCCATCCACACATTGAACGCCCATCCACCCGCCATATTCTCAGGCAACTTCGACCTCTATGGCATGTACCTCCTCTTCCTCGTCTAAGCCTACGCCGCAGTCTACGACACAATCCTCGCTTACCAGTCCAAGCATGACTACACCGCGCCCTTTTGATGTGCTGCTTTGCAATTTGAAACGTCGCGCGGAACTCACTTTCACCTCGAGTAAGCGCAATTCCTTCCTCGCCCCTGACCATAGCCCTGTGTCGCCGGGTATCATCGGACAAGCAGCCTCAATGCGAAGGGGATATGGAAGATGAAGCGCGTGTGGGTCGGGGAGGGCGAGGGTGAGGAGGGAAAGAGCTAGGGTGCTGGCGATGGGTCAGCAGTTGATCGCGTGGGCGCGGCGGCAGATTCATCAATGAAACCGAACGCAGGAAAAAATCGAGCAAAGCTGCGAAAAAGAAACTTTTCGAAGGCTACTTTTCCTTCAGCGTCAGCTACGATGGAATGTACAGTGTCCTTGGGTATTTCTGTCCTGTCGTTGCTCTTGTTTTGCTGCTCGATCTATGTTCATTTGAAGTAGTGTTTTCTTCCATATGTAAGGACCAGGCGTTTGGTCCCGCGGAACCAATTCGCGTCGCCGCCATGTGCGCGCAGTGTTTCATTACAATATTATTCAGGTTTCTTCTTGTTCCTGTCTTCCATATGTTCCTAGCTAATTTGCGGCGCCAGTTTGATGAAAATCGTTTATATGCTGACAAGACTAATGACCAGCTACCACTTTTATAATGTGCTGCCTAACTCTGAGCACGTTCCCCTCTTGTTCCTCCACACTGATAAGTTATATATGCTCTGTCTGGATCCGCAGTAGATTGACTCGACCCTGGATACAACACCCTATTTGCTCCTGAACAAATTACGTGGCTTCCTCTGCCACACTGGCACGACAAACAGCCAGCTGCATCCCCAGCACAACCGAATGAGAAAGAGCGCATTGACAGTCAGCCTTGCAAAGCCAAGGTCACAGAGGCCCCGCTGCCTGATAGAAAGCCGGCCGCAAAGTCAAACCACGGACTCTCGTCGAGAGATCATCGTGGCCTACCTAAGATGCCGGTGGAATATGACTTGGAGAATGCTGATATATTTATTGAGGATTGCTGCCGTGCACTCATGGCCTTGCTTTAATGTTGATGAAGAAGGAAAGCTATCTGCACGAGGGCAAAGGTGAAGGCGAGAAGGCGACTGACGTCAAACTTGAGCGAGAAGTTCCATGGTTTTTCTGGTGTCACTCGTGAGTTCCCTGTTCATTCTGCTCCTTCACCTTGTCGAAGGTTTGTATGTCTGCACAATAGCGTGTAAATGAATTACTCACAACGGGAGAACAAAATTAGTGTTTACAAATACGAGGATGGATAAGAATTATAATGATGGAAGTTGCGTTGAAAAAGTCCTCGATATTTGTAGTACGTCGTGCTGGTCACTATCAAATATTTACAACTGGCTGGCTATCTGCCAGGATGACTCACAGCCTTGTTGATCCAGAGTCCATCTCCTCCAGTATTCAAGATTATGTTCTTGGAGCCGGTTCTCACATTCACTAGAGCGCGTATCACTATACAAACGAACATATCGCGTTGACTCTGATTGTTTAAAATTACACTGGGAAATTCATCTGCATCACCACAAGCCTACAAGCCGTTCCACTCAAACCCATTCTCAACCACAAAGCTGCCGACCAACGGGAGATCATCACAGCTGCCCCCCACCTTGACACCATAAACACCCTTCTCCACCACCCACCTCGCAATCCTCTCCTCCCAGAACGAAACAGCATACTTGTCCAGCGTAAGCGTCACCGTCTCGCTCTGCCCCGGTTGAAGGTCTTTGGCTTTGTGGAAGGCACGCAGGAGCAACGGTGGGTGGGTTACGTCAGACGTGGTGGGCATCGAGACGTACAACTGCACGACTTCAGAGCCTGTGAGCTCTCCAGTGTTTATAACGGTGACGGTGGCGTTCAGGCTCAAATCGCCATTCGAGAGAACAGCCTCAGAAAGTTCCAAGTCCGAGTAAGAGAAGGTTGTGTATGAGAGACCGTGACTGGCGACGCAAAACCAATTAATCTATTGCTTTTCGTCCAATTGAGATGGAACTGCTCACCCGAACGAGAACTGTGGTTTGATTTTTCTATGATGGAAGTGCTTGTAACCCTGCCAAAGGACTTGAGCGCAAAATAACATTCCCTAAATGAACAAAACTCACCACGAACAGATCCTCGCCGTAACGGAGGGCACCATTCTCAGAAAGGAAGTGCCCGTGTGCAGGGATATCTTCCAATCTCTTAGGGAACGTCAAGGACAACTTGCCCGACGGATTTTTCTTGCCGAACAGAACGTCCGCGATTGCATCGCCCGTCGCATTACCCAGGTACCACGAATGAAGGATAGCAGGAACCGAATCCGCCCACGGAAGCGTTATCGACGAACCCTAGTAAAAATGTGCATTGAGTTCATTTGGGTCCCAAAAACCCCGTCTCAATGGTACTCACGGATTGGGTAACGACGACAATGTTGGGGTTGACCGCTAACACCTTCTCGATCAGCTCATCTGTACGTCCAGGCAGAGCCAATGTCTTCCGATCGCTCCCCTCAGTCTCCCAATCCGCACTCAGGCCGACGATAGCAATAACCACATCAGCCTTCGTCGCGATCTCCACAGCCTCAGCCATCTTCACATCCTCATCGATCGCCTGTGCACCACCGAGACGAACACCGGAGGTACTGTCCATCACCATCTCGTCTTCATCACCATCTGCTGGTGCGCGGACGTTACAGAACTCAACGAGGATGTGACGTTTGACGCCTGCCTCGAGTAGCACGCGGCCCTTTTCTTCCATGGAACCATAGCCATAGAAGGATTGGCCACGGCGCTGGCGTGTCCAGTTATCAATGACGAGTATACCGTCCACGAAGAGCTGCGAACATCAATATTCAGTCAAAATGAAAGAAATGTGGATATATGCTAGCGCACCTTGGCTCTTCCAGCAACACTCAAGCCAAACTCGAACACACAATCGAGTTCGCGGGGCTTCAGATCACCCTCAAGTTTCATCGTCCAACGTCTCGTGATGCCCTCGGGCGCCTCCGTGCTGACCAATATCCTCGTCTCGTCAATCAGACGCGTCGAGTAGGGCGTGTCGCATGGAATCATGCACTCGTCGTCTAGATGCGCGTACCACGTTCCAATCCATCCTCGCTCGCCCGATGGTACGGAGAGCTCGTAGTCGAGAACGGGCATCTCCATGTAGGCTAACAAGATAAAAAATGATGAACATAACCCTTCTCATGGAAATGATAAAACCACGTACTACTAGCGCCCTCGCTATAAAGCACCTCCACGCCCTCGGGAAGCGCAGCGGTAATGCCATCATACGGGGTCACAAAGTATGATGGCTTGAGTGCAGCCGATCCTCCTCCAGAAAGCACTATGGCTTTCGCATTCCCCCCGACAATAGCAATTGTTTTGAACATGCTGGGGTTCAGAGGGAGGATGGCGTTCGTGTTTTTGAGCAATACGATGGATTCACCTGCGACTTTGCGCATGAGAGCTGTGTCTTCAGAGCTTTCGGCGGTACGTTCGATACCATCTCCATCAATGATCTACGAGAGTCTATCATCAACAAAGAGCACGCGATGGAACAAAATGTACGTACCTCTGGTGCTTCCTGAGCGACGCGTTTGGCAAGCTCGATAACTTTGCGTGCGCGCTCCTTCACGGTCCTCACTGTCAGTTTCCTCGAGCCAATGGACCTGTTCATGAGATCAAGTGTGCGCCATTTGTTGGTGCCTGGCATCTCGAGGTCGAGGCCAGCATTGATACTCAAGTCTACGCTGTAAACACCGAACCTAATTCACCATATACAACATGAACCACTACTGAATGTCATGCGTGTAAATTATGGACGTACCAATCAGACATGACGAGCCCCTCAAAGCCCCACTCGCCGCGCAGGATGTCCTGCAAGAGATGCTTGTTCTCAGACGCGTGGGTGCCATTGACACGGTTGTACCTGAAATATGAACGCGAGATCAGTGTCAGCCAAAACACGTCGAGGTCCTTCTCCTGTGAAATGAAAATGTGAACGTACGAAGTCATGAAACACCACGGCTCGGCATACTTCTGGGCAAGCATGAACGGCATGAGGTAAATTTCGCGAAGCGCGCGTTCGCTGAGGATCGAGTCGTATGCCATACGATCGTCTTCTTTGTCATTGCACCTGTATTAGTTCCGAGTTAGCATGGACGGGGTTTTATGCAAGATCGGAGTCGAATGATAGTAACGGGACATACACGAAATGCTTGATTGAAGTTCCAATGCCGCCTTTTTGGACGCCTTTGACGTACGCGGCGGCAATGAGGCCGGATAAGAGTGGGTCCTCTGAGAAACTCTCGAAGGCCTGAACAATGACGCGCAAAATTAGATCGGATCCCGAGCTATCATTCTGGACATCGGACTTACACGGCCACCTAGAGGGTGCTGCAGTCGGTTCGTCATGAACAGGTGCGCATGAATGGGTGGAAAGAGGAGACATACACGTTGGATATTACATGTTGGGGCAAGAATAACAGGCGCGGCTTTAAGCTTCGCCTCGCCTGCCAGCAACTTAAACCCAACTTCCTCGATCAGTTCCGTATCCCAGGTCGCTCCAAGCGCGGTGGCAGAAGGCAGGCACTTTGCCGGTGTACTCATGAAGACGTGACTGCCTCTGATACCTGCATATATGCGTCTGAGTTCTCGCGTTTTTGAATCGCGCGACGAATCTGACATACCGTTAGGGCCATCGCTGACTTTTATAGCGGGCATCCCAAGACGGGCTATCTCGTGGGTGTGCCAGAAGCCAACACCAGCGGTGAGGAGAATAGCCTCGTCCGTTGTGAGCTTCTCGACGATCTCATCCACGTCTACGTCTGCGAAATCTGACCACGGCATGGCAGGCTTTGAGTCAAAGTGAGATCTAGACTGTCTGACGGCCTTGCTTCTCACAGGTCTGTGAGTGCGATAAGGGCGAAAGGTAGAGATGAGCGCTACTTGTCTCCCTTCCCCCACTCTCATATATGGCTTTCGTGGAGCAGAGTTTAGCTCGACATTTATGCTGAAGCGAAGATGTTCAGTAGAGTCTGGGGTCTTTTCGTTGTGAATGCCGTGAGGGTGTTTGGACTTCGTGTGCTCAGGGTTTGAAGTTTCTCAAACGAACCGAGTGACGTCCGAGTAATAACAAAGTACCCACGAAGTCCTCGATGATAGCCACAACATTCAGCTGAAGCGAAGATGGGTCGAAAAGAGTCCCATGGGGTCTTGTCATTGTGAATGACGTACGGAGGGTGTTCGGACATTGTTTGCTCACCGTCTGATGTTTCTCAAACGAATTGAGTAAGGTCCGAGCAGTGATATCATGAACTCCTCACTGACCTGGAGGTTGGGATCTTCACCTATCAATGCTCATGATACAGATGTGTGGCAACTGAACCTTCACAAATCTAAATAGCAGCATGGAACTTGGCAACCTGTGATTTTCTTCGCCGTGCCGTCATGGCCATAAACTTGAGGCCGCCTTCTCGATAGAAGGTAAGCACGAGGAGACAGTAGTCATCCATGTCACGTCAATGGTAGTTGCTTGTTGGAGAATTAATATAAGCAAGATCGTTGCGGATAAAGTTGAGATAACGATACATGTGGCACTTACCACACGACTTCGAGAGGCAAGAAACTCGAGCATTGGAGTTGCATGACAAGGTTGACCCGAGAAACATTGATTGGGCACAGAGTTGTAACGTTGATTTCTTGACCACGTGACACCACGACGCGTCCAGTTATGCACAAACTATATCACCGTGACACACGCCCATGGTTTCATCACCCGTTGACGCTGCCAACATGCTACGTGTACCAGTGGTACAACCTAAATCATCCTCACATTCACACAGCGAACCTTCTTTTCCGACTGACTTTTTGCAGTCATCCTCCTCTGGAGGTCTCACAAAGCCATATCGCCAACCTTCAGCATTACGCGGGACTCCATTAATGAACGCCCGTGCACTCTCAGAATCCGCCGTCCCCACAAAATCGCGCCCTGAAAAACGTTCGAGACCATCAAACCCCCTTCCATTCGCCGATACCAATCAAACACCCCACGCCCGCCCACTGCGAACACCGACCCCGCCTCCACAAAAGGTATGTCTGCCCGCCAGCCTCATACTACCCCAAGGGAGCAACCCGCTCACTCACCCTGCACCAGCTAACAATTGCTATTCTCCCCCCACCCTCCCCAAATCCATCCACACATTGAACGCCCATCCACCCGCCATATTCTCAGGCAACTTCGACCGTACCTTCCCTTCCTCGTCAAAGCCTACCTCTCGCCAGGCAGCACATCCCCCGACTACGCCGCAGTCTACGACACAATCATCGCTTACCAGTCCAAGCACGACTACACCGCGCCCTTTTGATGTGCTGCTTTGCAATTTGAAACATCGCGCAGAACTCACTTTCACCTCAAGTGAACGCGCTTCTTTCCTCGCACCTGACCATAGCCCGATGTCGCTGGGTATCATCGGACAAGCAGACATCCCTCAATGCGGAGTCAATAATGCGAAGGGGATATGGAAGATGAAGCGCGTGTGGGTCGGGGAGGGCGAGGGTGAGGAGGGAAAGAGCTAGGGTGCTGGCGATGGGTCAGCAGTTGATCGCGTGGGCGCGGCTGCAGATTCATCGATGAAACCGAACGCAGGAAAAAAGACGAGCAAAGCTGTGAAAAAGGAACTTTTCGAAGGCTACTTTTCCTTCAGCGTCAGCTACGATGGGATGTACAGAAAAGCAGGTCATGGGAGCGGGCCGACGTGTCGATTTGCGTTTTGGGGTGTTAGAGAGATTTGAAGGATAATACGGGAAAGGAGATCGGGCTAGGCCGGGGGTTGATTGGAGCGGGAATGAGGAAAGGGTCGGGGTGGGGATGAATGACTGGACATTTAGAGTTTTGTATGCATACCCCGTCATGGATGTCCAGTCGGTCGACCCGATTCCAAGCGTTGAACCTTGCTGGACAGTTAGGGTCTCTCCTACACAACCTTCTCTAAAACTCTCCGAAGGCCGAGGCTGTCGTCTCGAGCGGTGAATTCAAACTGAACGCCACTGTCACTAACACTGGCAAGTTCACAGGCTCCGAGGTCGTGCAGTTTTATCTCGATTCGTGGCGTCACGTCCGGCGTAATCGCCGCCATTGTTCTTGTGCGCCTTCTGCCAAGCCAAAGACCTCCAATCAAGGGAGAATTTAGAAGGTAACCCTGAGGTTGGCCAAGTATGCCGTGTCGTTGGAGATAAGTGGGTGGTCGAGAAGGGTGCTTATGGCGTCAATGTGGGGAACAGCTGTGATGAACGTTGTGGTCAAGAACGGGTTTGAGTTGTAGTGACACGGTCAACGTATGCCATGGATGTATGGAACGTAATGGTTGTGTACTAGAATGGAAATGGGCTTTTGCCATCAACCCTCCCTCGACGGTCTACCCACGTCCTGCAGACACTAGACCAGCCTAGACTCACAACTGACGAATAATGTCAACTCCGCACAGAATCTGTGCGATGTCACGGCAGACTTGACATGGCCGATTGACCCGGGCCCGACGAGTTTGTGCACACTGGCATGTCACGCCCGCTGTTCCCTTTCTGACTTCTCCTCTCTATCAACTCAACTTCGCCGTTTTCCGATCTTTTTTTCTGATAACGTTTTGTTTTGTCCTCTCAGCCGATCACGATGTCGGACTCGGATGTCCGGTTCATACAATCTGCCTATCGGTGAACAGCTTAGCCATCGTGCCGGTTGATCACGTCGCTCAAAGCCCCAACCGTTGACAATATTAATGGGCGTTCTGAATCTTCTGATATCGTCCGTTGCTATCATTGACTATGGTGTCTTGGTTCCTCCAATACACTTATCATCATTAGCAGGCAGCCTATAGGTAACAGCGCGCCCGTCGTCATGACCAAATTCATTGCCAATGCACTTTGAGCGCAATTAATCAAGAAAAGATTGACAGAGAAAGCTGCTGCGGAACTCTGTCTCAGTCTGGATGGGTCACGAGAACCCAAACTATACTGTATGTACGGCCGGAAGCTTGCCTTTCGCGCATAGGAAGCCCGCGGCACTTGGAGTTGAAATCGATTATCCATCCATCAATTCCAGGACCAATTGTGATCCCCGAATTGGTGATTCTTTGTGCCCATTGCGCATAGCTGCTGCGGCCGAATTGTGTACGGCGGCGACGCCCGGCGACGTCGTGATTATATCACCGAGTACCCCCCACTGAGAAAATCAAATGTGACATATGTATGCAATGTATTCTTCCTGATTAGAATTTACTGACAATTTTCGGTGCTTTACTGCACGTGCAGTCCAAGTCCATCCACCATCAGATCGGATTTATGATTCCTGTCACAAATGAAACGAATCACACCTCGGAGTGAACGCTCTTTCCCCTGGAATCAGAGCGTGCTTGCGTTCTTGATATAGCAAATGTGCCCTTTTTGTCGATCATATGTGTATGCGGTCTCCGGGCAATTCATTCAACGGTGACCTGATAACCTCGATGGTGAGTGCGATAATCATCTGTGATGCATGAGATCACGTTGATGAGTCCACCTCGAAACAGCTCTGAGTGTTACAACTTGATTCTGATTGGACATTTCCTATAGTGACACAGATCAAGAACTTTCTCAACGAGTACCTATCGCGTAAGTACTAGTGATTACTACCAATATTGCTCATAGCTATCCAAGTAAATTCTCACTTCTAACAGGCTGTCCCACCACAGCGGACTTGCACACCCGTCCCCCACCGATTCAGACAAGTGGGGACCCGGCATGGGCAGGCAATTCCACGAACTCTAGCTAGTAGCTGCACCATCAGCATGCATGCACGCCTCTCGCCGGTTTGGAGTGCATCGATCAAGACTAATATCAACGGAGATCGGATATCGATGTCGCCAGTCTCAACCCATCACCTGATTTCTCATGCCATGTATCGTCTGAGACGGCAGTACGGCTCCCGACTCCTAAACTATTCCACTGTCCAGGAGCGGCATCGCCCAGCCTTGTATTTTCGATAGCAGCGTATGTCCGCGTCTGCATCCATGATCGTCGGAAGTTTTTTCCGGATGAAATATCAAGATCCTTTTGTTGGTCCAGCCTATCCTATTTATGACCGGACAAGAGAGCGCTGACTTCAGCTTGTCAATCTCCAAGATGCAGGTACTTGTGTCTGGGGCCTGATCGACCAACGGGCGGTACCTCATTCAACAATGTGCCTTGGGGAATACAATGATCTTTGATCTCGATCCTGTGCATCATTTGTCTGTCTGTCGCAAGTATAAATAACAATATATCAGCCACCAAACAGTTCATGACGCTGAAACGGATCATCTTGCCATCGGGCTTTATACAGCCTAAACCATATCGATATCGCGCGCACCCAAGAGGCACCAACAGAAATTCTACATCTTTCATTTCGCCCAGCAAATCACAACATCGGTGATAGACGCTACACTAAAACAGTTCGTACTAGCCGAGCAGCACAATGTAGTCCAAAAACGAGATGCAGGAAAACAGTGACAGTGTAGTGTATTAAGGCCGGGCAGCGCACGAAAATATATAAAAGTTCAAAAACCAGCACCATCTCCCCCCCTCCCTGCATGATCATCAAAAAACATATTGACATAGGTAATAAACAGAAAAGAGTGACGAGGACAAAGCGGACATATTCACACACTCACGCACGAATACAAGTCCGCGACGAAGCAAATGCGGGAAAATCCAGTGGTGTGGTGCATTACTCATTTGCAACCTGTTTAAGCGCATGTGAGCGAGAGGGATAATGGATTATGAGAATACGTACTCTAAGCACACGGTTGTGTTGACCGTAGTCTTCGTCGTCGGCGTAGCTCAGACGCTGGGCCGGAGGGCCATCATCGTGGTAATCCTCGCCTTCGACGTCACCCGAATGATGGTTAGACTGAGCAGGGGGCGGCGACGGAGAAGTCTCATAAGGATTGGGAAAGCCGGGGCTCAACGGTTGAGGAGAAGGCGCATTAACAAAGCCAGTGTATGCGTCCGCGTACTGGGTATCATTGTGCGGAGGTGGCTGGAATGCAGGCTGAAGATTCATAAGGTGGTTCTCGTTCGACGAGTGCCCCCGAGAACGCATACTTCCATGTGTCTGTTGGGTATACTCCGAAGGCCGGCGGTTAATATATGCTCCATTGTTCGCAGCGGTCATAGCGGCAACTCCGGTGCCTGCCAGACCGGCAGCTTCAAGCAACTCGCCCCCACGGGGTCTGTGCACCATGCTAGGGGTGTGGTCGATCGTCTCGTGGGGTTGGGGGCCAGGACCAGCGAAAGCGTGGTATGGCAACCTGCGACTCGGCTCGCGAGCAAGGTTGCCTGCACCAACACCAGCAATGCCTGGTGCACGCCGTGTTTCACTGTCTTGCCTACTTCGGGCCCTTCCCACGTTAGCTGTAGCGAGAGATACAGCCCCAGCTGCATACGGATCATATTGTGTCATCTCACTCATCCCATAGGTGTCAGTGGGAAGGCCCATCGGAGCTTGGCCAAAAGTCCCATGAGTGGTATCGGAGTACGGATATCCACCACCGCCCGAACCGCCATTGTTAGAGTACGTGTAATCGTCGAATGGCGAACGTGAAGTAGCAGCCGCCTCTGCGGCTGCTTCCGCGACGTCCCTGTCGAATCTCTTAGCACGGCGGCGGCGAACGGCGTTTGTCAGAAGTGCGACGAAGATTGCAACAACGACGAGACCGACGACAGTGAAGACACCAGCAACGGCCCCAGTATTGGAGAAAAACCTATTACCACGAATGCGGTGATGTGAATTTCCGTGAGAGAACGTTTTGATGATGGAACTCACGAGTTGGATGAAGTGACCGTATTATTAGCAGATGAAGGGGTGGAGCTTGCAGTGACATAGGTGATGCTGGTGACTACCTGATTACCACTGGTTGTGATGAAAGTTGAAGGAGCAAGACTGGGTGTCGTCGATGTTGTTGCGCTTGTGGTAGGACTAGTGGTAGTCAAGACCGAGCTAGTGGTCGGGGTAGTTGAAGTGGTTGGCAAAGTCGAACTGGTTGATTGCGTCGAGGACGTAGTTGAGGTGGTAGTAGGGGTAGTGCTCGTCGACGTCGTCGACGGAGTAGTAGTAGTAGTGGGTGTAGTAGCAGTCGCAGGCAGAATTGACGATATTGGCGTAGTGGTTGCAACCGGACCGCTGCGCAAGAATGTCAGAGTTCCAGCGGATTAGATTCAAAGGATGAACTCACCCAGATGGGGATGATAATGGTGGTACTGATACTGCGCGGGGGCTGTCTAGTGAAGTGTATGGATCCGAAGTACATCGGGGACTTACGAGGATTGGACATGATCTAAACCTAAATGAGTGGGCCTTGAAAAGATCAGAACTTCAGAACTTCAGGAATCAAGGTATCGAGGTATGGCCCTTCTGTCTGGGCCAGCAAGATCAGATGCACGTAGAGCGTCGTGGTCAACGAGCAACACGATTCGTGTGCATGAGAAATTTTACCTTGGGGTCGTTTGAGGGTCAGTTGATCAAGCTACCACGCCTTTGTTGTCCGAATCTTCTCCTTACGTAAGCCGGGCCTCAAAGGCGATAAGTGGGAGACACGTAGCACGAGGCAAGTTCTGCCCAGCCCGTTAAAGAACGTGTAATACTAACCCCACAGGTCACGGCGCACATGCATGATCAAACTATCAATACAATCACCCTTAATCCCGCTTTCGCTTTTTCTGTCGAGGGTCGTCCTCCTGCTCGCTGCCTGAATCTTCCGAACTCCCATCCTCTTCCAACGGCGTACTCTTTAAGCCTTTCATCTTCCGCGTCTGGAGCTTGTCGAGATCCTGTTTCGCGATATGCACCCGTCCCCTCAAATCGCCCATCTCGTCCACTTCCATATTTTTCTTCTTCTTGCCAAGACCCTTCTCCAAGTCTTGCTTCTTCAACTTTGGTCGTCTCATAGCCGCCTTCCACATCTCTGGGTCAGCAGCTTGATGCCGTCTCAATGATAGATCAAGGGAGGGTCCCATCTCCGTCAGCTCGACTCGCGGTACACGCGTTCCCGACGGAAGTAGTTTTACAGTGTACGTCCGTATATGGATTTTGGGTAGATTTTGGATGTCGTCTTCTTGGGATTCACCTAGAATAGGATTTGCTGGACGGAGTGACGGAGCGGGGGCGAGGCTGACGCTGATGACGTGCTCCAGTCCTGGTAAACATATCGAGTCGATGACTTCTCCATTGAAGAAATCCATGAGCAGGGATTTTAATTGCATAAACCGAGGATGGGTATCAAATAGTTCTGATGCGAAGTGCATCATGGGTTTATGTCCCGGTGTTGATTTTGGTGTCTACCGGGCATAATTAGATGTTAGATTATGTAGCAAAGGGGGATAGACTCACTTTGAACTCTGCCATACTGACAAACTTGTCTACTCCGAGTTCGCACATATCCAGTACTTTCGAGTCGAATGTACGTGCAATAATAAGACCTGCAGGTCTCTTCTTCGTAGACTGGCCCATGAGGAACATGGACGCATCATTTTTACCTGCCCAGAATTCAAGCGACGAAGCGTCCTCAAAGGGGTGAATGGCGTTTTTCTTTGAGAACGAGATCGCGTCTGGTCGTTTGAGCGCCATCTAATTGATAGATGATCAGAACAAACCAACACCTTCAAAACACAAAATATAACCCACTAGCTCCTTCATCACACCATTCACAACCTCCCCTGTATGAGTCCCCTTGACAAATATCGCCGTCCGAACATCCTCGACCTCCTTCGCTTCACGAGCGTCCAAAGCCCGCTTGGACCTAGCATTGCGCGGTTTTCTAAAACACAACATCAATAAACGGACCCCTTGAAATAACAGGGGGACTTACACAGTTCTCAGCATACTTACTCCCAAGGACCAACCTGCCAAAAAAAAACACTCAACGTCAGTCAGGACGGTCTACACCCAAACTAGGAAACCACCAGTCTGTTGTGCCCTATTTGCGATTTTATGTTTTTTCCTTCCGAATTCGTTGATGTTCCTCTCATTACGGTCCCGCGAACCTTCTCAAAGTCGTAGTGACCTGAGTACGGCACCCATGCGAGCGCTCCATGTAAACGCAATGTGCCTTTTCATAAATGACTAGCTATAGGTCACTAGTACAAACAGGTCCCTCCTGCCAGCATACGTAGGAACCCCTCCCGTACGCTTAACGCGTCCCGGTGTTCACGGGGAAAAAACCATGATGCCGTTGAAAAATTCGTTCACAGGCGTATATATCTCAGTGGCGTTCACCTGACCTTGCTCTCTTTCTCAGACGCCATCAGATGCCGATGGGTCTCTCCAGATCAGTGGTTAGCAATGACTAGAAGCGTGTAGATGACTGTTTTCTGCCTCTGGGAAAGATCGTCCGTGAATGGTCGTGGGGGCGTAGGATCATCAGCAATCTGTCAATGTACACAATGTTTCAAAATATATCGATGGCGCTCCGATGGAGGGGGATTTGCAAGTAGGCGGTTTCAAAGGGGTGTATTTACTTTGGGATATACGACAAAGATTAAGAAAACAACGAGGTGCTACCATAGCAGTACATACAACCTCAACGAAACCCCACCAAAAGGTATAAACAACACTACTCGGACAAGTTGAAATTAAAAAGAAAATGGTATAGGTGAGTGCGAAGATATAACGATGAAATACTTGTACTGGAGGGGGGTTTGAGTCGCACCGAGAACAAGATGAGAAAGGTATCCCGCAAAAAAACACCAATGTTCGTACCCACAATTACCAAGGATATAAAGCGAGAAAAAAATCAAATTTTAATCGCCCACACGACAGTCACACTTTCATTCCAACTGCAGAGGAGGAGTACGGAGATGAAGCTGGGGATTCCCTTCCTCGCCTAGATAGTGCGGGAGGGGTTGCCCCATTGGATGAAGGGGATGACGAGTTTGATTGTATGCTGACGGATCGAGCAACGGTGGCGAAGGCAACGCCGTGTGGTTGGGATCGTGGGCTGCGTGATGTGTCTGATAAGGGTGAAGATGCGAAGTTTCCTCTGCTAGCGGAAAGTAGGGAGCCTGCTGCTGCTGCTGCTGATGCCGATGATATGTCGTGCCGAAATTGTGGAGAAACTCTGCCTCCCCCGAGCGACGCCGTGCTTGCGCTATACGCTGCTGCTGCAGCTGCTGAAGCTGTTGGCGTCTGAGCTCCTGGGAGTAGTGTGTAGCTTGAGATTGGTGTTCTATCGACGAGTGTGAGGGTAGATGCTGATGAGATGAGTCCTGATGCGGTAGTCGGCCGTGAAGCCGATCCTGTTGCACCGGGTAAAAATGATCGTATTCCTGCATCTGCATCTGGGTCGTTGCAGAGTTCCAGGACGGTGAGCCTTCTAGATTGAGGGCGTGATTCTGAGCCGTATTCGTATTCTCCAGGCCCTGAAAGGCCGCTGCTGGGTTCTCGACGTGGGACATCATCGTCTGGTCCCGGGTATGGTCGTTTGCGAGGGTTGCTTGGTGGTGAATATGCGAAAGGCCCACCAGATGAGACTGGGTCGGCGAGCGCCGGTGGGTGGAAGGAAAACGGTGAGTCATATGAACCCCCTGTTGGAGATGCTGGTTCTGGATCGTATGAGACGCTCCCGTAGGAGGATGGCGCTGCCATGTCGCCGCGTCCATAGACTGGAACGGATAATTCTGTGACCAATCCAGGCCCTCCAGCGTAAGCAGGTTTTGTGGAGAGGATTGATGCGGGAGCTGTGCCTGGGCGATTGGCTGTGGAAGGTCTTCTGAAGGGTAAGGGAAGTACGTGCTGTGCTGACTGAGGTGGGATGGCGAATGATTGGGATGATGGAGGGGAGATTGTCGCGGAGACGACGGCAGCGAGTGGCGGGAGCGTTCTAGCATGTGCGTCGGGACCGCCTGCAGTTGGTGGCCTGCTGCTGCTAGATCCGGGCCGACCATCCCGTGAGAGACCGTCCCTAGAGGGGATACTGAAGTTGAATGTGTTGGTGGTGAAGGTCTGAAAGGACTGCGATTGCTGCTGCCAGGAAGTTGAGGATGCGGGGGGGACACGAAAGGACTGGCTGGAGTCACGAAAGGAATGGTTGTTTGTTGGTCGAGGATTAATGTTGCCACCACGATCCAAATCGGAATTCCAACCGTCACCGTAAATCATGTTGTCACCACCCTCGTAACCAGTGCTCGTACCGGGACGCTGGTGCATGGGGTGGAGAGAGGCAGACAAGTCCTCCTCCTTGACTTGATCGAGACCATGCATTGCACTATCTTGAGATCCTGAATGATTGCTTGCGGCGAGTACTGCAGCTGCATTAACGGAAGCTTGACCCCTCTTGCCTCTTGGCTGACCGGTTTTATTTGCGGCTGCCATAGAAGCATGAAGAGAGGTAAGTTCACGCATCATGCGCTCATTCTGTTCTTGCTTATCAGCATGAACGGTCTGAGCATGCTGACGGAGATTATCGAGACGCGAAAATTGCTTGCTGCAGTGGCAAGTAAAAGGGCGCTCGCCAGTGTGTTTCCTGATTAGAAATTAAGAGATCGAACGGAGGTATGTGCCTCGGTACCTACCTAATGTGCCTGGCAAGATGCTCACTTCTGCTGAAAACCATACGACATTCGCCATAACCTCTGCATTGAAAAGTCTTTGCAGGGGCTGGACGATAGCGTTTATTTACGCCTTGAATGCCAGCAGAAGCTGATAAAATTGAAGGGTTGTTGTGAGCGACAAGGGTGGCCATGTCTGCTGATGATGAACCTGTGGGAGAGAGTTCACCGTGGTCGTCGTCGTAGTGAGATTGATTAAGATCTGAGGAACGAGGAGAGATTGAAAGTGAAGCAGGTGAAAGTTTTGAATCGACTTGAGAGTCGACAGGTGAAGATTTTGAGTCCTCCATGAAGCGGGTTAGGAAAAGAGGAACAAACTTCTATAAAAAAGGTGCCTGATTGCAGACGCTGGAAAGAGTTAAGCCCAACAACTCAATTAAGGCACCGCAAAAGTCGGACTTTGAATTATCAATCCGTTATTTTGGTTCAGGAACAGCCCCGCCGAGCTACGGCACCGTTTTGCACTGATAACACACGTCACGCCGTAAACATAACCGACCCCTCCAGAACCCCCAAAAATAATATTATTTTCGTGAGATATTATAGGTCAAACTATTTTTCCGTGCTCCTCCCCATACTATCACCGCACACGAGGTCTTTTACATACACGTGTAGGATCAAATCGCAAAAATTTATTCATGGGTAGACATGTCCCATCAATTGAAGACCCCCTACAGAACACAGCTTACTGCTGGCACAAATTTTCTTTGTCCGAATAGTAATTAATCTTTGAAATTCCTAATCCAATCCCAGCTCTCCCGCCGATAATTGCGGATAAGCAGGGAATTACCCATACCCAACACGGTCTAAGCCGTGTTCCATGACGGTCCAGACCTTCGAAGCATACGATAACACTGCTTGGTGCGAACTTTGTACGTTCACATCTCTCGGCCAAACACAGCGCCCTAGGGCTATCCCGTCAACAAAAACTATCTCGGAGACAACAAAACTCAACGATCGACGTTTACGAAAAGGGCAATCATCAACCTTACGTACCCCACACAAGTATTGTCGTGATTAACCACAGGAACAGCCTGCATCCATATTTTTACAACATCGGAGAGAGGGCCCCGCCCGCTCCACCCACCTTCGCTGACAAGTCTGTCAAAGCTAATCACGAGACCGCGCTTGTATCGTAAACCTTCCATCAAATAACTGTGGAGGAAAATAACGAACTGTGAACATAACCATGACGGACAGCAAGAACATGTCAACACCCACCCGAGTCCAAGCAGCCTAGCCCCTGCTATACATAGTCTTCAAGTCAGACGATAGACACGCCACAACCAAATCCAAAGCCAAGAAGTCCAGCCCTTGGGAGCGGTACATAGCATCTCCCGCGACTATCGTAAATTCGAACGTCACAAATCTTGACATCGGATACTTCCTTCTTGGAGAGCGCGCGTGAGTGACGAAACTATCGGATGCCCGGCTTGGGTTTAATTCTAACTTCCACGCACCGCCAATTCATCAATTTCGCCATCTCTGATACATTGCACTCATTTTCAGCAATGTCTCCTCCGCATCTCGGACTTTTCACAGTCCACCTTATCTGTGAGTAACACCATCGGCGCTCAGATGTACGGTATTGTCACTCTGTAAGAGTCCTTGCATCATCAGGGACGCGTAGCTGTTGTTGTAATCGAACACATAACGCAGACCATGTATGGCACGGAAGGATCAATCTGGCAGTAAAAGAAGACACGATGTACCGCGCGGTCTCGTGTGGGATGTAAACTATCGTTGACGCGTCCGGGAACAACAAAGACCTGATAGCATCCCCCTTGTGCTCTATCAGGATCCATTCACGTGATTGGACATTAGGTGCTTAAACCAACGCGTCAGCGGAAGGGGGGGTTGGTAAACATACGGAAATTAACAAGTGCCACACCATCCCGTCGACAGTCGCTGTCAAACAAATCGCGGAGAGAAATGATTCCGACGTGAGTGGTGTTCCTTGAAGCTTGAAAAAATTCCCTAGAGTAATCGTCCTCCCTCGGTTTATGAAATCGCGCCCCTCCTGATTACCTGAAAGTTTGTTTTCATTTTCAAATTCGGCATAGCCAAGTGCAACTCTGATATGCAAACCTGTCATCGGAAGGGCTGTTGAGCGCGCGCCCGCATCTTGCGCCAATGCTCCGTTCACAGGCTGTCCTTCCAATGGTTTCATCATCACCTTTAGACGATGACTACCTACGGCATAAAAAAAAATCTGCACCAATTCCCAATCGTATAGCTTCAATACGAAGAGGCGGTGTTTTCCGCGCCACTGTGGCCTCATTATCCGCGTCTATTCGTATTGAGCCTGTCACAATCGACGACACAACAGTGCCCCAGTGGCTGGTAGGGTCGCATTTGTCGTTAGTTTCCGGGCGGTAATGTGGTGACGGTACTTGACCTCCGTCGATGTGTTGCCTGAAAATCAGGATTTTGGCCCCTTGTATCAGGAACTTTGCCAAATTGAGCATAATTAGGGGAAGCGCCCGAAAGCCTTTCGTTGAGACATACTAGGAGTGACTTTTGTGCTTTTCATCTTGCACGCATGCACCCGTGACGCATCTGCGCATAGTTTGACACTACTTTGTGACTCTCTGGGTCGATCAAAAGTCTTGGAGGTGTGTGTGGAGTATCAGCCCTGCATCAATTGTGATTTGATAACTCACGTAGATTTATGTCTTACAGGACGGCGTGCTTGTTAATTTCCGTGTAGAAGTCCTTTCGTTCAATCGACGGGGTCTCTGCGGTCTGCATCCAGCACATGGGCCCGCTGCCCCAAACCCCAACTGTATCGAAAACCAGTACTACGAGCCACATATCACTCGTCGGAGCATGAAAGAAATGTGCGGGCGTAAACGGGAACCACGTCGATATGTTGCGATGGAGGCTACCCATTGACAGATGTATGATATTGTCATATAGCACAGGCCTATGTAGTATCTGTCAAAAAAAAACTATCATTCCAATCATTGCTTCAACAGGCTAGTCGCGAAGCACAGTGATGGCTTACCACGTATACACAACTCTTTGCCAGTGTCGCCAAGAACATCACTAGTTGTAATTGCAAACTGAACGTGCCAACGCTGTTCAACGTCGGTTACATGAGTATTGCCGGTACCGGCTGGCTGTCACACTGTCGTCGGATCAAACAACTTAGATTTGAGACGAGCTTCGCGAGTGAGAACGCACGATTACCATCAGTGATAAGCATCGATGTGACCCTCTGTGGACAACTGGGGTGTATTGGCGCTCATGCAGGTTCGACGGAACTCATGCCAAGCAGCCAAACACAAGGGTACCGCAATTTGCAAAAGATCCGCGGCACTAGTACATAAAATCGACCGTGAACGTGCCGCTCATCGCAGTTCAAGGTGCGTTCCCCCAGGCCCTGCCCCACACACGTTCCAGACATTCCCAGGTCCGACCGTATCATATCAATAAACAAGTAGCCGACGTTGCTCCGCTGTTCGATTGTTCACCCACGAATCACGGCGAGTCTTTGAATTTGCAAGGTTTCGGTAGGTCGGTCCAGGTGTCGTTAGTACGCCGCTCTGTTGGTAGCTCCTGGGACTTACATACTCAACGTTGCAGCACGACATCAGCCTGGACCGTGCGTTATTAATTTCCCCACCAATGGGACACTGCATGGCCCATCACGTCAACAACTTGCTCTGAGAAGTGAGTCGGATCAGGTAAGTTTGTTGATATAATATGCCTGGCTAATGCGGTGTCCTGACAGGCCGAAACCATGGTTCCCACTGGTAGATGACCCTTGTGCAAATACTGTCAGTGATAGTCTAGTCGTTGCCCAATGAATATCCAACCCTCTTGGGCGCAAGAGACAACAGAGACAATCTGGGCACTCCTGGGCATCAATGTCTGACGTTTTATTAACGGCACATAGATACAGGCTGTAAGGTGATCTCAGCCGTTATGTGATACAAGGACTCGAATGACCCGCTCTTTCTTCTGCTAATACGTACGTACGCGCGGCGGTGTTTAGGGGGGGTGTCACAGGGCTGCCAACGCGAGCCAATACGATACGGTTGATTGGGTGCTGGATCGAGGGAGGGTCCTGGCTTCGGCACCGTACGATGACAAACTCGCCAAGGGTAATTATCATCTCGACAGAGAGCATATTAACGAACAACCTTTCGAGTTTATCTATCCCCTTCATGTGCATCTTCGCGATCGATGCCAGCGATACATCATACATGTGGTGAAGGGTAGGTGGCGTCGTATGGCGTCTTACTCGTGTGCTCTGATGTCCCAAAGTGTCACAGGAGGTCATGCGATGCGGTCGGTTGGCCTAGACACCAGGAAATGACCGTGATGGGAACACCACCTAAATGGTACCCCTTAGGTGCGTTACTAAAGTGGATCAATGGACGTTTTTACTCATCCGATCTTGACCCATACGACACAACAACTGTGATTTATTGATTTTGTGTCCTCCGTCGCTTCTTATTTCTCTTGTTGTTCTCGTTTGCTCTGCGCTTGAATTTTTGTGGTCAGGGTGAATACTCAATCTTACCCTGGATAACTCACATCGGAGCTAAGCTTATTCGTAGATCATGTGTAGATAGCCAAATATAGCAGGGTTTTGTTGCAGACATGAAACAAAGTTCCGGGATGCTTATAAACAACTACCAGTATCCAACGATATGAGTGTTAGGGCAGCACCGCCTGTACAATCCGAAAACTTGTGGACGGAAACACCGCTGGTCTATTCCAGCCATATTTCCGATATCATCGGATGTGCTGCCTACCTAAAACTGGAGGTGCGATACAGGTTTGAACCGTGTGAGACTCATCGAACAATGCGTACCTACAGAATCTGCAACCTTCTCAATCCTTCAAATATAGAGGCATCTCTAGATTCGCGCAACAATCCAAGGAGAAGCATGGCTCTTCGGTGCATCTGATGATCGCTTCGAGCGGAAATGCAGGTCTGGCTGCGGCAATGACAGCACGTGCTTTGGGAGTGAAATGCACGGTGTTTCTTCCAACCGATGTAAGCGTTGACACGCAGCAGGCTCTACGAAAGCAGGGCGCCGATATTGTGACAATTGGGGAGATCTACTCCCAAACACTCGCCGCGCTCCGAGATGCAGTGAAGAAAGATAGGAATGCGTGAGTACAGGCTTACCCGTCATTTGCGGCAAACCCAATCGCATCTCAGTGTTTTAGTGCCATCGTACGATTCGCCTGTCCTTTGGGACGGTCATTCATCCATGGTGACCGAGATGCAGAGACAACTTCCCAGGCAACCGGATGCTATATTTTGCAGTGTTGGCGGAGGAGGTCTCGTCGGAGGTATCATGCAAGGCTGCAAGAATGTTGGGTGGGATGAAGGTAATTGAAACCCTGAACTGCGGCACTCATACCTCTAAATCGCACCTAATGAAGTGCCTATCGTGGCGCTCGAAACCGCTGGCTCGAACTGCTTTTACAATGCCATCGCCGTCAACACACGGAACTTTACTTCTAAAGTCCCCGGCATACCTTCCGCTGAAGTAGAGGACAGTGCACCGTATGCCGTGGAAGTTGTTGACGAACATAATATCGCAATACCGCACATGAAATCACTGAAATCAAGAGCAGCCTCGCTAGGCGCATCCTCAGCAGCTCCTGGGGTAGTTAGAATGGCAGTCGATCGTGCCGGGGGAATAACATGCGCATCCATTCAAGACGAGATGGCTATGCACACAGCAAGATTATTTGCAGGTGAGTTAGTGTGCGATGCAAACGCTAAGTGGCTGGTATGATAACCATACTGCCAGACGACCACAAAATGCTGACGGAACTCGCTTGTGCGACAACTCTGACTCCTGGATACAATCGCGACTTTCTCTTGCGCATCCTTGGGCCAAAGTTTTCGGCGCTTTCTCCAGAAGAGAGGAAGGAAAAGTGCCTAGTTTTTGTGGTGTGCGGTGGGGTCAAAATCTCTTTCGAGGAAATGAGGGAGTTCGAAGAGATTGTCGCAGCCGCGCAGGTGGAAAGACACTGGCGTGTGCAAATTGACGGTGAAGAAATTCAGGTGCCTAAGCAATGAGACTGGAGAACAGAAGGGAATATAGATAAATTGATACAATACGGAGAGTCTGGACGAAGTAAATGCATTTGGGAGGACGCAAGGGAGACCTGACAACTACGACTGACTGGTAAATACCACGCGTGATGAGAACTTCAGGCAACATACCGCTACCCTGAACTACCACCATTTGAACCACCCTTTTGAACTCTGTGCAGCTGCCTCTGACTGTGTCTCTTTATCACGCTCCATTCGTCGTGCAAGTTTATCCGCTTTTATCCTTGCAAGCTCTTCTCGGATGGCGGTTTGATCTGTTGGTATTTTCTATGTGCATCTTGAGCACACGAATGGGCGACACATTGATTTTAAAGGGCTCACGCTGTATGTCCTATCCGGAGCCGGGAATAGATGGTCCTTATACTGGTGGAGCCTGTCAATGATGAATATATCATGAACAAAATGACAACTTACTGGAAGGACGTGGTTATGGTACCAAGCAGGATCACCGAAATGCAGCAAGGCCATGACGGGCACAAACAAGTACAGACCGAATTTGAAAACTTCAAGATTTGGACCACCCATGGCAGACGCAGACAAGGTACAATATTGTCATATTCTCTGCGTCGTGCGTTATAATTCACAAGTCAAAAACGATCACGTGACTTTTATTTATTCATTGACGCGTTGCCGCTCATTAATTGAGCATTGTTCACAACTTGGTCACGTCTCCCATAGTCAAATCTTGAGGAAGGAAGACAGTCGTTCCTTCTTTTCAAAGCTCGTAAGTGGCAACAGCTAATTCAAAGCCTACTGATTAGACCATTGGACTCAGATTCTCCTGACCGGCAACAAATCGTAGAATAACATGGCACAACGAGAAGATGAAAATGTGGCTCAAAAGCAAGGAATCCAGCAGAGTAATAAGTCTCAAGGAACGTGCCCCAGCGCTCCGAATCAGCCTCCCCGTCCCGGTAGTCCTAAAAGTTACGACATACTTCTAGGTAAGACTTCGAATAATGGAAACCAGAATGCTACTAAGTATGCGCTCCGCTTACGCGACTTCCAGCCTCAGACGTCACTGGAGTGATGTCCGACTCGGCAAAGATAACAAGGCATAAACGCCAGCTTACCCCAGACTCCGAGCCCTCCGACAAACAGGCTAAACGTTCACGAACCGATACGACTGGTTTTCGCAAGCATGAGCGGTTTTGGCTCGCAGATGGAAATGCTGTCATCGAACTTGATGGTATATCCTTCAGGGTGCATCAATCTTGGATTGCAAAGCATTCAAAACGGATTGCAGCCATGCTTCCCGATAAAGGCAAACAATGTGGTAGACTTCATGAGATTACACTCGATTTTCAGGGCCCGCTCAAAGCAATAGATCTCGAGGCACTGCTTTTGTTTTATGAAAACCCCGGGTAAGTATATGCTGAAATTTGATCATTGTGTTGTGCTGGCTAACCAATGGTTTAGGGACTACCGCGATTACATCGAGACCCCTACACTAATGTCCCTCATTCGTGCAACAACAATGCTTGGCTTTGACTCCGATCGCGTGTGGCTCGTGAAGGAGTTGGAAGCGCTCTGGCCATCTGCCCTTGGAGAGCTATTTGTCAACCCAGAACCGCGCCTCGATGCTCCGGAGGTGGCTGTCCTTGCACGGGTGTGCGAAATTGACACCCTATTGAAGCCTGCGTTCTACGATATGGCAATAACACCTGGCTTCGGTCTGGGCAATCTAGAGGAATCAGAGCAGATCGGCCGTGCGGATGTACTGCGTCTTGTCCAGATGAGAGAGTATCTGAGTGACATGTGGTTTCAGGTAGCTGCACACGAGGATCCTGCCTTTGTTTGCCCCAAACTTTGGGATGCACCATCCAGCAATGGCGAAGAATCCTCAAAGCTATCTGAAAATGCAGACGAGAAGCCTGTACTGTGCTCTACTACCCCTTCTAGTATGGGCAACTGCCGTTCTGCGACGGCGAGACGCGAGGCGTGGGTCTGGCTTGTGCATTACTCAGAGATTTTCGCCCGGTATCGGTACGACCCACTGCGCGGACTAACGGCGTTGATAAACATCAAGTGGACGACCGACTGGTGCAAGGATTGTAGGGAGAAAAGGAAGGCTGATTGGCGTAAAATGCAGAGGAGTATCTGGGAGAAGGTTGGCGAGTATTTGAGGGAAAATTGACGAGTGGGCCTTGCAGTAAGTTAGTTACCTTGCTCCGAGTGTCTTGCTCCCCCGATGATTCAAAATTTCTCAGATAAGAAGCATTCGTCTTGCTAGAGTTGCGCTCGAGTTCACTGACTCTGTGCTGGAACACAACGTCAGAATAGAAAGGGATGATCAGCACTCAATTTTGTAAAGGCGTGCCAGGATTGTTTGTTGTACAGGTCAAATATACTATACAGTTTCATTAATCTCCACGAAATGTTCATATAACCTTTCGTCCCCAACCATTTCAAACTTCTTGGTACATGGCTTTCTTTGTGATGCTCTCTCAGTACCCCATCGCATCACACTAGCTATGGTACTGTGTAAGTGTACATTTTGGTTGGGTAGTAGTCTATTTATCTCGCGCAGAATTTTCCAATGGGAGGGAATCACAACTTCACCTCTGAAAATGCAGCCAGACTCCCAGGTGCTTGTTGGCTGGAGGGTTCTACTCCAACATCGTTTAGGGGTTCTGACACGATCATGTGACTCACAACTGTTTGACTTGTCCTTTGAAAGTTCCGTTTGAAAGTTTCAAGGTGTAGTGCAATACTCCAATTACCGAATCATCTTCTCTAGACCTGCAGGGCAACAGACCATTTGAACATGACGCGACACAAACACAAACCCCAGCAGAAGCCTCGAGGAGCGCGTCCCAGCACTGGAACTGCGCGACGAGAGAATCAAGGTGTACACAAGAAAGTCCAGAAGAAACGTCGACCGCGGCGTTGTGGGGATCATGGTCCGACTCGGAGAAGGTCTGATGTAGGTAAGACAATAACGTGAATAAGCGAATCCACAGTATGTCCCCCGCTCACGCAACTTCCAGCCTCAGTCCCCGCTGCTTCATCAACAAAGACCAAACGGTGCAAGCGCCGACGTACATCGGAGTCTGAGCCCACAGACAAGCAGGCCAAACACTCACGAACCGATAAGCTTGCTCTTCGCAAGCATGAGCGGTTTTGGTTTGCAGACGGGAATGCCATCGTTGAACTTGACGGTATACGCTTCAGGGTGCATCAGTCATGGCTCACAAAACATTCAGCACACATGGCAGGAATACTCCTAGGAGTCGAGAAAGGACCTAATAGTAAACCCGAAGATACGATAATCGAGTTTGGAAGAAGTGAGTCGCAACTTGTCCTCAAAGCAATAGATTTCGAGGCGCTGCTTTTGCTTTATGAAAACCCTGGGTAGGTATCTGTTCCCATCTTGACCTTGTTGATGTGTCTAATGAATGGGTTAGGAATTACCGTAACACCATCGAGCCTTCTACCCTAATGTCTCTCATACGCGCAACAACGTTGCTTGGTTTCGACTCCGATTATGAATGGCTCGTGAAGGAGTTGAAAGCGCTCTGGCCATCCAACCTTGAAGAATTAGTTGCCAACACAGAGCCGCGCCTCGATGCTCCGGAGGTGGCTGCCCTCGCACGGGCGTGCGACATTGACGGGTTGTTGAAGCCTGCATTCTATGATATGGCAAGGACACCTAAATTCGGTCCGGGCAAGGTAGAGGAATCAGACGTAATCAACCGTGCGGATATGCTGCGCCTTTTCCAGATGAGAGAGTATTTGAGCGGCATGTGGGCTCAGGTAGCTGCGCACGAGGACCCTACCTCTGTTTGCCAAAGCCCCCGTGCTGTACCATCCAGTGATGACGAAGGCACCTCAAGCCCTTCTGAAAATGTTGATACGAAGCCCGCATGTGGATCTACCACCCCTGCTAGTATGGCCAGCAACTGCCTCTCGGCGACGGCGAGATGCTTGGCCTGGGTTCGACTTGTACACTCCTCAGAGATTTTCACGCGGTATCGGTATGACCCGCTGTGCGGAATAGCGGCGTTAATAAACATCGAGTGGACAGGCGACTGGTGCAAGGATTGTCAGGAACAAAGACGGGCGGGGTGGCGTAAAGTGCAGAGGAGTATTTGGGAGAAGATTGACGAGTACTTGAGGGATGGTTGAAAAGTGGATCTTGTAGTAGGTGACATTGTTTGCTTGGTTTCTGGCTCTCCGATTATTCGATATTTCGCTCAGATACGAAGCATTGAACCACATATAAGAACATGCTCAAACATAAATAAAAGACTCCAAAGATCATGATGTACACCAGAATTTTCGTATTGGACATAAGATAATCATTCATTCATTTTTACTTATGGAAATGTAAGATACAGCTTTTATCAAATTTATGTCCTGTTGGGGCAGACTACCATGTGTAGGACTAACTGGGAAATGGACAGCTGTGTCCCCCGCCGCTTCTCCAACTTTGCAAAATGCCAGAGCAATACAGCTTTGTTGAAACGATCACGTGACATACATGGATTGCGGCGGGCGCGCTCCCAAAGTTGCATTTGAATTTCGCTCATTCAAAATCACGGGACTCATCTTCTTCTGAACTGCGAGGCGACAACAGATCGTACAACGAGGAAATCAAACTGTAGCTTTTAATCAAGCAGTCAAGCAGATTCAGAAGTCTCCAAAGAAGGGCCTCATGCGCAGCCCAGTGGATCATCCTCAAATCAGAGGTCCTGAAAGCTCCAATGTAGGTAAGACTTGAAAGGCACCAACCAACGAATAATGTACCTGTATATAGGGAGCACTCACGCAACTTCTAGCCTCAGTCCCCGCTGCCCTAAATGACCCAGCACAGAGCACGTTGCGCAAACGTAAATGCCAAGCGACTCTGGAGCCCACAAAGAAAAGGGCTACATCCGCACGAGAAGACAACCTTGCTAAACAATTTCGAAATCATGAGCGGTTTTGGTTAGCAGACGGAAATACTGTCATTGAACTTGACGAAATACGCTACAGGGTGCATCAATCATGGCTTACCCAGCATTCGGAACAAATTGCAGCCATGTTCCTCGACAGAGGAAAATTCGGTGACAAACTTGAAGAGATTACACTCGATTTTTGTGGCAAGCTCAAAGCAGTAGATTTCGAGACATTGCTGTTGTTTTATGCTAACCCTGGGCAAGTATCTATCATATTGACATTTGGACCTCATATTTGTCCCGGCTAACGAATGTGTTAGGGATTACCGCCACGCCATCGAGCCTGTTACCCTAATGTCCCTGATTCGCGCAACGACGTTTCTTGGTTTCGATTCCGACCGTGTATGGCTCGTGAAGGAGTTGGAAGCGCTCTGGCGATACAACCTGGAAGAGCTATCTCCTAAGCCAGAGCTACACCTCAATGCTCCGGAGGTGGCTGCCCTCGCACGGGCGTGCGATATCGATGGATTATTAAAGCCTGTGTTCTACGATATGGCAAGGACGCCTGTGTTCGGTCTGGACAAACTGGAGGAATCAGAGCAAATCGGCCGTGCGGATATGTTGCGCCTTATCCGGATGAGAGAGTATCTAAGCGACATGTGGGCGCAGGCAGCAGTGCGCGAGAATCCTACATTAGTTTGCCAAAACCTCCTTGGCGTGCCATCAATCGATGGCGAAGGAACCTCAATTCTATCTGAACATGCCGACGAGAAACCTGCACTATGTGCTACCACCTCTGCTAGCACGATTAACAAGTGCCTCTCGGCCACCGCAAGACGCGAGGCGTGGGTTCGGCTCGTTCATGACTCGGGGATTTTCACCCGGTATCGGTACGACCCACTGTGTGGACTAGCGGCGTTGATAACCATCGAGTGGACGTTCGACTGGTGCAAGGATTGCAAGGAGAAACGGAAGGTTGATTGGCGCCAAATGCAGAGCAGTATTTGGGAAAAGGTTGGCGAGTATTTGATAGAAGAATGATGAGCGAATGTTGCAGTAAGTTACCTTGTTCGCCAGGTTTCTTGCTCCCCGATGATTCAAGATTTTTCTTACATATTGAAGAATAATTTCCCGTCATCACGTCTCACTAGAGTTGCGTTGGACTGTACCGGAACACGCATTAGAATAGAAAGGGGCTTTGGACCAATGTTCGAGGACTGTTTATTGTACTGGCCCAGCAAGTTAGTATACAGTTTAATTCCGCCTTATTAATTCATTGTTGCCCCATTCTCCACTGTCGTTTGCGTGGCCTTTCATCCCCAACCGTTTCAAATTTCTTATGATAGTACAGTCGACGACAATCCATAATTCGTGCTTTGAACCACTAGTTTACTTGTAATGCTGTCTCAGCACCCCGTCGCATCACACTAGATATGCTGCCATCACATCAATGTATATGTATTGCTTGAACAGTCTGTCTACGTCGGGCGGAATTTTCTGCGCGACATGATCACAATGTCACCTTTGGAAACGCAGCCAGACTCATCAAGACCCTACTCTCTGGTAGCTGGATTGTGAGCTTCATAAATATCAGTACACTGAGGTGTCAACTCAGATGAGATGTTTTCACCCATTGTGACCACCTGTCGAAACTGCGATCGTTTATATCTTGCCACTTCTGCCGCTGCACCCTCAATTGTGATGTTTTGCGACGAAAGTCCATGACATGAGTGATACTTAGCTTGACCAAGAATGTGCTCACCAGTGGTGGGTATATATCCCCATTGACTTTGTGGGTCGTTTCGTATACTTCGATGAAAGACTTGCTAACGTCTGCCCTGATGGCTATTTCGATTGTTTCAAATGACTTTACGTCGATATTGGTGATGTGACCATTTTCATAAGCATGGATAGCTTTAATGACCGGTATGCGACGTGCCCACGCGATCTCCTTCAAATATTAACGTGAAACTCCTGAGCTTGCTTTGATGGCATTCAACCTCTGCGTCAACCTAGAAATAGCGTGAGGTTTTATCGAGTTATACAGGCCCGGACAAAGAGATGGATGGTAACCAAGTGCCACAGCATGTGGGAGTCTTGGAGGAAAGTCGATGTCATTTCCGAGGATAAAAAAAATATAGCGGTAACCGAGGTTCACCCCACAATTGTGGGGCACCGGGTGGTTAGACCGTTGCTACATCGCCATCAGTGTGAGTCGCCTTCCATCTAGCTTGTCTAGTAGCTAGCCCGATGGCGCTTGAATGAAGTATCACTACGAGTTGGACCTTTGAGATATCAACGCTGACAAGAATCATAACTGTGTACGTCTTTATTGTGTAGCACAAGTTGAAGAACGCAGTCATGAAAATTGATCGTGTTGATGGATAACTCAAAACCATTGCTCGGAATAACCGACATGACTATCGGAGGAGTTAGTGCGTATAACAATGATAGTAGATACATGGTAAAAGTTGCTAACGTTTGAAATCTTGCTGTCAAGGTCGTCATGAGAGTTGCGTCGCGAGGAGCCAAATCATCGGCTCACCACGAACGACAATATTGCGTATTGCTGTCATCGGACAATGACGGGCAACGATGGAATGATATCCATGAATTTTCCGGAAGATAAGTAGTTTGTCAATGAACAAAACAATCTCCGTGAAAGGACGACAAGGTGCTGACTAATTCAAGTACAACTTATCACTAGGTGCTAAATAAAGCCAAATGAGTTGTACCACTCAGAGAGTCAGAGTCTCGCATAAACTGATTGACTCTGTTATTGCCCACTTCTCTAGCACAGGTTCTCCCGCTACTAGAACCTAGTCAGCCATCTTTTGGCGCCAGCGCTTAGCCTCATCATACCAGCGTCTATCGTGCTGAACAGCCCTCAACAACATGGAAGTACACGTGCATCGCCTAAACCACCCCTCTCACAGGCTCTCAGCCGAACTCCATCCACAGTTCCCATATCCCTACCCCCGTCTTCTCCTACCACTCATTCCACCCAGCATTAAGCCCATCCTCAATCCTTATTGTCATTATGCGTTATTGCACCATCATGCCCGGAAGCTGGGAAGGCCAATACATCAGACTGGAAGGTAGGTCACTTTGTTTTTCATTGGTATATCTTTTGTGATCATCGCGCTCTATCTACAGTCATCAGCGCAACAAATTTTCAAGTCCCTGCTGAGCGCATAGCCGCAGGCATTTACGTGTCCGTCAATGTCGACTCAAGGAGACGCTGGAAATCAGCCGTCAGAGTCTTAACATCCAACAAATCTGTAGCGTGGGGAGATAGCGTGACCCTGTAAAGTCCATGGAAACTTTCGGGGGCGATCCATGACTGATCTTCGGTTTACAGATCATCCAACGAATCACCTGCATTATCAGTGGAGATCAGAGCATCCTACGAGGTCGATCGAATGCTGGGCAACGGGGAGGTCATTGGAAAACTTCAAACGTCGTGGCATGAGTTGCTCGATCATGGAGATGAGCCATTCGGTGAGTATCCTACTGTTCATTCATGTGTATCTACTCACATCCCGCAGAACTGTCCTTCCCACCTGCTCGTGATGTCAATCCTTCGCTCAAGCTAAAGGCTGTTGTCGTACACGCTTGTGATATTCAGGACGGCACACTGTTTGATGTGAGTGATGCTGGCCTCTGCGGTTAGCGCTTGCTGACGGAATGTCAACTATAGTCCCTCACAGACTGTGAGATGGCTCGAGACACAGATGCGGGCCACGCACGATATGCCGAATATAGGACCAGTGGGACGGTCTCTCATCTGAACGATGCTGTCCAGAACTTTCAGTTGGTTCTGGATCGCTGTCCTGACCACGCAGCGGCTCTCACCAACCTCGCGTGGGCCCGTCTTGAAGGCTATATTCAAAATGATGTTCAAGACATTGATACAACTACTTCCCTCCTCCGCGGAGCCCTTGCATTGCGTCCGCAGGGTCATCTCGATCACGCACTATCTCTCTATAACCTCATTTTCGCATTGACCTGGCGCTACAGCATGGAGCCCGCCCCCGTCTACATTCACGAATCTGTGGAACTGTGCTGCAAGCTACTGCCCCTCTGTCCAGAGGGCACCTACCTTCGTAGCAAGGGCGCAGGCAGTGTAATCGGTTATGTGATTCGTGAATTCAGCAAACTTCCAATCGGTTCATCTGACGAAGGCATCCACATTCAACGAGTCGTGCTCGAACTCTGTCCTCTGGGCTATGGACACCGCCTACAAGCACTCTACAATCTTTCATGGGTTCTCAGCGTACGCTTTGAACAACACGGCAGCATTGATGACATAGACGAGAGCATACAACTTGGTCGTGAAGCTGTTTCTCTGTGCCCCGAGGGACAATCTGGCCGTGATACCTACTTGAATAACTTGGCCTACTCACTCCAGTTCCGATTTTATCACCAAGGCCAATATGATGACCTTGATGAGGCCATCTTTTGGCACGAGTCAGTGCTGTGCCTGCGCTCTGTTGGGCACGAAGCTCGTGATTCTTCATTGGACATCCTAGGGAGCGCCCTCTGCGCCCGTTTCAGAGCACACAGTGACATTGATGACATCAACCGAGCTGTCAGCCTCCTTCGCGAGGCACTGAAGTTGCGCCCACCTGGGCATCCACGTCGTTACACCAGACTTCACAACCTTGCCATCACACTCCACGACAGATATGGCGAATTGCACGTCATCGAGGATCTTAACGAGGCCATAGATCTGCATCGTGAATCACTTCGGATAACACCGCTTGACCATCCAGAGCGCCATAAAAATCATCGCAATTTGAGCTCGGCGCTCTGTTCTCGTTTCACGCAAACCGAGAAGAATGAAGATATTGAAGAGGCCATTCAACTCTGCCAAAAATCGTTGGAGGCTTTGCCACCACTCCATCCTGAGAGACAAGGGTGTTATTTCACGCTCCGGGATGCCTATATGTCTCGATACCGCGTGCAGTACAAGCCTGCAGATCTGTCGCTCGCTGTAGAGCATTTCAGACTCGCATCACGACACCCCACTTGTGGATTTCCAAGCCGCATCTTCGAAGCATATAAATGGACTTTTGCAGCGGAGGAGCATGGTGATGCATCCGCACTGGAGGCTTACGCAACGTTTTTCGAGCTTCTGGATGCTCATTTGGCAACACGGTCATCAACCACTTCGCGGCGTGAAGCTGCTGCTGCCTTCCATTTTGCCAGATCATTACCTGTAGATGCAGCATCGTGTGCCATCCGCCATGACAATCTCCGACATGCAGTCGAACTGGTGGAGCAGGGCCGTGGCCAACAGTGGTCGTTGGCCTCTCGACTCAAGACTCCAGTTGAAGACCTCGAATCGGGACATCCGGATCTAGCCCACAAATTTTCTGAGCTGAGCAAGCGCGTTTCCAATGCCGCTCAGGATTCTGCAACCATTGCCGACAGAGCTGCGGCCGAAGTAGCGGAAACAATGTACAGGAAAATCACGGCGGAATGGGAAGCTGTGGTAGCTGAGATACGCAATCTTCAAGATTTCTCGCGGTTCCTGCTCCCACCTTCGTATGAAGACTTGCAAGCGGCAGCGCGCCATGGCCCTGTCGTCATCCTCATTGCCAGCCAGTACTCGTGCAGCGCTATCATTGTCCCAACGTTGGGAGAGCCCTGTCATGTTCCCTTACCATCTATCACCCTCGTAGATCTCGAGGATCTCAAGGATCGGTTCGCCAGGGCGATACCGCAAGCATCGAAGATGGGCCTAAACCGGCCACGAAATGATCTAATTGTCCTCTTGCGGGAAGTATGGGACAATATCATGCTACCCATTGTCAACGTACTCGAGAATACCTTCAGATTGAAGCGCCAGTCTCGAATATGGCTGTGTCCAACTGCAACCTTTACCTCTATTCCTCTCCACGCAGCTCACCCCTTTCGAACAAAGGCAGATCGTTCTGGGAAGGAGCTGTGCCTAGAGGATCTCTACATCTGCTCCTACACGCCGACACTTTCGGCGCTGATAAGATCTAGACAGATGATGAAGAATTGTGTACCTCCATCCTTCGTGGCGGTTGGGCAAAGTCAACCGGGCGGAGGGAAAGGCAAGGCGCTCTTGGCTGTCGACAGCGAGCTCGAGCTTGTCCATAAGCTCGTCCCCGCGACGGCTAATCGTTCCACTCTTTCTGGCGACGCAGCCACACGAGCAGGTGCACTCGAAGCCCTGGAACAGAACACCTGGGTGCACCTCGCTTGTCATGGCAAGCAGGACCAAGACCAGCCTTATAATTCTCATTTCGTCATGAAGGACGAACATCTCACTCTCCTCGACATTATGGAGAAAGATATCCCGCACGCTGAGTTTGCGTTCTTGTCGGCGTGTCATACCGCCGTAGGTGATAAGGAGACGCCCGACGAAGTAATCCATCTCGCAGCCGGACTCCAGTTTTCGGGGTTCAAGAGCGTCATTGGCACGCTGTGGGAGGTCGACGACGCTGTTGCAAAGCACGTTGTCCAAGCTTTCTATGAAAATATGGTCAAGGATGTTGAGGATGGCGGGTTCATGGACTGTACGAAGGCGGCTTGGGCACTGAACCGTGCTACACACGCCGTGAAGAGCAAGGTGCCGCTCGAGCAGAGAATGGTTTTCGTTCATATTGGAGTGTAGTTCTACGTCGTATTGCTGTTGTCTGGTACATGTTCACAAGTTATTTATCTGCGATCCTCTTTCGTCATGTTTGTTTTGTAGACATAACCCTGACACTACTGCGCTCCCGTTATCTCATTTTGGTTTTAATGTTCCCTCTCGTGTTATTGTTCATTACAATATTTACCAATGTCCTTGCGTATTCGAATCACTTGCGGCCTTGCAATCTGAGTACATAGTACGAGTCGACTCGCACCGTCCAGTCACACCATTTTTCAACCTTTCAAGTCCTTATTACTATGGCGTGACTAAGGCTGTATATGGATGCCTAGAAGTGCGAGGTGGAGCATGAAAGTCCCACCGGCCCATACACATCGCTGCTTCAAGGTGATATGGAGTGACTCACATTGAAGTCTGATATATCGGCCTTCGAAGCCATCGGGCATAATGGTGCGATGGAGTAAGCTCAAGGATGAGGACGGGCAGAGGCAGCTGCACAGAGCTCAAAAAGGCGGTTCGAATGGTGGTAGCCCAGAGTAGCAGTATGTCGCCTGAAGTTCTCATCACCCGTGATATTTACGAATCAGTCGTAGTCTCCCTTATAATTACGGCCTCCCAAATGCATTTACTTTGTCGAGACTCATTATTGTATCTGTCGAGTGTCAGGTACTATGCGGGAAGGTTTATGAGTGCACACACATCGGGTGTGCTGCCTACCTAAAGCTGGAGGCGCGATACAGGTTTGAATTGTATGGGGCAGAAGGGAATATCAATATTGATCATGATACAATCTGCTCCACGGAGGACGATAGGGTGCTGACTAATAGACGCTCAAAATCCGGGACATTCCGATTTCCCCCCTAATGGGCTTAGTACCTTACATACTAGACGTCGCCCCTCAATTCACTACATTCATCTTGATGAGAACATGACCGACGCGAACAACTCCCCGGCTCGAGAAATCGTCCATCTCCATGTTACTCATCCAGACCGTGACGATATTTTCCGCGCCACCGCAACTCCCAGCGATTTGATCAAACGGCATGCAAAGACTTTCGGCGTACAATGTACGCAGTGTCAAAAAGTATTGGACAAGCTTCTGAAATGTTCAAAGGTGCTCGTGGTTGATATATCTAAACCTCTCACAGGCGCTTATTACATGTTTTTTTAGTGTAAGGGCGTCTGGTATTGTTCAAAAGAGGTAAGATCTACGACTGCGACGAGACAGAGGGGCTGACGTTGTAACTTTATACATCTTCTTGTGATAGTGCCAAAAGGAACATTGGTGAGTATTCTGCTTACGATTAACCCACACAGAGACCTCACTCCAGACCCGGAATCGCATACCATGACAGGCCCACTCACAAATCGGCATGTCACGCCGTTGAATGCTCCTCGGGGGCCCTGAAATTCGTACGAATGTTCTGCGGAAACATCACGCTCATGATGTACCTCAAAGTCGCCATCATATATGACTGTGGTTTGCTCGACAATCCACGACTCGGGTTCGATATACCTTTCATGGCCCGTGTTGACATCGCCATTGAGCCGACTGAGATTCTTGACTTTGCGGCACTGTATTTAAATAACAGGACCGTCGCAGAGAAGCTGAAAGGGATGGTGCAAGTCAACACCATCTCTGCGTGGGATCCGAACACACACCCTCCCCTTACGGAGATGAGACTGGGCTTATGGCGCAAAGCTCGAGCAGAGTCTATTGCAGCAGGTTTCGGGAAAGATCCTGTTGGACTCATCGAGTTCCTCAATTATACAGAGAACTCGAGCACCGCTGCGTTTCATATCTCCAGTTCTATTCTTGACACCGCGAGGAAACGCGAGCCCTTCTTATGTTCCTCTGCCGTCACGGGCAAACAATTCGAGAAACCTATGGACTCTGCGACGTGTATTGAGTGGGTGCCTTGAGCCCAAATTGTTATTTTCACAAGCAGAGCTCACAATTGTCTCGCATAGGTGTCTCAATTTGCATATCCGGGCCGATGGGCAGAACCAGTTGCTTTTAAGGACTGTGATGACAGAGCAAGATAAGGAAGTTATTCGCGCCGCAGGTCGCAATGAGGACTCTCTTTCCGTCTCTCTTCTCAACTACAAGATGCAAAGAGAACTTCTCTATGCTAACATAATTAAATTGAAACGCTAGCCAGTCACATCTTCAGTGGGTACGTCTTCGTTTTGTAGAGCGCTGATCTGTTTCTGAATCTTCCACTTCCACTAAGACAGACGACTCTGTTATGTTCTCGAACACAAGCACGGAGGTTGGGTTGATTGAATGTTTTGGGCGAACCAGGTATATTTGTTGATTGTAGTTGTTGGATATACTATATTACTGATTAGTTCAAGATATCGATATCATACGTCACTTCTAGTGTTACTGTTACATAGTGCTGCCGAAGTCCGGTTCGGTCCAGTTCTTGGGGGTGTTTTGTCGAACCCAGAACCGAACCTTTGGTCCAGTTCAGGGCAGGAGGCAAACCCTGGACCAGACCGTTCATAAGGTCCGGTTCAGGTTCAGAACCGGTTCGAACCATCAATTTTCTCATTTTAATTAGCATAAAATACAAAAAAAATCGTACACTATGTCATGCTCATTTTCAGAGCTCAAGCGCCTCGAACCTCTTCAGCAGCGAGCAATTGTAGTGCTGAACAATGAAATTAAGACCAGGATGTGGAAATGAGTCTGTCAGCAAGGTGTAAGCTGTCAGGATGACATAAGTAGCTTGAATAACGAAATGACACACTCTCTGAGAGCGGGAGGTGGGAGGCGTTAGTATGAACAGACCCATATGAATGATTCATCAGCAAACTACTGATTTAGCTACAGATTCCCACAGTGTGCCAGATACCACAGAGCTGCCAGATCCCAGAGCCACAGAGTCACAAATTCCCACAGTGTGTTACAGACCCATAGAACTCACAGAGATCCGAGAGCCACAGAGCCAAAATTCCCACAGTGCGTTACAGACCCACAGAGCTCACAGGATTGAGCACAAAAATTTCACCAAGTCTTTTAATTAGCTTAACATTGATCTTAAACCTTAGTATTGACTATGGTAGACCGTGGGAACTTTTTCGAAGAAAATAAAAGTTGTAGCCCTTGTCAAGGGTAGTCTATCCATAGTCTCACAACATTTTGTGGTCAAGATCCTAATGACTTACAAGCAAAATACTAGAAAGTGGTGTGTTCAAGAAAGCAACTTAGCCGTGGGAACATTTTTCGATGAAAATCAAAGTTGTAGTCCTTGTCAAGGGAAGTCTATCCATAGTCTTGTGATTTCAATAGGTTAAGATCCTAATGAGTTATAAGCAAAATACTAGAAAGTGGTGTGTTCAAGAAAGTTCAGGCACACAAGTAATGTGTCTAATATTTGCTTATTAGGACTAGGAATACCAATAAGAATAGCATAGTAAAGAAAGACTTATGAATTTCGAGTTTTTGATTATCAGAGACTAGGCAATACCAATAAGAATAGCATAGGAAAGACTTATGAATTTCGAGTTTTTGGTTATTAAGACTAGGTAATGTGACTTGAGAAATGGTATATATATCATTGTGAGTGAGGAATAGGAAAGCTGCTATGGTGTAATGGTAAGTATGTTGTTGTTGATAAATAATTCTGAGTGCATGAGGCTTGAGGTCCCCAGTTCAATTCCTGACATTGGCAATTAAAAGTGTCAAAAAAAGCGAACTTGTTTTTATTTGTTTACTACCTGAAGCTTTGGCTCTGTCGGAGCTGTGGTACTGGGAGCTGTGGCACTGGGAGGTTCTGTGCAGTACTGTACAGAGTGGGGAGGCTCTGTGTAGTACTGTACAGAAGGGACCAAGCTGTGGTGCTGTGGCACTGTACAGCTCTGTACAGAGCTGTACAGAACATTGTAGTTTGCTGATGTTCAGTGTCGTGCTGGTACAAGTGTGGGACTTTGCCTGCGAGTGCGTTTGCCTCGAGCAGGTCAAACTGCCATAAATGGCACCGTTCCTGTGCGCTCGTTGCCGCTAGTAAAAATCATGCTCACAGACTACGGCCTGCCACCATGCTCTGAGGAAGTCGTTCTCGATCTTTTCACCGGAAAGACATTGGTTGCGTGGCCGCGTAGACCGAATTGAGTCGTGCAGGCATCAGACAAGTCAAGTTCGAGGTCAACTTCACTGACGAGAATGTTGCACAAAACTCCAGGCACAGTGGTGAAGCCCAGTAAGAATCGGTCAGATGCCCTTGGACGGAGAACGACGGAAATCAATGGAGTCTGAAAAGTATGATGTCCGTCGACGAGCGTCGACAAATGGCGCGTACCGTTGATGCTCAGACGACTCACAGCGATGCTGATTGATGCCAGTCGATGAAACATCGAGTAGTTAGATTTCCGTAGATTTTAATATATTACTTGCATCCATTGGTTCTCAGATTTTGTCAACACAAATTGACGGAAAACAATGCATTTATACGACAACAAATCAACAAAAAACACTATAAAAATTGGCTACCCGCCCGCCCATTCGCACCAGCTCCTCCATCCTACTATCCACCCCCGCTGACGATACGCAGCGCCGAGCTAATACAGCGTGCCACCGGAGGACTTCACGAGAACGTCGAATGTGTTCGCGGTCCACACACAGTCAGCAACCTGGATAGGACACATGAATAAGTGCACAGCAAGAATAGGATCAGTACTTACCAGATTCGAAGCCTCGATGTCGTAGCTCTGCAGTAGTAACCATTACAATTAGTAGACCAGAACACAATAGAAGAAGAATGAAAAAGATACCGCTTGACAGGTTTTCTCGAGTCCCAATATATCTTGAAGTCTTGCGAGTATCCGTTTGGCATGGTCCACACACAGTCGGCAACCTGGATAGAACACACAAATAAGTGTACAATAGGAATAGGATCAATGCTTACCAGATTTGAAGCCGAGAGAGAGAGGCTGTCGTCCACTCTAGGCCGTTTCGGGTTGGATATCAACACTTTCCAAGTTGCTGCTCGTGGAGCTTGTAGTTGAAACACTGAGTCGAAAGAGTGACTATATGTGCCCTGTTTGTAGTGTATATGAGACGTTTGGGCACGAAAATGAAGCAACAAACTCACGTTATTATGCAATGCTGATTTACTGAGTGGTCGTCGGAACAATGGTCCATGTTCTGATGTGGAAGTCTAAAACCAAAGGATCAGTGATTTTCCTGTGACTTGATGATGCTACAAAATTTGGAAAAGGAGCTCGCCATTGCCTGAGTGTCATTTAAACTAGAGTATGAGTGTGTAGAAAGGGTGTGATGATTTAGAGGCATGAAAGCCCGAAAGACATGATGACGGTACAATCAAGAGAAGTGAATACCGTGATATTGTTGTGCTGCCCTGCGTATGTCATTCAAGCTGTGATGTCATGGGAGCCTTTGGGTTGATTTCGGGTAGCCTCAGTTTCGACAAAGTACAAAATCAACATTGCTCGAGACTCGTTGAACATGTTGAGCTGCGCAGCGTGCAAGAGAATGAATTCCGCGTGCACAGCCTTATCAGCTCAAATCAAACACATGGTGTTCAACGTTTTGTTTGCACAAGTTAGATTTCCATCAATTTAGGTCTACTGACTACTCCAAACCTACAAATCCATCAATCTCCGTCCGAGGGCATCTGACCGATTCTTACTGGGGGTGAAGTGCGGATTACGGCCCCAGTGTTCGAATGTCATGCGCTGCATAGCAAGCAGCAAGACCAGAAAGTGGGGAAGATCCTGGATGAAATTGAAGCCGGCAGATTGAATGGTTCTCATGATCAAAATACCAGATGTAGATGATGTCGTCTAGCACGGGTCATTGATGTGACGAGAGGTCAGCAAGATTCAAAACAAGCAACTAGACACTCACTTCAATTTTAATTTTCACTCACCCAGTGCTGCGCCCGCCGGGGATAGTACGATCCATGCACGCGGGATGCGTTCGTCCGAAATACGCCCACCCAAAATGCCCGTGATGGTCACATCAATAATGAGCTTGTTGGGCCGCGCCAGGATCATGTCTCAATTTCGACTGGGGAGACTTGCGTCCCTGAGATTTTGAACGTGTCCTGGGAGGATGGGATTAGTACGAACTGAGTTATGGACGTGGATGGTGCAGCTTACCTTGGTGTGGTCTGTGAAGCTGCAAACAGGGCGGATAAACCTCAGTGTTATGGGAGGTATATCATACTTATCCAACCAACTCACAAAAGCAGCGGAGATGATGTGATCACATTGGAAAGAGATTGCAAGTTGTTGGCCGCTGAAGAAGCATTCTGGGCAATTGCTGGAACATGGCTGATGCTTGGTGGTGACTCTGCCTGATTATGGACCTTAGTGCATCATCGAAAGAGAAATGGTAATGTTCCAAATTGCATTGGTCAAACTTACCTGCGAAATGAAATGCCTGAATTGCCAGAAGCCTGGTCTTCGGTAGCAGTGAGTGGTAAAGAATCCTGCAGCAGCAGTCAATCATTGCATTCAGGGTCATGTCAAGAGTAGGAAGTGCACCTACCTGGGTTGTCTGAATGGATAGGAGATCCTGTGCGCTGGAACTTTCAGTCGTGGTTTGAAGAGGTTCGGACACGTTCGAACCGGTTCTGGGTAACCCCGAACCCCGAACCTGTTTGGAGTTCGGTCCAGGGGCCACGCCAGACCTGTGACCGGACCTTGAGTCCGGTTCGGAAAAGTTCGGGTTCGAACCAAGGTTCAGGACCGGACTGCGGCAGCACTATTACTGTAGTGTATCATCATGATATTGTTCCGTTTGAAAAGGCCCGGCAGTAAGTGGCACCCAATATGCGGGCACTGTTTCAATTAGCTCTCCGATGTTGATCAGGCGAAGTAGGATTGGACTGAGGTTTCAATATTCAAATCGTGTATCTAGCATGCACCGGGGTTGGGAGCACCAGCTGTAGCTGAAAATCCATGCATGAGACTCCAAGTGAAAGAGCGAGAAAACCTGTCGGCGGAGAATGACTTGCGTGAAAAATTCGCCAGGTGCCCGCCATTTCTTTACGCCGTTCTTTCTAGTCAGCCATCAAGGAGTCAATTGTGGCACAGATTCAATCCGCCAAAGAGTATATGTTTGCTCGTCCTGGATGCGCTAGAGGATGAGGATAGTGGGTGTGAAAGTGGGTTGATGATGCTGTCCGATGTGAGTGATGATGCGGCCGATGGTGTGAATGGGCTGCATTGATCGTGGACTTTGGTGTTCTGGAGATTTGCTGGAGATGCATATAGATATTACCGTGGTCATTCTGTGTCTCGAGTGCCTTTTAAATTGTACACTGCCAGTGTTTTGTGATATTTGACTTTTCATTGCACAATGTAGGGAAACATGATTCGCTGAATGTGCAGAAAAGAACATCGGTTAAACCATGTGTAAGGGACGGTAGAGTGCGGACGAGCGATTGATCTATTTTAAGACTGACGCCTCAGCAAAGCTTAGCACCGTGTACATCTATGTCCCTGCACAGGTTATCACCTAAGCAAGGCGCCTGCAAGTACAGCTTGCAAAACATCGTATCTAGAAGGTCTGTTCATTACCTCCACCATCATCAACGTCCCCAATCGTCGTTGTGCTGCACGAAAGAACAAGTCAAGCATGCCAGCGAAATGGAGAGAAGTAGACAAAGGAAAGCTGTCAAACTCGTCAGGACCTGTTTCTCTGCTGAAGCGCTCGGAAATCCTGCCAGCTTATGGTGCACAGCACCACCGGGACGCACTTTGGGAAGGTGAGCGAGCACGTTACGAAACCCGTTGACCGACTCAACATCAGGCAGGAGGAAATAAGGCGCTCCCTCCTATGTGGACAGAGTGGAAGAACAAGGGGTTTGATTCATCATATAGCGAAGGCACATTCAATGTGTCTGCAATGCATAGACCGCTACCAGGAGTGCGACTAGGTGAGCGACGAAAGTGGGATGAGAGCAAGAAACTCAGGATCGAGCATAGATTACCCCGGGTGGCTCCTTCCTGGATGTGAATGGCACATCGCACCGCACGGTCGGTCCTACTTCGTCAACCACAACACTCGGACCACATCGTGGAAGAAGCCAACGCCAGAACGAACAGCAGGGAGTTTGATGCCAGAGTGCATCATCAAAACTGACAACCAGTACAACAGCCTCTGCCTTGCCTGCTTAGGCAGTGGCAATATAATGAGTACATCGAACGATGGTTCGATTCACCAGTGGACAAGAGATGGAAAACCAGTAGGAAAGCTTGCGGATCACGGTGGCAGAATGTCGGTAACCGCAATGGCCGTATCTGTGGATGAAACAATGATCGCATGTGGAAGTTCTGATGGCAAAGTATGGATGTGGAATATAAAGGAGGGGAGTGTGGTCGGTAACCCGCGGGAGGGGAATAATGACGTGTATGTGGCGTGCCTTGATTGGTCTCCGAATGGAGTGGAGGTAGCAGGTGGATGGCGGGACGGCACTATACGACGATGGAACCCGGCCACTGGCAGACAAATTGCATCACCGATAATGACTGGTGATGAAGCTGTGTGGACAGTCAAATACTCTCCACAAGGCGACAAATTCACAAGCAGCGGTGATGACGCAATCCGGGTGTGGTCAAAGGACGGCGAGCTGCTGATCGAGATAAAGGCACACAATTTGGGGAGATCGTTATGTTGGTCCAAGGATGGCGCACACATCTTCTCTGCCTCATTTGACAACACCATCCGAAAATGGCAATCGATCGACGGGAAAGAACTCGTCGTTTTTCAGGGCCATACCCACTCTGTTACATCCATTTGTCTGTCTCCCGATGGATGCCATCTTGTTAGCGCATCAGACGACTACACACATCACAAAAATTGCTCAAGTCAGTCATTACCCGATTTAGACTGCCTCGCGCCACAACAAGCAACCAAACAATTCCGTGTGACGTCAGCAACACATCAACATGATATTGGAACACCCTCGAGTATCTCAGGATGACGCACACCCCCTCACCACACTGCCATACTGACAATGAGTCGATAGTCCTTGTATCTACATGATACATATTAGACACAACAATGTATTGACAGTATCCTAGAGATATGTAAATAAATAAAAAGTCAACTTCAAACATGTGCAGCGCCACGTGTAAGCTCGTTGGTACCGGTGTGCCGGGTAAGCTGTTTAATGAGCAGAGTCCAGAAGGGTCCAGAAATCGAAGAACACGACTAATGATTAAGATTAAGATCAAAGCGCGCCATAGCCTTCCTCGGCGAGAACATCATCATCGAGTTCCTCGCCCTCATCAGCCACAACTCGATCCTCGTCATCCGGATCATTCTCGCCATCCGGATCATCATCCTCATCATTCCATATATCCTCGACATCTTCTTCTGAATCATCCCCGATATCAATATCTGCCTCGTCGGCCTCTTCTGCTTCTTCCGCTCCGTGTCCTTCATGCTGAAGAAAATCGTTCCAGTCCCACGTAGCCTTGTGACCGATTCCACCACCCCGGTATCTCATAAACATATCCCGATCAACGAATCTATTAGTCATTTAGTTAGAATTAAAATAGTGACCATAAAAAACATAAAATGAGTGCGCACATATTCAAATAGTAGAACCGGCTGTCAGAATTCAGATCATCGGGATCAATAGGATATGCAAACCCTGGAATTAAGTGCACCCCACGAATAACGGTGTCCGGGTCCAAAAATCCGTATCCATCAGGGCTGTCTTCGTCGAAGAACTCAAGGCGGTGGAGTCGTTTTGCAGCCCAACCTGCAGGCGAACTATCCCGTCGGAACCAACGGACAAGTAGGAAGTCCATCCGTGTTGGGCGTGAGTATAGTCCAGTGTTGTTCTGATGTTCTGCATTGATATGAAATATACCGATCACTCGGGCATACCAATAAGGGTGAGTCTTCTCCTCTTCGTGGGAGAGAACCATAATGTCGGCACGAGTGCGGGGATTGATCGTATCCTGTTCACGTCGCAAGTCGTAGGTCGTGTAGTTGATCCGTAAAATACTATGTCGAAATAGTTTGTTGTCGGTGATCAGGACTGATGCGCGATCGGCATCAGAGAAGTCGTGCTCATCTCCGTCGTATGTAATACCACGAATTCGAGCGAGCAAATGGTCCTTGAGACGTGGAATGAAGTCCTAAGAAATTAATGAGTATGGTTAAATTTATCAGAAAATAACTGCACCTCGACAGCAGGGTCATCTTGATGCTCACTTAACCAGACTGTAAGATCATCAGTTGCTCGAGCATATTTGGCTATCGAGTGGTGATCGGAGGGAGACATTCGGACACGCCGAGCTCTTGGGTTCTGTTGATGCGCTGCACGTGCAGCGATCACCTTCTCGACGAAACGTTCTAGAGCCTCCTGAGATGCAATGCTGGCGATCATCTGATTCTTCTTTTTGGATGTGCGGGGGTATCGACGCTTAGATCTGCGATGTTCTAGTTCTCCCTATGGTAGATTAGATATCAGATAACCCGATAAAAAAAAACTTACCGGCTGTGTGGAATAACTATCTGTAGTACCCATTCTCCGGATCGTATTAGGGTAATCAGCGAGCGCGTGGTATTTGTATGTATATAGATTTAATTTCTTGACCTTGGTACTTACAACTGACTTGTCTTTTTGCGCTGACTGCCTTGTAGCAGGTTCCGCCAGTTGTTTTGATGCTAGAGCAGCCTGACGACGACTACGGGCGGCATGCTCCTGTGGTTGTTCGGTCGTCACATATTTCTTGCAAGTAGTGCGCGTGAACTTGCGGACTGATCGGGAAAGGACGATCGTTGCTGAGTCGAAAAAGGCAAGTGTGTCGTCAGTATGTAGACGTAGTTTAGCGTATGCGTGCCAAGTCGCGAGATCAAACAGGAGATCGAGGACGATTCTGTTGTGTTTGCGGGGGAGAAGTCCTTCAAAGACCGGAATAGCGCACTGATATTAATAGTTTAACATTGATCGCATCATTGATCGCATCATTGATCACATCAATGATGCGATCCATGATGCGATCAAATGTAGTTAATATGAATCTTACCTGAAGAAGGTCTTCGAAATCTCGGGCAGCAAGGCGCTTCATGGCCGACGCATTCGTGTGGAAGCATCTTATTGTACCTCGTCCAAAAGTGGGCACTCTGCGATACCTATCATAAGCATATGTGATTAGTTACCTGCGTGAAAATAATGACACTCATACCTCCAATTGAGTTCCTGGATAGCTGTCCCCCCGGCGGCAAAAAAGAATACGCATGAGATGCGTAAAAATAGCCTTCCAGACTCCAAGCTCGAATTCGTGTAGAAGATCGACAACGAAAAGTAAAAACAACTTGAATGCAAAGTCAGCAAGGCGCTCAGAGAAGGCGTTCTTAAACAATATTAATTTAAAATGAAATGATATTGTTGATCGATCACTTACTCGAGTAGGAACAAGTGACTCCTCCTGCAAAAAGTTCTTGACGTACTGGCTGTTGATACCGGCACCTTTCTGAAATATATGGGCCCGAGCTTGCTCAACACGATCACGACGGGATGCGCTATCGATCCGTTGATTTGTCTTGCGCCGCTTCATATCAAGCTTTGTTCCCATCTTAGGAACATCAGCTTTCTTGATCAGGCAGCGAGGACACGGACATTCGCCGAGAAATTTGATGCATGCGAGCAAGATTCTGTTTAATAATAGAATTAAGATCAGATACCGAGCAATAGATATGAAAATCTTACTTTTCAGGATAGTCTGCAGAATAACTAAAGAAACGAGGGAATACACGTCTTGTGATGCCATCTCCGCATCGAATGACAACACCATACTTATATGCGTGCATAAACTTTTCATCGAGCAGAAGCGCCCAGATAGCTTGCATCAACTCGCGCTTACAATGAGTGTAGGTATCATTTGAAGAGGCCTCGCCAAATATACTGATGTAGATATCTTGAAAATTATCTGGAAGCTAAGATCATAATGTTAATGAGCAATTTCAAATAGTGATCTTCTGAGAAGCGACTTACAGTAGGAATATACGCTACATGATGACATGCGGACGCTGTTGGTTTGCCTCGAGTATATTTGGACTGATTGCCGAAAAGCAAATAGACGGGCCAGAGAGAAGCATCACCGAAACTTGCGAGATGAGTCGCATCTGACCACATCATGAGCGATGCAACAACACGCTCAAGATCGTCATCGGGATCGCGGGGAAGTGCATTGATCTCTTCATAGGCCTCAATGAACGCGGGCGAAGAATATGCCTCGCCATATACGTTCACGGTATGCTCCTCTGACACCTTCCATAGCTGCTGGAAGGGCGTCATATGGAAGGTGGACGCGACACTGTCCTCGAAGACAGATGCGATGATGTCAGTGATGGAGCGGTGATAAATGCCCGGAATCTCCATTTCCGGGGCTTCGTCTTCTGATGGGAACTTCTCCCTTTCCTTGGGTAGGCGAATTTTGACTGAGGAGCTGCGCCAGCCGTTTTCGACACGGAATGGATTTGACTTATCCTTGAGATAATCCCCGAGAAGACGCTTCTCACGTACATCGTCGTAATTTCGAGCGTCTTCTCTCCGGTAGTTGTCATCGTCGAGGAAAGTCCTTGCAAGGCATTTCATCTCAGCGCTTGACTTAGAATTTATTCCGGAGTATTGCCAGCAAAAGAGAAGCCCCGCAGTGGGGCTACTGAATCCAGAGAAGATATCATCGGGTTGGATATCCTGGGAGGGAAGTCCAGGAACGATGTGTGATCGATCCAAATTAGGGTCGCCTTGCGTTTCGAAGGTAGGAGCATCAGCGATCGCATCAAGGCTTTGATCTCGGTGCGGGATCAGAGTGGGACGTTGCGCATATATGCGGAAAAGTCCCAACTCATCTGGTGCTGTCTGGTAAGGGATGAGTGTGGGCTGTTCTTGAACATCAGCAGGGGGGGTTCCTCGTTCCTCGTTAGGTGAGTTGGGAATGGGTGCTGGAGGAGATGGCGCAGCGGGCTGGCCACGTGCCTGACGCGAAGTAGGGGGCATATGTGCTAAGTGGGTTGCTGTCCCCGGGACATAATCCGTATACCGCGCTGGCATTCGAATTTGTCGACCGGAGCGAGCAGAGACAGTAGCAGATGTCTCGGGTTCTGAAATACGTGAAGGTCCCAGCGCATTATTTTCAATCTATTGAGGATCAGCGCATCATGATGAACCTGAAAATATTATACTCTTACCTCATGATCAATGTCCGGCCATCCGTTGTCGACATCCATCTGCTCATCAGGATGAGGTGAGTTGTGAGCGGGAGGTGTCTGTTCTCGTGGTGTCGGCGACCGAGACTCTTCCCGACGTCTTCTCCGTTTGCGCTTCCTGCGCTTCTCCTTTTCAAGGCGGTGCTGACTTCTGTAGATATCAGTATCTAGAGATTTGTTAGCGGGGCATTGAGCTTCATGACTGCTCAAGCGTTTCTGGGTAGCAAAGGATTTTGCGCAACCCAAACAACTAAGGTCGTCCATACAAGATGAACTCAGAGGGCGGAGGGTGGTGGAGCTCAAGATTGACTCGGACATGGACAGGGCGATGTAATATATATATTGCACAGCGTAGATATCAATCTAGCTATGCAGTATAAACGTGGAGTACCTGAAAATATGAAGCTCTATGCAGGTAATTAGCATACCAGAATGCGGAAAGAAGAATATAGTGAACGCACCTGCTGACAATACTAATCCTCAGGGCTCCTCCATACCGTAAACCTGCAACTCCAATACCTAAACTTGCCTCATGACCCTTGCCTCATGACCCCTATCACACTGCCGGAAGACAACCGCGTGCATCTAATCACCCTGCAAAGTCACATAAAGTCCAAGAGCAGAAAACGGCATGCATCAAATTACCTTGATATAATGGATCCAGTCATGGGGCCAAGGTCTCTGAGGATGTTCTGCAAGGATTGCTTGTTGAAGCACGGTAGTAGCGGATACTGTATGTATCAGTGGCAGAGGATAACAGGACTTGTCAAAAGTTTGTTGATCGATCATATGATTCATATCAATCACGTTATTAATAATAACACGCGGAAATTACTATCAAGTACGCAACTCGTATCTTTATCTCATACCCCTACCATCATCCTCATGGCAAAGAAGCGTTCTCGATCGGTCTCGGTCTCCTCTCAATCCTCCACATCGTCCAACAGCGAAAGTCACTCACTGAGTTCTTCCGAAGATTCTCATGCTCCGAGTCCGCCAAGAAAGCACAGCAAGAAACACTCAAACACCGACAAGGAGGCTTCCAGATCAAAGTAAGTTCGATCTATCGATCGAAACTAAGCCTATACTACTTATCATTAATAGGAAAGCCAAGAAATCGAAATCCAAGGCGAACAAGGGAGATCCCCATGAGGAATACCTCGTGGCTGCACGTGGCATGGCACGTTGCATTGACTTGTTTTGCAAGGTCGACAAGCTCATCAAGATTGGCTGCCTACTTCAGCAAGAGGAGGCTGCAGAGAAGGGAGAGCTCGATGAATCTGAGGCCGATAAGGAGACCCGCAAGAAGAGACTCTCTGCTATGTAAGTCCATTCTGATCGAAAATTCTTCAGCTAATTTTGTATTCAGGTCATTAAAGACTCGCGATCGATACACGCGGAACTATCAGCAATTACTCCACTTAGCTCCGAGCATCCGATCTCTCATTAACGATCGCACCAAAGCCAGGGAACTGATCAAAGTCACTCATAAGGTGAGTATATGCTGCTTATATGCGCATATATTGTTTACTTACACCCATACTAGATGAATACAGCCATCAGTGCAACACGTTCAGACGATGCGGCTCGTTTGAAGTCACAAATCGGACACTATGCGGCGCCAATTCCATCTGATGGTGGTTTAAAACCCGCTATCTACAATGGTAATCCCTCGCGATCACATCTGGGTGTGAACCACCCTGTATTAGCATCCTTTCTTTGTCCTGTTTCGCAGCTCACAGAATTCACGCGAGATCCTGCTGAGTATGTATTATCTTATATAGCGTGTGCATGCTGAGATTCGCATTTCGCAGGGGCCAGAAAAAACTTGCCAGCGGAGGAATCCTCATGACTGCCAATGACTTCCCCGCATTCCTCTGGTCTGGAAATCCCCCTGGATGTGACTATGATGACGAGGCCATGACTGAAGGCCTATTCAAGGGCTATCTTATCGAACGCGTAAGTTTTTCTCAAGTATGGTTATCGGTCTCACACCAAGAACCTGTCTAGGTATTGCGTCATATATTTACAGGTCCATCAACTGCTTTAGGTCAAGATTCGCGGGCGACACGCACTTGCAATGCCGCACTACATGACATGACAACTGTCGAAGCGGAGCATATTGCTTACGCTTGTGTACAAGTAAGTCCTGTTTGATTCTCAAACATTCTCTCTCACTTTTCAATTCGCAGGCACGTTTCGGAATCAGCGCGCAGAATAAATGGTCGGACATCGACGGCAAGTTCAAATACCCGGAATTTTATTACAATATTATCGACTTCATTCGCGATTGTGGAGATACCGACTGGGTGCAAGAACTAAAGAAGTGGTGGAATGTGTACGTGTTTTTTTAATTGTTTGACTATCCTGACAATCTTGTTTCTGTAAGGACACTCTTCAAGAATGAGGATGGCAGAGAAGGCGGATCAGAAGCTCGGTCATCCACTGACGATCGTGGAAGGAGTTCCTCGGGTTCCATGGATAGCCTGGCGAGAATGCGAGCACAGGTTGCAGCGCGTTCCACCACTGCCAAATCCTCTGCAGCCCCTGCGGTCCCTGATCCTCTGCCGCCGCCTGCCCGTCCAATTATCACTCCTCCTCCAAGTTCTCCAGCTCTGAATCGTGCTGAACCTCCTCTCTCTTCACCACTTCCGCCTGCCCTTGCTCGTTCTCTAACAGCTTCGAAAATGGCCTCCTCCAGTTCACACAAGTCACCTGCGTTAAGCGATTTAACGGACGACGATGACGCACTCGATGACATCACCAATGGAAAGTCGAAACGACCGCCAGCCGCCAAAACTCACTCAAAGAGCAAGGGTAAGGGTAAGCAAAGGCGCATCGAGGATTCAGAAGATGAGGGAGATCAGCGGCCGGCAAAACGTGCAAGGAAGCAAACACGCAGGAGGTAGACGGGTGAATATTTTTGTTGCATGGTACGTTCCTGTATTCTTATTGGCCTAGTACTCATATCTTATTACAGGACTCGTTCACTTTTCCATTCCACTCAGCATTCGTACTTTCACACTTTCGCTATGGTTCTCTGACTAGTTGTTTCGTTCTCTCTTCACGACGCATGCTTTACATACTGATCCCGCCCAATAGACGATTGGACTCACTGCATTGACTCACGTTTTCGTACATTACAGTGTATTACATGTTCTTGTTCCATCGTATAGATTGAAAATACATCGCATTACATGGATATATCCGAGTGACTTACAATAGCCTACTATGTCTGAACTATCTATACGATGAACAATGTCGCAAGCCTAAGTATGACGTAGACTCATATGTTGATCGAACTTAGCGTTCCCTAGGATGACAATACATACTGGGTCCGGCAGCCGATACATCTGATTGTATAGATACCGCAGACATGACCATACATAGTCATGTCTGGGCTGAGTAATTTTTGTGATGCAGTTCGCATTTGGGATCTCAAAACCAATCAGCAACTTGGAGACCCACTCTGGCACGACGATCATGTCTGGGCTGTTGCCATGTCTTCTGATGGACGATACTTTGCCAGTGCTATCAATGAACCCAATTCAACAATATACTATGTATGGAGTCTGGAAGCAGCATTCGAGCGTGCTCGTGGGGTTGATGTACGCGTGTACTTTTCTTTCCTCAAGCTCTTTTCTAAGTAGTCTGGTTCGTCGGTCAGGGCAATGCAGAGCCCAACGCGAAGATCAAGGCAACATACCTGTCTCCTCTTTCATACCTCACCTGACTTCTTTACCTGCAGGGACTTGTAGCTCGACCTAGAGACGTGAGCTACTTGATTACTGATGACCTAATTCTTCGCTCATCTATCTCATCAGATTTCTCTCGCGCCTAGACACCAAATCAACAATAGAGGATTAGCAAGATATGTGAGTCCAGTGCGATCGTTCCTGAGCGCTTTTGATCCTGACACCTGTTCAGGGCAATGACTTCTTCAGCGAAGACACCAACCCCACGTCTCGTCGCTCAGCAGAAACATCATCTTCGCCTGGTCTGCGCGAGTTGTTCGGCTTCCTGCGCTCCAGCCCTCGACCTGCAAATGCGCCACAACAGTTGATTCAGCTTCAGCCCCGGCGATCAAATTTCGCATCATTTCCTGTGAGAATTTCTCGGCGTCCCATCGATGTTGCTCCTTGCCGTGATGAAGACGTAAGTTGCTGGTCATACCAGTGTTCTCCCCTCTACAATTCACATCATTTTGCAGAGATATGGCATTGTCCCCGAGTCTGACGCAGAAGCCGCCGCAGCTACATCAGCAAACTACAATGTTCTGTACAGCTCTGTACAGAGCTGTACAGTGCCACAGCACCACAGCTTGGTCCCTTCTGTACAGTACTACACAGAGCCTCCCCACTCTGTACAGTACTGCACAGAACCTCCCAGTGCCACAGCTCCCAGTACCACAGCTCCGACAGAGCCAAAGCTTCAGGTAGTAAACAAATAAAAACAAGTTCGCTTTTTTTGACACTTTTAATTGCCAATGTCAGGAATTGAACTGGGGACCTCAAGCCTCATGCACTCAGAATTATTTATCAACAACAACATACTTACCATTACACCATAGCAGCTTTCCTATTCCTCACTCACAATGATATATATACCATTTCTCAAGTCACATTACCTAGTCTTAATAACCAAAAACTCGAAATTCATAAGTCTTTCCTATGCTATTCTTATTGGTATTGCCTAGTCTCTGATAATCAAAAACTCGAAATTCATAAGTCTTTCTTTACTATGCTATTCTTATTGGTATTCCTAGTCCTAATAAGCAAATATTAGACACATTACTTGTGTGCCTGAACTTTCTTGAACACACCACTTTCTAGTATTTTGCTTATAACTCATTAGGATCTTAACCTATTGAAATCACAAGACTATGGATAGACTTCCCTTGACAAGGACTACAACTTTGATTTTCATCGAAAAATGTTCCCACGGCTAAGTTGCTTTCTTGAACACACCACTTTCTAGTATTTTGCTTGTAAGTCATTAGGATCTTGACCACAAAATGTTGTGAGACTATGGATAGACTACCCTTGACAAGGGCTACAACTTTTATTTTCTTCGAAAAAGTTCCCACGGTCTACCATAGTCAATACTAAGGTTTAAGATCAATGTTAAGCTAATTAAAAGACTTGGTGAAATTTTTGTGCTCAATCCTGTGAGCTCTGTGGGTCTGTAACGCACTGTGGGAATTTTGGCTCTGTGGCTCTCGGATCTCTGTGAGTTCTATGGGTCTGTAACACACTGTGGGAATTTGTGACTCTGTGGCTCTGGGATCTGGCAGCTCTGTGGTATCTGGCACACTGTGGGAATCTGTAGCTAAATCAGTAGTTTGCTGATGTATGCAACGTACGAGCAGCAACAATGCTGATAGCTCAACGCAGGAAGGACAGGTTGCTGCGGGACGACTACCACAAACTGCTCAGGGGCAAAGTTCTGCTTCTGAATCAGAAGAACCATATCTGATTGGATGTTGTGGATTTTATCTTGTGCGCCGTCAACCTGCATCGCACTAGTCCTTTGATTCGTCTACGAGGGTGGCTATCGTGGTTATTGTGAGAAATTATTCATTGACGCGCATGAGCCAACGTGACACTGATTTCTCCCTCTTTATGAAGTGGTCAGCACACGTGGATAAGCGTGTCTGTTTCGATGATACTGATACATCCGACACGGAGTCTGTGCGCTTGAGATATGGGATGGAGGAAATAATTAGTGCGTTTTGGTGGATGGAGGACTCACCGTACTCGACGTTGGCAGGGTCTAGGACTTTGGGTGCCATGTTCAATTTTGCAATTTCAGACTTCGAATACGGTTTAGAACGCGGACCGCCCGAACCTCGATTTTGTTCGACTGCACCTCGATCGTAGCCTGATATATTCCAGACCCCACAGTTGCTGGCGTGCTTTTCAATGCCCATCTTACTGGAGCATACAAGCCTCCATCCGGTGAATGATAATGGGTATAGCTCACAACCACAGACGCAAATCCAACAAACGGTGTACATCTCAGACCAAATACTGTGGATACGCTGGGGCCCTTCAAATATTCACATTTTCGAGTCCACTTGGAATGTAAAAGTTCACCTTTGTGGGAATCGAGTTTTGCATGGAATCCCAGTCTGCACGCTAGACTCGGGTCCACGGTTATAGATTGCATACAGTGAGGTCTAGGACGAGTGGTGAAAGAGCCATCTATGACAGACATCGGGGACTTGGTTAACTGGCCTGAGATAAGCTTGACAACGTCCCTGCCTTACATCAAGGTCGTATCTGACAGAGTGTTCGATGTTTGTGACTTAGGTGGCATATGGATCGACAAGGATAGAATTTATATGTTCCAGACGACTCAGAACATCGAAGGTTCATAATATTCTACCCTCGAGGTCATCGATGTTTAGAGTGGTCTATGTCAGCCATCCGTCAGTAATTTCTCCTTCATTATACCAAGCTCGAGGTCATGGATGTTTAGAGCAGTCTATCAACTAGTTGTGTTCACCTTGATTAGTTATGATGTATGACGCTCCAAACCGACTTGAAGTCGTATCGGACAGAGTATTAGTGTTCGATTCTTTCGAGTTTACAAGACAGCAAGTTACATAGCTGTGGCGTATGATTAGGATCCATTTGCTCCATCAGCTCAGGGACCAGGCAATCAATTTTTAGAGTGGCCTATCAGCGAGTTGCGCGGGACAGTCAAACTACTTCTTTTTGTTGGGCAGGCAGAGCTAATGGTGGATAAGAGATAAGGGTGAGGCTGTAGGTAAATACAGCCTTCAAGGCGGGCCCATGCGAGGTTGATAAAAGCCGCTGCGTGGTCAACGATGGACTCCAGCGTTCTGTCAGCAAACGCCAACAGAAGCTGATGTCACTCATATCAAGCAGTGTAACGTCCTGATTGTCGCAAGAATGTACAGCAGTAGCATTCAGCGTGAGGAAAGGGTGAACAACACGAACGGAGAACGAGATGTCTACGAGATGTGATGTTAGTAGATGTGTATGATGAGAAGTAGGTTACTTGCCAAGGGCTCATCTCCGCGATCGAGTAGGTCATCCCACGAAGTGTCAAATTTTCCGATGAGTTCTCCATTGACCAGCATTCGATCGAGCTCGAAAGATGTTTTGATGTCCAGTGATAATGCAAGTGACGCATCTAGTGATCTATAAACAGAAAATTATTCGTCAAATCGCGTACGAGAATCTCCATGGAATTGAGGTCAGAGGATTGCCCCGCGCTACAAATTCGTCGGATAATCGGACTCTGATGGCTGATATCCAACATCTTGTCAAGTCGACATCGATGGATACGTAGATGCCTGCGGGAATGCGCTCGGAAGGGACTTGAAGACTTTTTACGCGGACAACTGTAGATAGAGCGTGAGGATCACAAAACAGATACGAAGGTGATAGGGAATGACTCACCTTGAAGTCTGATATATCGGCCTTCTAAGCTATGGGGCATAGTGGTGTGATGAAGTAAGATCGAGGATAGCGGTGGGGTGAATTAACGGTAGGAGAAGACAAGGTGGGGATATGGGGTCTGTGAATCAATTAAGTGAGAGGGAGTGGAGAAGTGGGTGAGGCCTTGAGGGTTCGAACGTTCAGGTCATGCAGCTGCACGTGTATTTCCTGCGTGTTTATAGAAATGAGGCAGGTTAATGTAGTGAAGCAGCAATAAACGGACAGTACACGCACCTCTGCAGGAATAAGACACTCGCAATTCTCAAGACCATTAATCTCCATTGAAATGTCGCAGCTCGTATCCCACTCGATTGAAAGTGAGAAGATCACGAGGGCACAGTAATGGCAGTCGCGCATTTTCCCGATGTCGTCGGCCTCGTAAGACAAGACACTTCAAATGTGTGGGACTTGAGGATACGTTCAAGATGATGATACTTCGTCCGCCCAATAGTGCGTGCTCCCAGTACTGCCTGAGAACGCGGAGAATGAATTTGTATTCTTCATGTTAGATGGTCTTGACTCTTGATGAAGCGGTAGTCGCATGAAAAGTAGAAGAACGAGCTGCCTGGTGGGTATATTTGAATTTGTAAGTCATATTTTGCAGATCTGGGAGTTCGTTCCCAATGCTCGGAGGATGCGAGTTTTGGATGTGGATGATCCAGATGGTCCGGGTACGACATGAAATCCTGTTGAACCGATCATCGAGTTCGTTTGATATTTGGAGTAGAGTTCAGATTACCGGAATGGGCAGTGGCTGTGCCATTCTGTTTCTTTCTTCTCTCAGAGAGCTCTCTCAACGGGTTAACATCCGTGCAAAGCAGATGAAGTAGAAATGGACTGGGCGACACCTACTGGTAGTATTGCTCAGGCAAACGCGCCTGCTCCTTCAATGATAGACATAAGTACTGCCCGGGTTTTGTCAAAATTTATTTCCTGTGCTAATTGTTGCCTCTCAGAGGCTGCTGCGTTCAGCTATGTCGTCTGAATCTGACCCATACTCTCGCAAAGTTCCCCTGGTGCTTCCATAATGCTCTCGATCATCCTTCCCCCCATCGCACTGTCAGTTCAATCGTACTCATGTCATCATTGGGCTTTTTCTGTGTCGATCGTTTTCACGGGGACGGTTTGTATTGTTCGCATTACATTGCGACTTAAACTCGATTCTACATTTTGCCTTAGTGTGCTAAATAAATCGCGTCATTCTCTATCACAGGTTCTCCCGCTGACCCTAGTCAGCCGGTGCCAGCGCTTAACCTAATCCGTACCAGCGTCTATCTTGCTGAACAGCCCTCAACAACATGATCCAAATACACGTGCAGCATCACATGAACCTCAAACCTCCCACTCTCAGCCAAAATCCATCCACGGTCTCCATATCCCTACCCCCGTCTTCTCCTACCACTCATTCCACCCAGCACTAAGCCCATCCTTGACCCTCACTGTTTTGTTTGATCGTAACATCATGTCCGGTCGTGTAGAGAGCCAATCTATCAGGCTTGAAGGTAGGTCACTCCATGTCACATTCGTATCTCTTTTGCGATCCTCACGCTCTGTCTACAGTTATCGGTGGACAATATCTCCAAGTCCCTTCTTGGCGCATATTCGCAGGCATTTATGTGTCCATCATTGTCGACTCGAGGAGACGCTGGAAATCAGCCGTCAGAGTCTTATCATCTGACGGATCTGTAGCGTGGGGAGATACTGTCACTCTGTAAAGTCCCTCAAAATTTTCGGACGCGATTCGATATTGATCTTTGGTTTACAGATCATCCTATGAGTCACCTGCATTATCAGTGGAGATCAGAGCGTCCTACGAGGTCGGTCAAATGCTGGGCAATGGGGAACGAATTGGACAACTTGAAACATCGTGGGATGAGCTACTCGATCATGGAGATGAGCCATTCGGTGAGTATCCTACAGTTCGTTCATCTGTATCTACTCACATCCCGCAGAATTATCCTTCCCACCTGTTCGTGGTGTCAATCCTTCGCTCAAGCTAAAGGCTGTTGTCGTACATGCTTGTGATAATCAGGACGGCGCACTGTTTGATGTGGGTGATGCTGGCCTCTGCGGTTAGCGCTTGCTGACGGAATGTCAACTGTAGTCCCTCACAGACTGTGAGATTGCTCGAGACACAGATGCGGGCCACGCTCGGTGTGCCGAATACTGGACCAGCGGGACGGTGTCTCACCTGAACGATGCCGTCCGGCACTTTCAGTTGGTTCTTGATCGCTGTCCTGTCGACCATCTTGACCACGCAGCGGCTCTCACCAACCTCGCGTGGGCCCGTCTTGAAGGCCATATTCAAAATGATGTTCAAGACATTGATACAACTACTTCCCTCCTCCGCGAAGCCCTTGCATTGCGTCCGCATGGTCATCTCGATCACGCATTATCTCTCTATAACCTCATTGTCGCATTGACCTGGCGCTACAGCATGGAGCGCACCCCCGTCTACATTCACGAATCTGTGGAACTGTGCTGCAAGCTACTGCCCCTCTGTCCAGAGGGCACCTACCTTCGTAGCATGGGCGCAGACAGTGTAATAGATTATGTGATCAGGAAATGCAACAAACTTCCAATCGATTCATCTGACGAAGGCATCCGCATTCGACGAGTCGTGCTCGAGCTCTGTCCTCTGGGCCAGAAATACCATCCAAGAGCACTTGTCAATCTTTCATGTGCTCTCAGCGCACGCTTTCAACAACACGGCAGCGTTGATGACATAGATGAAAGCATACAACTTGATCGTGAAGCCGTTTCTCTGTGCCCCGAGGGACAATCTGGCCGTAATACCTACTTGAATAACTTGGCACACTCACTCGAGTTCCGCTTTTATCACCAAGGCAAATATCATGACCTTGATGAGGCCATCTTTTGGCGCGAGGCAGTGCTGTGCCTGCACCCTGTTGGGCACGAAGGTCGTGATTTTTCATTGAACAACCTAGGGAGCGCCCTCTGCACCCGTTTCAAAGCACACATTGACATTGATGACATCAACCGAGCTGTGAGCCTCCATTTCGAGGCACTGATGTTGCACCCACCTGGGCATCCACATCGTGACGATACACTTCACAACCTTGCCAGCGCGCTCCAAGAGAGATATCGCAAATTGCACGTCATCGAGGATCTTAACCAGGCCATTGATCTGCATCGTGAATCACTTCGGATAACGCCGCTTGACCATCCAGAGCGCCATAGAACTTATCACAATTTGAGCTCGGCGCTCTGCTTTCGTTTCACGCGAACCGGGAAGAATAACGATGTTGAAGAGGCCATTCAACTTTGCCAAAAATCGATGGAGACTTTGCCACTACTCCATCCTGAGAGACATGTGTCTTATTTCAAACTCCGGGAGGCCTATATGTCTCGATACTGCATGCAGTACAACCCTGCCGATCTGTCACTCGCTGTAGAGAACTTCAGACTCGCATCACGACACCCCACTTGTGGATTTCCAGGCCGCATCTTCGAAGCATATATATGGACTTTTGCAGCGGAGAAGCATGGTGATGGATCCGCACTGGAGGCTTACGCAACGTTTTTCGAGCTTCTGGATGCTCATTTGGCAACACGTTCATCAACCACTTCGCGGCGCGAAGCTGCTGCTGCCTTCCATTATACCAGATCATCACCTGTAGATGCAGCATCATGTGCCATCCGCCATGACGATCTCCGACATGCAGTCGAACTAGTGGAGCAGGGCCGTGGTCAACAGTGGTCGTTGGCCTCTCGACTCAAGACTCCAATTGAAGACCTCGAATCGGGACATCCGGATCTAGCCCACAAATTTTCTGAGCTGAGCAAGCGCGTTTCCAATGCCGCTCAGGGTTCTGCAACCATTGCCGACAGAGCTGCGGCTGAAGTAGCGGAAACAAAGTACAGGAGAATTACGGCGGAATGGGAAGCTGTGGTAGCTGAGATACGCAATCTTCAAGATTTCTCGCGGTTCCTGCTCCCACCTTCATATGAAGACTTGCAAGCGGCAGCGCGCCATGGCCCGATCATCATTCTCATTGCCAGCAAATATTCATGCAACGCCATCATTGTCCCGACGTCAGGAGAGCCCCACCATATTCCCTTGTCGTCTGTCACTCTCGCAGATCTGGAGAATCTTAAGGGTCGCTTCGCCAGGGCGATACAGCAAGCATCTAAGATGGGCCTAACGGAGTCAAGGTCGGACCTAATAGTCCTCTCGCGGATAGTATGGGACGAGATCATGCTACCCATTGTCAACGTACTCGAGCATGTCCTCGAATTACCGCGCGGGTCTCGAATCTGGCTGTGCCCGACCGCGGCTTTCACGTCTATTCCTCTCCATGCAGCTCACCCCTTTCAAACGAAAGCAGATCGCTCTGGGAAGGAGCCTTGCCTGGAGGATCTCTACATCTGCTCATACACGCCGACACTTTCGGCGCTGATAAGATCTAGACAGATGATGAAGAATTGTGTACCTCCATCCTTCGTGGCAGTCGGGCAAGGTCAACCGGGCGGAGGGAAAGGCAAGGCGCTCTTGGCTGTCGATGGTGAGCTCGAGCTTGTCCATAAGCTCGTCCCTGCGACGGCCAATCGTTCCACTATTTCTGGCGACGCAGCCACACGAGCAGGTGCACTCGAAGCCCTGGAACAGAACACCTGGGTGCACCTCGCTTGTCATGGCAAGCAGGACCAGGACCAGCCTTATAATTCTCATTTCGTCATGAAGGACGAACATCTCACTCTCCTCGACATCATGGAGAAAGATATCCCGCACGCTGAGTTTGCGTTCTTGTCGGCGTGCCATACTGCCGTCGGTGATAAGGAGACGCCTGACGAAGTCATCCATCTCGCAGCTGGACTCCAGTTTTCAGGATTCAAGAGTGTCATTGGCACACTGTGGGAGGTCGACGACGCTGTCGCAAAACACGTTGTCCAAGCTTTCTATGAGAATATGGTCAAGGATGTTGAGGATGGCGGGTTCATGGACTGTACGAAGGCGGCCTGGGCACTGAACCGTGCTACACACGCCGTGAAGAGCAAAGTGCCGCTCGAGCAGAGAATGGTTTTCGTTCATATTGGAGTGTAGTTCTACGTCTTATTGCTATTAATATGTCTGGTACATATTCACAGGTTGTTGATCTGCCACGATCCTCTTTCATTCTGTCATTTGTAGTCATGACCTTCACACCCTTGCGCTCCTGGTTGATATTTTCATCAATCCCGATCGGGTCTTTTCCTGCTACACCCACTACGACACTGAGTACCAATCTGTCAAGGAGGTGCGCAATTATATGACGGACAATGCCTTCATCTTTTTATTACTCGTACTCGTGCCAAAGCAGAGAAAACAACGATTCAAATATTCACAGTTGGTTACTTTATTTATATACATTTCGTTCAAATTCACATGTCGCCGCTTTCAGGCATTCAATGACCAACACCAGAAAAATACACATACAGAGCAGACATATACAACAGCTGCAGCTACTATATCACACTAGTACATATGAAGTCACATTAAGACCTCCTATTCTCCCTGAAGCCAGTCACCGTCCTCCCCCACCCAGTCTTCTGCCTCCGACGGCGGCTCCAGTAGGAAGTCTGACAAGGAAGCTGCCATACTTCGAGCCGGTTTCCAAAGTTTCGCCTGTTGATTCCACAATCGTATTATTTCTTTCCACACAGTAACATCGGACGGATTGAGAGATTCACACCAGGCGAGATCAGCCAGGTTCGGAAACACCTTAGCTAGGAGGAAAAAGACATCTGCCGCTTCCGCCGCCTTCGAGTTTCCGACATGCAGCTCGCGGAGGGCTGTGTGCGCGCGCCAAAGCTCCCAGTTTCCGTGTGGTGCATGAGGAAGCGTCGGAAGATGTGTGGCATCGAATGCTGGATGTAGTGGCAGTAGGCTATGAAGCGATCTGCACCTTGATACCAATGGGAGCACGGCGGTGAATGTGACCTGAGAAGTGACAGGTTCCGCTGGGATGAACTTCAATTCAAGAAGATCCGGCCAGGCAGCCCCGGCGCCCTCAATGAACCAATCATTAAGGTGGTAGTTTCCAACGGCAACGAATTTGACTATCGACAGCCTTCTGAACTTGAGCAAAGGCCGGAAAATGTACGAAGGGAGTGTGCTGTGGTAGCTGGAGTCACGCTCTGACCGACGTTGCGAAAAGTCGACCATAATAATGTTGGTTGTCCGAATCAGACACGATGCGAGTTCCATCACGCGGACCGGTGAGAACGAGACTCAGACTGTCACAAAACGAATCGGTGTGTGAACTTTGAAGACAGTGTGCACTGATGGCATGCGAACGAAATTACATTGACGTGTTTCCCAAGTGCCTGTTCCAAGCTTCTACTGATATTAGCTTCTATACTCAGCGCCCACATCCAATCAAGACTAGCTGCCCACCCCACCTGCATATTGTGAAGAGAATGGACCACGAATTGAAGTCCAAAACAGAATTTCTTTCTCTTGCTGAAGAACTGCAATGTTACATCCTGAGTTTTCTTCCTTGCCGAGATATTCTTCGTTGTACATCTGTGAGTCATGATTAATTGATTTTGCATTCAAGTTGATGTTAATTATTGTTCAATATGGACTTTTTTGCTGACGATTCTCTTACAGGTATGCAAGGCCCTTCGCCAGACGTACATGTCCTCATACGAGCTCCAGTACATTGTTGAACTCGGTGGCCAACAATTACTCCCTGTCCCCAACACGGACGATCACACACCTATTTCCGAGCGCCTACAACTTTTGAGGGACAAAGCCCACGCATGGTTCAAGGTCAACTTCCATTCTTTAGAAACAGTCTCTCTATGGGAGAAGATGCATTCCCCGCAGATAAATGATGGCCATATCTACACGCACGACACACGAAAAGGCTTAGTCGAGATCATTCCAATACTACCAAAACCCTCACAACAAACCGTCCAACGTGACCGGTGGCAACGAACATTGAGTTCAATAACTTCAACTCCCCGCTCAGTCGTGTGCAATGTGTTCATGGACCTAGCACAAAACCTGATTGCTGTCCTGCATTGTGTTGACCAGGCATTCTACATTGACCTTGGAGCCCTGGATGGTGATGGCGTTCACCCCCGAGCTGCTGGACGGAGACTGTCTCGCACGGTGCTGCCTGGATCCGGGGACATTTCCAGTAATAGATACCGTGCAAATATGAAGTGTTTCGGGAGGCATATCGCTTTCCATTGGAGATCTCCTTCGGAAGTCATGTGGCTGCAGATTTGGGACTGGAAAAATTCAATGACATCCAATGTGAGCCTCGGTCAGAAACAGTTGAAAGGCCACAGTTGATTCTCAATTTCATTCTAGTGCATCCTCAATGACAACGACGCATACCCAGGCAATTTTTTTTTCCTCGGAAGCAACAGGTTGCTCGTTGTCTACCACGAGTCGGATTTGAATATCTATTCAATCGAGGATACGTCCCAGGCCCCACAATTGCTAGCGTGTTTTTCGATGCCCATCTCATTGAAGCACACACGCCTCCATTTAATGGATTATAATGGGCATAATTCACAGCCGCGGATGCAAATCCAACAAACGATGTACATGTCAGACCCTAAATACTGGCTACTATGCATAACCGTATACGAGAACCTCGGAACTCGTGCCGGTCCCGTCTTCATCATTTCTACGAGGGTTTTCCACGATTTTGATGGAATGGCAGTAGCCAACTTGAAGCCAATACCGTGGACACGCTGGGGCCCTTCAAATACTCGTATTTTCGACGCGGAGCACACTCAGGCTTATGTATTCACATCTCAGCTTTGTGGGAATCGATTTTTTCAAGCAATCCCGCTCAGCACGGGACACAGGTATAGATTGCATATGATGGACTTCAGCCCGCTAGCTGTGACGAACAGGCGGGGTCTAGGACGAGTGGTGACAGAGCCATCTACGAGAGACATCAGTGAATTGTCTGGCAGGCCCAAGGAGAGCTTGACGACATTCTTGCCTTACGTCGAGGTTAAATTGGACAGGGTGTTTCATTATGAAGAATTACGCGTGTGGGTCGACAAGGATAGAATTTATTTGGCCCAAATGTTTGATACCGGTCCATGTCTTTGGGAATCTACCCTCGAGGTCATCGATGTTTAGAGCGGTCTATGTATCAGCCAGCCACCCATCACAATACAAAAACTTCTTCTTTATTAGCATACACCCCACACCCCACCCACTCCCCCACCCACTCAAGTGACGAACTGCAGCGTCCATACTCTACTTACTTACGTTTCATGGTACAGAAAGAAAAAAAAATCTACGCAAACAAAAGGACAAGTGTGCAGGCAGGGGGCAGGTAAGCACTAAGTACATAATGTTCATCTCGTCGCGGTCTATGGGTACAGAAAATCTGAGACTAGTACTGTGAGATAGCAACACACTATGATGGATGGTAAGAGAGAGAAAAAGAGATGTGCTACGGTATTTGCAGGTAGTGGTGTAACAAAAACAGGAACAGGCACAAAAACAGGAAACAGCAATGGCAATGGGAATGAATTGATTACCGGATATGTGACGACTTCGTCGACGGGGCATTAGCGTTCCTTGGCACCGGGCGGAACAGGAGGCGCAGAGAGTATAGGAGCCTGATGCGGTCCAGGCCCAGGTTGTACCGACTGCTGCTGCTGGGTCCCATTATTATTCCCACTATACGCTTCCCTAACCGGCTTCATAGCATCCACCGTGACCTCATCAGCATCAAGCGCACCCTCAAGTTGAAGCTGTTGCGACGACTTGCGTCTCATCGCTTCTTCTTCATCGGCACGGCGGATGACGTCGATCTCGCCCTGCACCATTATAGCATCGAGCCAGGTGTGGTGGACGAGCTCAAAGGCTTTGGCGCGGCGCTCGGGGTGCAATTGGAGCATTGGAGTGAGGAAGGCGGATATAGTGTCGGCTTCCTCTTTCGGGAAGAGATATTTGTCGTGTAGTACTGATTCGAGGGGCCAGAACCAGAGCCTGTTGATATGTTGTAATTCACCTGCGTAGAGGAAGAAATAGAGATAGAAGAAGGAGTAGAAGGATGATACGGTAAGTGCACAGCGCATCGAAGGGCATTATGGGCACTCGCCTTTCCGGTTGAAGAACTCTGCGATCCTCTTTCATGCAGTTTGTTTTGTAGATATAACCCTGATAGTACTATTCCGCTCCCGTTATCTCGTTTTAATGTTCCTTCTCGTGGTGTTCATTAAATTTTATTCGTATTCGCGGCTTAGCACTCTCCCAGTACCTCGACATCCATCCATATCTATTATCCATCCTCGAGCCTAGTGCTTGGCAACGCAATATAATGGGTGGCAATGAGTCAGCTGCGAGCGCTTAATCCATTTCAATGATTTCTTACTCATATCTTGTCGAGACTAACCGCCCACCCTACCTGCATATTGTGAAGAGAATGGACCATGAATCGAACTCCAAAGCAGAATTTCTTTCTCTTGCTGAAGAGTTGCGATTTTACATCCTAAGCTTTCTTCCTTGCCGAGATATTCTTCGTTGTGCATCTGTGAGTCACGATTTTATGTCGAAGTTGTTGTCATAGATGAACTTTCACTCTGGTGATTCTCTTGCAGGTATGCAAGGCCCTTCGTCATACGTATATGTCCTCATCTGAGCTCCAGTACATCGTTGAACTCAGTGGTCAACGATTGCTCCCTGTCCCCGACGTGGACGATCACACACCTATTTCCGAGCGCCTACAACTGTTGAGGGACAAAGCCCACGCATGGTTCAAGGTCCACCTCCATTCTTTCGAAACAGTCTCTTTATCGAAGGAAATGCGTTTCGCGCAGATAAACGTCACCGATGGCCATCTCTACACGTGGGACGTACGTGAAGACGTAGCCGCGATCATTCCAATACTACCAAAACCCTCACAACAATCCGTCCAACGTGACCGGTGGCAACGAACATTGAGTTCAATAATTTCAGTTCCACACTCAGTCAAGCTCGATGTGTTCATGGACCTAGCACAAAACCTGATTGCTGTCCTGTATTTGGTTGACGAGGCGCTCTACATTGACCTTGGAGCCCTGGATGGTGATGGCATTCACCCCCAAGCTGCTGGACGGAGACTGTCTCTTGCGATGCCGCCTGGATCCGAGGACTGTTCCAATTATTTATGGAGTGTAAAGATGAAGTGTTTTGGGAGGCATATCGCTTTGCGTTGGGGATCTCGTTTGAAAGTCATGTGGCTGCAGATTTGGGACTGGCAAGATTCAACGACGTCCAATGTGAGCCTCGGTCAGAAATAGTTCAAAGGCCACAGTTAATTCTCAATTTCGTTTTAGTGCTTCCTCAACGATGACAACAACATATACCCAAATGAATTTTGTTTCCTTGGAAACAATAGGTTTCTCGTTCTCGCTGACGAATTGAATCTCTATTCAATCGAGGATATGTCCCAGATGCCACAATTGCTGGCGCGTTTTTCGATACCCATCTCATTGCAGTACACGAGCCTCCATCCGGTGAATGATAATGAGTATAGTTCACAACCGCAGATGCAAATCCAACAAACGGTGTACATCTCAGACCCCAAACACTGGCTACTACACATGACCATACACCTGGGAAAGAGTCCCGTCTTCGTCATCTCCACGAGGGTTTTCCACGATCTTGACGAATTAGCAGTAGTCGACTTGAAGCCAATACCGTGGACACGCTGGGGGCCTTCAAATACTCGTATTTTCGAGCGCACTTGGGCATCTAAAGTTCAGCTTTGTGGGAATCGAGTTTTTCGAGCAATCCCGGTCGACACGCTAGACTCGGGCCCCTCCGGGTATAGATTGCATATGATGGACTTCAGCCCGCTAGCTGTGACGAACAGGCGGGGTCTAGGACGAGTGGTGAAAGAGTCATCTACGACAGATATCAGTGAGTTGTCTGGCAGGCCCGAGGAGAGCTTGACGACGTCCCTGCCTTACGTCGAGGTCGTATCGGACAGGGTGTTCGATGCTTGCTATTTAAATGACATATGGATCGACAATGATAGAATTTATTTGGCCCAGATGATTCAGAACTTCGAAGGTTCATATTATTCTACCCTCGAGGTCATCGGTGTTTAGAGCGGTCTATCAGCTAGTTACGCGAAACGATTAAACTACTTACTTATTTATTCCTGGGTGGGCAAAGCTGCGTACAGATGCGGAAGTCGGGGGATCATGATGGAGGGCAGGGGGAATGGTGGATAGGAGATAAGTATGAGGCTCAGGATGCGAGGACCATCGAACCACAGCGCTCTGGACATGCGAGATACTGTAATGATATTAATTGCGAATTGGAGCGACTACGTACTCCGGAGAGTATATATGTACTTACTATGTATTGTTATGAAAGTGTTGGCGCAGGGATTCATGTCAGAAACGACAGCACCGCCTGTGCTGGGGGCGCTGACTCTGACTCAGAAAAAGGTTGCTTGCTACCTTCTCCCGAAACTGTTTCAGGAACTTGAAGTGAGCACCGTCACGGTGACTGCTATCGGACATGTGCATGATGTGATGAGAGCAAATTGAAAACATACCTGGACATGTAAATTTCTTGAACTTCGCCAGAATTTGAAGGTAATCGCGTGCTCGGCTAAATTAACCATGTTGTCTGAATGCCTGCGCCCCGTAGAATCAGCCGTAGCGCAGAGTCCAAGAAATCATCAACAAACTACTTCTTGCTTATTAGCTTACAGATCGACCTTCATCGACATCCACTTTATGGACTGCAGCTCCATACTCTACTTACTACGTTTCTTGCTATATACAACCTACGCGTTCAGCCGTTTGCTTTCTGAGCTCGGGCTCCAAGGTACGTTGACGCTTGTACCATATGCCATTTTCTGTGTCGTATGATGAAGCAGCGAGGACAGAGGCTGGAAGTCGCGTGAGTGGGGTAGATATTTTGTAGGAGCATTATTGGCTGATTCGCGTTATTTGGGTCTTACCTACATCGGACCTTCTCCGGGTTGGACTCTTCATGAGGTCGGGATGCTCATTATACAGTGCAAGTGAGACCGCTGCAAAGCAAGACTTTGGCTGCCTTGATGAAGGCGTTCAGGTTGAACGTGAACGCGACGTGGAGGACTTTGAGAGTCGACCGCTTGAAGAAGCGACGAAGTACTGTGACCACTGTCATTGATTAAGGCAGAATGTTTATATTTAATTATTAGCCTGAGGAGACGAAAAATGGCATGCCAGACTCTGTCAGGGTAATAAAGCATACATCATGGGGTAACTAGAAGAAAATATGAAGTGAACGCCAGCTTGTAAAACTGTACCAGACGAAAGCAATAAGACAGACTACACACCAATATGAATGAAAATGATCCTCTGCTGGAGTAGCACTTTCTTTTTCACAACGGACGTAGCATGATTGAGTGCCCGGGCAGCCTTCGTACAATCCATGCGAACGGGTGTGAAGCAGAGATCTACGAGATGTTAGTAGATGTGCATGATGAGAAGCAGGACTCGCCCGAAAGGCTCATCTCCGTGATCGAGCAGGTCATCCCACAAAGTGTCAAGTTTTCCGATGAGTTCCATTGCCCAGCATTCGATCAAGCTTGAAGGATGTTTTGACGCCCACTGCGATAATGCAAGTGAAGCATCTAGTGATCTATAAACAGAAAATTAGTCGTCGAATCGCGTACGAGAATCTCCATGGACTTGAGGTCAGAGGATTTCCCCACGCTACAGATTCGTCGGATGATCGGACTCTTGTCGAGTCAACATTGATGGATACGTAGATGCCTGCGGGAATGGGCTCGGAAGGGACTTGAAGACTTTTTACGCCGAAAACTGTAGATAGAGCGTGAGGATCACAAAACAGATATGAAGGTGATATGGAGTGACTCACCTTTAAGTCTAATATATCGGCCTTCTAAGCCATCGGGCATGATGGTGCAATGAAGTAAGATCGAGGACGGGCGGAGTGGTGGGATGAATTGACAGTAGGAGAAGACAAGGTGGGGATATGGGGTCTGTGGATCAATTAAGTGAGAGGCAGTGGAGAAGTGGGCGGGGCCTTGAGGTTTCGAACGTTCAGGTCATGCAGCTGCACGTGTATTTACTGCGTGTTTATAGAAATATGGGGCAGGTTGATGTAGTGAAGCAGCAATAAAGGGACAGTACACGTACCTCTGCAGGAATAAGACATGCAACCCTCAAGACCAATAATCTCCAGTGATTTATGTCGCAGCTCGTATCCCACTCGATCGAAAGTGAAAAGATCACGAGGGCACAGTAATGGCAGTCGTGCATTTTCCCAATGTCGGCGGGCTCGTACTAAGACAAGGCACTTCATCTGTGGGACCAATTGGGGATACGTTCAAGATGATGGGAGAAAATGGATACTTCATTCCCCCAATAGTGTGTGCTCCCAGTACTGCCTGAGAACGCGGAGAAGAAGTTAACTTGCATTCTTCGTGTTGGATGTGGTGCATAGTATTTGAATTTGTAGTCATATTTCGCAGATCTGGGAGTTTGTTCCCAATGCTCGGGGGATGTGAGTTTTGGATGTAGATCAGATGGTCCGGGTATACGTATGACATGGAATCTTGTTCAATGAGTTCGTTTGATATTTCAAGTTGAAGTAGAGTCCGGAATCGTAAGAGATTACCGGAATGCCCAGTGGCTGTGCCATTCTGCTTCTTTCTCACAGACTCTCAGAGAGCTCTGTTCAACGTTGCAAAGTCATCCGTGCAAATCAGACGAAGTTCGAACTAAAAATGGACTGGGCGACACCTACTGGTGGTATTGCTCAGGCAAACGCGCCTGCTCGTTCAACGATAGACGTACTGTCCAGATTTTGTCAAGATTTATTTCCTGTGCTAATGGTTGCCATTCTGTCTGCCGCGTTCAACTATATCATCTGAATCTGACACATACTCTCGCAAAGTTCCCTTGGTGTTTCCATAACGCTCTCGTTCATCCTTCCCCCATCGCACAGTACTATCAGTTCAATCGTACTCATATATAATCATTTGGCTTTTTCTGTGTGCATCATTTTCACCGGTGCGTTTGTATTGTTTGCATTACATTACGATACAAACTCGATTCTACATTTTGCCTTAGTGTGTTATATAAATTGCATCACTCAGTCCAGCAGTAGCCCTTGGCATGTACGCTGATGCGTGTCACTTTGACATTCCCCGCTTCTCTAGCAGGTTTTCCCGCTAATCCTAGTTGGCCATCTTTTGGTGCCAGCGCTCAGCCTAATCGTACCAGCGTCTATCGTGCTGAACAGCCCTCAACAATGTGCTCCAAATACACGTACAGCATCACCTGAACCCCGGACCTCTTCTCCTCCCCCTCTCAGCCAAAATCCATTCACGGTCTCCATATCCCTACCCCCGTCTTTTCCTACCACTCATTCCACCCAGCACTAAGCCCATCCTTGACCCTCATCGTTTTGTTTGATCGCAACATCATGTCCGGTAGCGTAGAGAGCCAATCTATCAGGCTTGAAGGTAGGTCACTCCATATCACATTCGTATCTCTTTTGCGATCCTCACGCTCTATCTACAGTTATCGGTGGACATAATCTCCAAGTCCCTTCTTGGCGCATATCCGCAGGCATTTACGTATCCATCATTGTCGACTCGAGGAGACGCTGGAAATCAGCCATCAGAGTCTTATCATCTGACGAATCTGTAGTCTGGGGAGATATCGTTACTCTGTAAAGTCCCTCGAAACTTTCAGATGCGATTCGAGATTGATCTTCGGTTTACAGATCATCCTATGAGTCACCTGTATTATCAATGGAGATCAGAGCGTCCTACGAGGTCGGTCGAATGCTGGGCAATGGGGAACTCATTGGACAACTTGAAACATCGTGGGATGAGCTACTCGATCATGGAAACGAGCCATTCGGTGAGTATCCTACCGTTCGTTCATCTGTATCTACTCACATCCCGCAGAACTGTCCTTCCCACCTGTTCGTGGTGTCAATCCTTCGCTCAAGCTAAAGGCTGTTGTCGTACACGCTCGTGATAATCAGGACGGCGCGCTGTTTGATGTGAGTGATGCTGGCCTCTGCGGTTAGCGCTTGCTGACGGAATGTCAACTGTAGTCCCTCATAGACTGTGAGATTGCTCGAGACACAGATGCGGGCCACGCACAATATGCCGTATATATTTCCAGCGGGACGGTCTATCATTGGCACCTGAACGATGCTGTCCAGAACTTTCAGTTGGTTCTGTATTGCTGTCCTGTCAACCATCCTGACCACGCAGCGGCTCTCACCAACCTCGCGTTGGCCCGTCTTGAAGGCTATATTCAAACTAGTGTTCAAGACATTGATACAACTACTTCCCTCCTCCGCGAAGCCCTTGCATTGCGTCCGCAGGTCATCTCGATCACGCACTGTCTCTCTATAACCTCATTTTCGCATTAAACTGGCGCTACAGCAAGGAGCCCTCCCCCGTCTACATTCACGAATCTGTGGAACTGTGCCGCAAGCTACTGCCCCTCTGTCCAGAGGGCACCTACCTTCGTAGCAAGGGCGCAGACAGTGCAATCGATTATGTGATCAGTGAATGCAACGAACTTCCAATCGATTCATCTGACGAAGGCATCCGCATTCGACGAGTCGCGCTCGAGCTCTGTCCTCTGGGCCAGAAATACCATCCAAGAGCACTTGACAATCTTTCATGTGCTCTCAGCGTACGCTTTAAACAACATGGAAGCACTGATAACATAGACGAGAGCATACGACTTGGTCGTGAAGCTGTTTCTCTGTGCCCCGAGGGACAATCTGGCCGTGATTTCTACTTGAATAACTTGGCCGTCTCACTGAAGTCCCGCTTTGATCACCAAGGAAAATATCATGACCTTGATGAGGCCATCTCTTGGCACGAAGCAGTGCTGTGCATGCGCCCTGTTGGGCACGAAGTTCGTGATTATTCGTTGGTCAACCTAGGGGACGCCCTCCACACCCGTTCCAACATAAACAGAGACATTGATGGCATCAACCGAGCTGTCGGCCTCCATCGCGAGGCACTGACGTTGCGCCCACCTGGGCATCCACATCGTGACACCACACTCAACAACCTTTCCAACGCGCTCCTTTGCAGATATGGCACATTGCACGTCATCGAGGATCTCAACGAGGCCATTGATCTTCATCATGAATCACTTCGGATAAGGCTGCTTGACCATCCAAAGCGCCATGTAAGTCTTTGCAATTTGAGCTCGGCTCTCTGCTCTCGTTTCACGCGAACCGGGAAGAATGAAAATGTCGAGGAGGCCATTTGGCTCTGCCAAGAGTCGTTGGAGGCCCTACCTTCACTGCACCCCGCCCGGTTTTTCAGCTACATGTGTCTGAAGAATGCCTTCATGTCTCGTTATGATATAGAGCACAACCCCGCCGACTTGTCGATCGCTGTAGAGAACTTCAGATTGGGATCACGACACCCCACTCAAGGATTCCCACACCGCATCTTACAGGCATATTTTTGGACTGTTGCAGCTGAGCAACATTGTCATGGATCCGCACTGGAGGCTTACTCGACGTGTTTCGAGCTTCTAGATTCTCATTTAGGAACACGATCATCAACCACTTCGCGGCGCGAAGCTGCCTCTGCCTTCTATTATGCCATATCATTACCTGTAGATGCAGCATCGTATGCCATCCACCATGACAATCTCCGACATGCAGTTGAACTGGTGGAGCAGGGCCGTGGTCAACAGTGGTCGTTGGCCTCTCGACTCAAGACTCCAGTTGAAGACCTCGAATCGGGACATCCGGATCTAGCCCACAAATTTTCTGAGCTGAGCGAGCGCGTTTCCAATGCTGCTCAAGGTTCTGCAACTATTGCCGACAGAGCTGCGGCTGAAGTAGCGGACACAAAGTACAGGAAAATCATGGCGGAATGGGAAGCTGTGGTAGCTGAGATACGCAATCTTCAAGATTTCTCGCGGTTCTTGCTCCCACCTTCGTATGAAGACTTGCAAGCGGCAGCGCGCCATGGCCCGGTCGTCATCCTCATTGCCAGCAAATACTCCTGCAGCGCTATTGTTGTCCCAACGTCAGGAGAGCCTCATCATGTTCACATCCCGCGCATCACTCTACCACATCTAGAGAAGCTCAAGGACGATTTCGCCACGGCAATCCGGCATACGGCTCGTATGCGCCCAGAGGAACCGAGGAAGAAGTTGCGGGTGCTCTTGCGGATAGTGTGGGATGAGATCATACTACCCATCGTTAACGTCCTCCAGCATGGCCTAAAATTGCAGCATCAGTCTCGAATATGGCTGTGTCCGACGGCAGCCTTCACGTCTATCCCTCTCCATGCAGCTGACCCCTTCCGAATGAACGCAGATCGCTCTGGGAAGGAGTCATGCCTGGAGGATCTCTACATCTGCTCTTATACGCCCACACTTTCAGCTCTTATTAGAGCTCGGCAGACGATGAAGACGCGTGCGACTCCGTCCTTCGCGGCGATCGGACAAAGTCAACCGTGCGCAGGGCAAGGCGACGTGCTCCCGGCTGTCGACGGCGAACTTGAGCTTGTGCATACACTCGTTCCTCCTAACATCAAGTTCACCAATCTTTCGAAAGACGAGGCTACACAAGCAGGTGCGCTCAACGCTTTGCGGTGCAATACCTGGGTGCACCTCGCTTGCCACGGCAAGCAGGACCTCGAGCAGCCTTATAACTCATGTTTCGCTATGAGAGACAAACCCGTTACGCTGCTCGACATCATGGAGAACAACTCTCCGCAAGCTGAATTCGCATTCTTATCGGCCTGTCATACCGCTGTCGGCGATGAGGAGACACCCGATGAAGCCATCCACCTCGCAGCTGGACTCCAGTTTTCGGGGTTCAAGAGCGTCGTTGGCACGCTGTGGGGGGTCAGTGACGCTCTCGCAAAACACGTTGTGGAAGCTTTCTACGAGAAAATGTTCGAGGATCTGGAGGACGGTGTCGTAGACTGTACGAAGGCGGCCTGGGCACTCAACCGCGCTACACACGCCGTGATAACGAAAGTGCCGCTCGAGCAGAGGATGGTGTTTATTCATATCGGTGTGTAGTTCTACATATGTCATATTGCTTGGTCTGGGCATGTTCACGAGTTAGTTATCTGCAATCTTGTTTTGTCCCTTTTTCATAGTCACTGTGACTCTGATACTCTTGCGCTCCCGTTATCTCGTTTTTATATCCTCTTTCCTGTCGGAAGATGTGTGGCATCGAATACTAGATATAGGCTATGAAGCGATCTGCACCTTGATGCTAATGAGAGCATAGCGGTGAATGTGACCTGAGAAGCGACAGGTTCCGCTGGGATGAACTTCAATTCAAGAAGATCCAGCCAGGCAGCCCCGGCATCCTCGATGAACCTATCGTTAAGGTGGTAGTTTCCAACGGCAACGAATTTGACAATCGACCGCCTTCTGAACTTGAGCAAAGGCCGGAAAATGTACGAAGGGAGTGTGCTGTGGTGGCTGGGGTCACGCTCGAACTGACGTTGCGAAATTTCGACCATAATAATGTTGGTCAGGACTGAAATTGTCTGGCAAGACGCGGATAGAGATCTGATAAATGCCGAGAATCCATCTGGGGAAGCAGGTGTTCGGTACAAGATATTGATGGTAGATACGTGTGGGACGGTTACTTGGCGAAGAAAAGTTGTGCATTGTCGCAAGCAATTGCCAATGAGAAAGAGGTATCAGAGGGTACGCAATTCAAGTGGCGTGTTAACCCGTTGGCCTTGTACATCGCGGGACGTTTCGCAGAAAGTAAGTTTCAGGGTTCGGAGAGAGCGGGAATGCTGTACGTGGGTAATGTTCTGTATGATCGAACGTGTATCGATTCCGTCTATGGCCAGCCAATTTAACTTTGGCAGTTTTCCGACACTCTGAAGTAGTGTACAATGCAAAGCCGAAGCACTGTGGTCCGCCGTTATTGAAAGTTGTCGAAGGCCGGACGCTTCTGCGCGAAGGGTATCGAACAACTGTTCTACCTCATGTATCGGGACGTCTGGCGGTACATTGATGGAAAGCTCGTCTAATACGGGCTAGAAGAACTTGCGCAGTAGGCAGAAATCTGAGCTAACGTCTGACAGAGCGTCAAAATGGAGTGCGCGCAAATTAGGGAAGAGTAGGGTGGGAGGCCAGAGCCGGAAAAGCCGCTGTAGGAGCGGGCCACGTAGTTTCTGGACATCGTCATATACGAGACTCCAGTTGCGAACAATACTGCGTATCCTTGACGCGTTCATTATCACGCGCTCCCACTCTGCGAGTAGCGGTTCGCGCAAAATGTTCTGCAAATTAAAGTACAGTGAGCATCTTCTTGTCAAGACCCAAGTGACATACATCACTCACAATGGTGCCGTAGTCTCCGATTTCCCAGGTGTCCTCGGGCAGACACATAATGAGGTGTGCCAAATTGGACTGCTCGCACCAGAGCATATCGAGGGCGGGAGCTGAGAGTGTGGAGCAGGTTAGGGCCACGTTTCTCAAGTCCGTCGGGGAGGTCTTGACATTTTGTAAAATGATATGAAAGATATCGTCATTTAAAATAGCACGATGCATGATTGAAAGCTGTTGGGGGGTGCACGACCGTTCGCACGGTCCTTTTTATATAGCCAATCTTACAAGAGTCCACAGACCCACAATGCTTTGTCCAACTGGGTGTCCGCTTGCATGACGTTATTGACTCGATCGACTACTACGTGTGGACAGGGGCAGACGCACGACTTTGGATCACTGTTGCAGCAGCTATTGTTCGCCACTGTCACTACAGAGGTATCTTTCGCTGAATGCAGGATCCTTTCAGTGCAGTATTCGCTGAAATATCGCCGAAAGCAAGATAAGCGCACGTAGTTATCCAAGTCAAAACGTGAAAGCCTTGCCGTTCATGTGAGTAGCTTGTAGAGGAGCGCCAGCATGTTCCAGATGCCGGCGCCTGTTTCACAACGCTTTTGGTCGTCATCGGCATAACAGCCAAAGAGGTCTGTCTACGTCGGCTACCAGAGGTTTGAGCAGAGATTCAGTGTACTGTAAGCACTGACCATCGGCTCTCCATCCAAGCCCTGGTCAGGCCATCGTAGGATCAGTAGCTGTGAAAGAGAACATTTTTTATAATCACGAGACTTCAGTCTTGCTAGAAAAACGTTAGTCGTGTGAGCTGATTAGGGATCCATATTCCTCTTCAGGTGAAGTTGCGATTGGCGTTCGATTCTGATACTGCCAGAGTTAAGGCATTTGGTTACGGGAGATGAACGCTTTGAGGAGGTAGCTGTTAACGGGAGAAGACATTAAGCTCGCAAGAAATATTTGCAGCTGACAGGTCGAAGCAATTTCAGGCGTGGCGTGCGCCCCAATGTCGATGGGACAAACCATCTACGCCCCGTACTCCTGAGGGCGCAGTATTGTTTGCGAGCCTGTTGGCAATCATTGGGTCGCCACCTGATAGGCTACGCGCTGCTATATTATGCGAGTTCGCAACACTGCCATTCTTGATTGCAATTTAGGGCTAGTAGACGTGGTTCGAGCGACTCACTAAATAAACGTCATTAGTGATAGCGAGCACAAAATGAACGTGTACACCGAGTGTTCAATATTGTGAATGCAATACCTGTGCAGCGCTAATTTGAAAAACAATCTTGCACGGACGCCGCCACTGTGCATGCACATGTTGGATGATGAGTAATTAAAAAGAAAAAATCGTGTCTAGGCAGCCTATCTGTGGTCAATAGGTCTTCCGCCGATGTCAGAACTCACAGGGGATCTTACAGCAGACTGTTCACGAACTTACAACAACAAAATCCCAAAGCCGAAGGAGCAAAACCGCCGCAAAAGAAGCATTAGCGCCCGGGAACAAACTCGCGTTCCAATGTTTCCGAGGCAGGTGGAGCCCAGTATCGACATGAGTCCCGCAGCAAGTGGGCCGCCTTCAGTAGTATCAGCTGCTAGATAGAATAACGGCCTCCATATCTTGCTTCAGGAGGCTCCAGCTAGAGGAATGTTGGACCCTGGACCATAATAAGATTCATGAGCCACGACAAATGAGAAAAATCACTCATCACTAATCTATCTCGATCCGCTGTCCACAGCTACAAGTGTGCCTGTGAGTTTCCAGAGTGTCCACAGCTTGACGCCAGCATGATGACGCGTTGCAATGGCTTCTGGAATAGGGGTTCTTGGTGTGCTGTGCTCTTGAGTTAGTATTTGTAATGGGTACTCCACCGCAGCGCTGCATTTTAATGGCGTTGGGAAGAGTGGAGTGAGCGGCCACTGCGAGAACCTCATATAAGTGGAGTGAGTGTACGCAATCCACCACCCGGATTCCTCCAAAAGAAAAAAAGAAAAAGCAAAAGAAGAAAAAACATTCCTTCCCGGAAACACGCTCCACGTCCACAGCCGCCACTGAGGAACCCCTATATGACGAATCTCCAAAAAGTTCGCCCGCGGCAAGAGTGAATGTTATCGCAAGACTCTAATTATTCTATAAGGAGCAAGGCATGGTGCGAAGGTCTCTGAGTCGAGGACTTTTTTGAAATTGAGACCAGTGAGGATTGTGTGCGTGTGCGTATGGCTGACATTGTAAAGTCCGACGGCAAGATAGCACAAGTTCTGATGCGAACTTCGGTTCTGAATCGGGGATGAATGTCACGGTTAGCTTGAATGAGAATTTTTCGCGAACCGCCAGTAGTACTAGTGAGGGATGTGTGCGTATGGCTGCTACCGTGACCACTGATTTGGACTTTCGGGTTGTCTGGCTGTCTGGCGTTGAAAGTTGACTGAAAGTGGGTTTAGCATCATGATTAGCACGTTGCTGATAAGCTTCATGTGGTTTAAAATGAAACGAGCTTCCTTGTGGTCGTCGAAGTCAAGGTCAATAGGGCTTACTAAGCATGCGGTAACTGCAGCGCTGTGTCCATGCACAGCACAGCACTTAAACATCCTTCTTTCTTTATCTCGATCACGCATCATCGACGCTTTTATCATCTCCGTCAAACGTTTATCAACCGGTTATCTTCGTGACGTCGAAGAGTTCCGACGTGTGAGTTGTATACTCTCAGAGCCACTACCCCTATATTTATGGCCCAGGTGTAGTTACCGACAAGTTACCCGTTGACAATGATCAAAGTTGTGCAGGACGACTGCGTCAAAAACACACCTGGACGTCACAATCTTGAAAAGAAAGACAAATATCATCAGGAAATGAAAACGAGCTTGCGACTCACGATGTCAAGTGAAGCGTGAGATTTCAGACAAGTTCAGCGCAGTTAACTTGAGTTTCGACGCGTGCCCAAGCACGCACGCACCCTCAGCTAATAGGATTCTTCTCAAAGCTTTATCTCCGATCCGTCATCTCCGTCGATCAGCACTACTACTGATTGCAAGGTTAAGATTATCTACTTGAAGAAGGGTCTTGATATGCGAGTTACCGGCGACATCACAACCAGAACCAAAACCCCTGAGGTCCAAAACAACTGCATGCATAAACACCACATCTAAAACGCCCCATCCCCATCTCGAAAAGAAAGACAAAATGTCATAACATAACGTAGCAGTAATGGTAATGTAAAGACAGTACTCGCCAAAATCCAACAAACACCCCCTGTGACACCTTCCCTACAAACACATATACAAATACAGATGCAAAAAGAAAGAAATCAATATCCACAGCATCGCATCGCTCACCCATCCTGGTCAGAGAAAAGTGATATCGGTCTCTGCAATGCCGGCGAGCTCGATGCTTCAGATTCTGGTTTGCGACGCTGGCCATGGCTATAACTATGGTTTTGGCGTTGGCTATGGGACGACGGCGCACGCAGCGGTGTGTCAGGGTACGTGATACCCTCGGGAATAGGAGACATCTGGTAAAGTCCATGTTCACGATCACGATCTTCCGGTCCTCGGCTTCTTGAGCGAGAATATTGCGATTGAGATTGGGAGTCCCTGTCCCGATCACGTTCTCGTTCACGTCCTGGTGCTTCTGGCCATGAAGGCTGCGCCTGCGCAGCCGTACTCGAGCGATAAACACCATGCGCATCTCCAGATCGACCTTCAGGCACCCTCGACCGATCCCGTTCTTCATAACTCTGAGCCGGAGGAAGCGGCCGATGAGCAGCAGCGTCCGGACTCAGAAGCTCCAGACGTGACAGATGCGTGTGCTCGGACGGCGTCGAAGCCTCATCGGACTATAGATACAAAATAAAATAAATAAAAAGTAAACAGCAAATACGTCTCATATCAGAAACACATACGGGTGGTTCGACAGTTATATTTGGAACGCTGGCGGCAGACTGCGTTCGTGAGTGGAATCGCTGTCTCAGGTTGAAGTAGTCGAGTGGGTTTCTTGAGCGTGGTGGGCTTCGTTTCTGGGAGGGAACTTGCGATTGGTGGGATTCTACTTGGCTTGAGGGACGGGAATCAGTATATGGGGCAGGCATGATGGATGACTCCCGATGAGATCCAGGAGATGGCATGGGTTGCTAAAGGAGGAAACAATCAGTGCCCGATACTAAACACAGTTTAAAAGGCCGCACAAAATCTCTGACGGCCGTCCCAGGAGTTGCTGTAGCAACAACTTCCGGGTCTGCACGCCATTGTTCTATCAAATCCTCCTTCCGGCTTTTGTCGGGTGCATATCCACCGTGTGATGACGTATGTCGTTCACTCCTTGAGTGTGCGGAAGATACGTCGTGACGAATCGAGCTTCCGTGGCGTTCGGCAGGTGCGCTTACGAGCTCATATTGGGACATGTGCGTGGATGTTGATCGCGACAAAAGGGATGGAGTACGTGGTCCTGGGACCGGAATCGGGGCTGGTTGGGCATATGCATAATCGCGGGTTCTCACAAGAGCGTAACCTGGGTCTCCGGCATCATACAAACCACCGTGCTGTTGGTCGTGTGAGTGCGTGCTAGAGCTTCGGGCGACGGGCTCAGAGAGCCCGTGTGGTGGTGGGATTGGGATATAGGATGTCTGTGGGTCAGCTCGTGGTATCCAACCATCTCGGCCAACATCGGCTGAGTGACTGGATGCTGTGCGCACTTGTACGGGGTAAACGTTCTCCGCTGAAGGACTCGATGGCGATGAGGGTGTACTGATTCTTTCTGGAGGAGAATGGGACCGGACTGGGTTCACTGGCGGTGGTGGAACTGGTATGACAGCAACCGAAGTATTGTATGTCCCAACAGGGGGAACAGACTCCGGGCGCACGCTAACAATAAAAAATGAGCACAATTGTACATGAATATGCTGTTACATACTGTCTTGAAGAGCGTGGGGGCGCCCTCGGCAAATCATTACGTTCAGAGTGGATTGACTCTTCTTCTTCCTCTTCGTCTCCGCCATCTTGTGGGACGGTAGGCCGACGCACTTGTCGGGCCGGATCATCCTCGTATCTTATCGTGCTTCCTTCGTCGAAACCGAGCCGACGTCCGATCGATAGGCCCTGCTTGTAACCACGCCGCCTGCCATCCTCGTGGGCAATCATCATCATCTTCTCTTCCTGCAACTTCCTCGCCTTGGTCCTTGCTCTCGCAGCCTCCGCCTCGGCTTCACACTTCTGTGCCGAAACCTGATTAATGATATCTTGAGCTCGAAAGATCTCTTTTTGTGCATTGTCGAGCTGTAGTTTGTACAACTTCAGCTCCTCACGCAGACGAGCTGAATCCTGTTCTGCGCGTTCGCGATTTTCGGTTGCCTGGCGCAATCGGTTGAAGTATTCGAGGGCACGGCGCTCTGAGCTGTTAGCGCGGTTTGACTCGGTCTCGAGGCGTTCTGAGGTGACGACGAGGAGGGCGTTGATTTCGCGGACCTCGTCGTCGCGGGCGATGAGGCGGGCGAGGAGGTGGCTACTTGAGCCTCCGTCTGTGGTGGTGTGTTGTGAGCGGTGGCGGGAGTTTGATTTGCTCTGACGGCGAGGACGGAGGTAGCTGGGTGGGGAGGAGGGAGAAGAAGGCCCAGACTCGAGATCGTTGGGGTGTTCATTGGCGATGCTGATCCTGTGGGGGATGAGACGGGTAGAATGATAAGTTTGTGTAACATACCTTTGTTCATCATCAAGGTCGTCGAAAGGACCCATTGACGATGATAGTAAAGGAACGATCGAGGTGCTGATAAGCTGTGGAGTAGGGATCAGCGAAGTTAAAGTAGCACTGGTTGACTTAAGGCGCTGCCTCGTGTTATCCGAACCGGAATCAGGAGGGCGTAAGGATGAATTAATGGATGTATTATGAAAGCTGGGGTATGTGACCTGTTAGTGGCAGGAACCGTACACGTGTTTGAGGCGTGGAGTTATTCATGGAAGTCCGGAAGGGGTAACAGAAGTCAGTTGTGTTTACCAAGATGGTTAATCTTATGTCGAGAATGCGATCTCGTGGCCCACATAAAACGTGTTTTGACGGCAGGGGGTCGTTGGTACAACGTTGGTGCCCATTGTGATTACACGTGATTAATACGTGTAAGGTGTGCGGGGAAACGTACTCGGGTGTTAAAGAAAAGGCGGATATTTTGATTGCCTGTCTAACCGTTTACTAAATGTCGTTGCAAGCCTGAAGGCCAAGGGCGCCGTGGTTGTTTGGCAAGAACGTCTTAAACAAACAACGGTTCGGCGATGAACTTGTCGATGGCCGGTCAAAACACAAAGTTCGGTTCAAAGTCACATCATATTATTAGTCATCCTCTGTAACCAATCACATGTGTTTTTAAACATTGACTGATTTAGATGTATATCATTGGCCAAAACTGAATTTGCTGGTCCTTCCAGCTGCAGCTCTCCTCCTCGTCATCTACATCCATCCGTAACATCATCGTCCTAGTTGTCGTCCTCTTATTGTCCTCTTTGATATTCTCTCCCTTATAGTGAAAGGTATACCCGAATAGATTCAGTTTACCGCTCAAGGTGTGCTTATCTCCCGTTGCTATCAAAACTCACAGTCTTATCGCCCTCTATTCTTTTGACAGAACTTGCCTTATCGTTTGCCTTTACAGCATACCCGAATTTCACTATGTCTCACGGGTCCTATTCTTCTCACTCCCAATCCATCATGACCGAAGACGAAGAAGACTGGGAGGACTACGTCAAGGGTGGCTATCATCCTGTTCACATCGGTGACTCCTTTTCAGAAGGAAGGTATATCGTTGTTAGGAAACTCGGTTGGGGCCATTTCTCAACAGTATGGCTCGCAAAAGACACAAAGTAAGCAGGCACATATTTCCAACCCACGCGTACTCCCATCTATCAATCCTATAAATCTCATTTTCCCTTCATCAGAATGAATCGCCACGTCGCACTCAAAATCGTAAAGTCCGCGCCTAGGTACACAGAGACCGCTCTTGATGAGATCAAGTTACTCCAACGTCTGATCACATCTAACACCCTTCCCCAACCCCCAACCCCTGATAATCCAAATCCTCCCCCATCCCATGCCCACACACATCCCGGCCGATCACATGTTATGTCTTTTTTGGATCACTTCCGACATAAAGGTCCAAACGGCACTCACGTCTGCATGGTTTCTGAAGTCCTCGGTGAAAATCTACTCGGCCTCATCAAACGACATCAAAACAAGGGCGTCCCCATGCACCTCGTAAAACAGATCGCGAAACAAGTCCTCCTTGGCTTGGATTACATGCACCGTTGTTGCGGTATAATTCACACTGGTCCGTTCTTTTTCCCTCTCCCTTCCGCCCCATGACCATCTTCCGACAGACTTGAAGCCTGAAAACGTTCTTATTAGTATCGATGACGTTGAATCTATTATCCAGACAGAGCTTGCCGCATCGGCTAATGCCACATCACCGCCCACCCGACTCGTCGGCGTCCCGCCTTCCAAAGGTCGGGGCGGCAACCAAACGCCTCGCTCCGAATCGGTTTTCATCACCGGATCTCAGCCCCTACCGTCTCCGTCTTCGTCCTTCGGCAGCAGTCCCATGTTCGACAAGCTGGCCTTCGGTATGAGCAAGATCGATGGCGAGGCCACCTCCAAGCCCGGATCTTACGGATCTAGTTCCGTAGCAAAGGATGGATCAGCTGGATCAACGGGGACAACAGGATTGGGCCTCATGGACGTCTCTTCCAAACGTGCAGATTCGACAGAAGTGACTGCAGAGCGCATCTCGACCGTCTCGCTCCATCCATCTGGGTTCAACAAGATGACGACACCCCACCCTGCCCACCCCCCAGGGCCTTCGTTACTGACACAAATGGCCCCCTCCCAACCCCCAGTCACAACATCCTCTCAACCACACGCTGCGTCGACGTCCAAGTCACTTGTAGATTCTAACAATGTCGATCCAAAGCTATCCAGCTCTGTCATGTCCATGGATTCAGTACTAGCAGAGACATCAACAACATCAAGCCTGCTCGAGAGCACCGCGAAGATCACGGTCAAAATTGCGGATCTTGGGAACGGTTGGTCCCTTTCCTCTTACTTCTTTCTCATCACGTTTGTATGGCTGCTCATTGACATTCGCTTCGGCGGTGCTCTCTATCTTCGTAGCCACCTGGGTCGAGCACCATTTTACAGATGATATCCAGACGCGGCAATACCGGTGTCCAGAGGTCATTCTAGGCGCCAAGTGGGGGACTAGTGCGGATGTGTGGAGTGTTGCGTGCGTGGTATGTACACCAACAATGACCTGGAGCATCCTCCTCATCTCATCCATCCTATGTAGATATTCGAACTCATAACCGGCGGAGACTATCTCTTCGATCCCGCGCCAGGCCCCCGGTACAGCAAAGACGACGACCACATCGCCCAGATCATAGAGCTGCTGAAAGAAATCCCGAGGTCAGTCGCGTTTTCTGGAAAGTATAGCTCAGAGTTCTTCAACCGGAAAGGCGAGTCCCAATAATGCCCTTCGATGCGCTGCGCTCTTACCGAACCCTCCTTCTATTTCTATTTCTACGCAGGTGAACTACGGCATATCAACAAGCTCCGGTTCTGGCCCCTCGAAGCGGTATTACACGACAAATACCTCTTCCCGAAAGACGAAGCCGACGCTATTTCCGCCTTCCTCACTCCGATGCTCCAATTGCACCCCGAGCGTCGTGCCAAAGCCTTTGAGCTCGTGCACCACACCTGGCTCGATGCTATAACGGTGCAAGGCGAGATCGACGTCATCCGCCGGGCCGAAGAAGAAGAAGCGACGAAACGCAAGTCGTCGCAACAGCTTGAGAACTCGAATGCGCTTGATGCTGATGAGGTGGATGCTATGAAGCCGGTTGGGGAGGCGGGTGGTGGGAGTGATGATGGGACGCAGCAGCAGGCGGCACAACCTGGGCCTGGGCCTGGACCGCATCAGGCGCCTATACTCTCTGCGCCTCCTGTTCCGTCATCGTCTACTGCCAAGGAGAACACTAATGCCCCGTCGTCCAAGTCGTCACATATCCGGTAATCAATTCATTCTCGTGCCTGTTCCTGTTCCTGTTCCTGTTTTTGTTACACCACCACCTACATATACCGTAGCACGTCTTTTCTTCTTCTCTCTCTCTCATCTCTTACCATCCATCCATCATAGTGTGTTGCTATCTCACAGTACTAGTCTCAGATTGTCTGTACCCATAGACCGCGACGCGATGAACATTACTTACTTAGTGCTTACCTGCCCCCTGCCCCTTGTCCTTTTCCCTTTGTTCGCGTAGATTTTTTTTTCTTTCTATACCAAGACACCGTTAGTAAGTAGAGTATGGAGGCTGCAGTTCGTATACTTGAGTGGGAGTAGGTGGGTGGGGCGCGAGGTTGTTGAGCTGTATGCTAATAAAGAAGAAGTTTTTGTATTGTGATGGATAGATGGCTGATACATATACCGCTTTAAACATCGATGACCTCGAGGGTAGAATAACGTTGTAACTCGGAGTTCTGAAAAAATTGGTCCAAATAAATTGGTCCAAATAAATTGGTCCAAATAAATTGGTCCAAATAAATTGGTCCAAATAAATTGGTCCAAATAAATTGGTCCAAATAAATTCTATCCTTGTGGACCCACACGTCACGTAACTGGTAACAATTAAACACCCTGTACGATTGAACCTCGACGTAAGGCAAGGACGTCGTCAAGCTCTCCTCGGCCTCGCTGCGAGACCAGTCAATGATGTCTGTCGTAGATGGCTTTGTCACCACTCGTCCTAGACCCCGCCTGTTCGTCACAGCTAGCGGGCTGAAATCCATCATATGCAATCTATACCCCTTGAGACTCAAGTCCGGCGTACCGATCGGGACCGCTTGAAAAACTCGATTCCCACAAAGCCGAGCGTTGCGACTGAAAATACGAGTATTTGAAGGGCCCCAGCGTGCCCACGGTATTGGCTCCAAGTCGGCTACTCCTGCCATTTTGGCAAAATCGTGGAAAACCCTCGTGGAAATAATGAAGACGGGACCATCTCTCCCGTCGCGTACGGCCATGGATACTAGCCAGTGTTTAGGGTCTGAGATGTATGTCGTTTGTTGGATTTGTATCTTTGGCTGTGACATGTGCCCATTATAATCCACTGCACAGAGGCGTGTGTGCTTCAATGAGATGGGCATCGAAAAACACGCTAGCAATTGTGGGGCTTGGGACGTATCCTCGATCGAATAGAGATTCAAATCCGACTCGTGGTAGATGACGAGCAACCTATTGTTTCCGAGGAAACAAAATTCGTTTGGGTGTGTCCTGCTGTTGTCGTTGAGGAGGCACTTAAAATGAAATTGAGAATCAACTGTGGCCTATTTCTAACTAAGGCTTACATTGGACGTCGTTGAACCTTGCCAGTCCCAAATCTGCAGCCACTTGCCTTTCAAACGAGATACCCATCGCAAAGCGATATGCCTCCCGAAACACTTCATCGTTGCAAATAGTAAACGAATGGGAGAGTAGTCGGATCCAGGGAGCACCGAGCAAGACAGTCTTTGTCCAGCAGCTAGGGGGTGAACGCCATCACCATCCAGGGCTCCAAGGCCAATGTAGAGTGCCCGGTCAATCACGTGCAGGACAGCAATCAGGTTTTGTGCTAGGTCCATGAACACATTGAGATTGAGTGAGTGGGAAGTTGAAGTTATGGAACTCAATGTTCGTTGCCACTGGTCACGTTGGATGATTTGTTGCGAGGGTTTTGGTAATATTGGAATGAAAGTGGCTACGTCTCCATGTATGTCCCACGTGTAGATATGGCCATCGATTATGTGCGGGTTTCTAATTTCCTTCCATAGAGAGACTGTTTCGAAAGAATGGAAGTCGACATCGAACCATGCGTGGGCTTTGTCCCTTAACAGTTGTAGGCGCTCGGAAATAGGTGTGTGATCGTCCGGGTTGGGGACGGGGAGCAATCGTTGACCACTGAGTTCAACGGTATACTGGAGCTCGGATGAGGACATGTACATCTGACGAAGAGCCTTGCATGCCTGCAAGAGAATCGCCAGAGTAAAAGTCCATCTATGACAACAACATCAACATAAAATCGTGACTCACAGATGTACAACGAAGAATATCTCGGCAAGGAAGAAAGCTTAGGATGTATAATCGCAGTTCTTCAGCAAGAGAAAGAAATTCTACTTTGGATTTCGATTCTTGGTCCATTCTCTTCACAATATGCAGGTGGGGTGGGCGATTAGTCTTGATCGGATGTGGGCGCTGATTACTGAGTACGCAAGCTAATGTCAATGGAAACTTGGGTCTCTTTCTGGCCGAATGGCACTCGTATTGTGTCTTCCAGACGATAAATTGTCAAGCTGTGGGATGCAGCGATGGGGCAGTCGTTGAGTGAGGCCTAGGAGGGGCGCGCTGATATGATCGTTTGGCTTCAAGTAGATAATATCAAGCTTGCAATTGATCGATGGTGATGGCGCGGACGAATCGGAGATAAAGCTTGAGAATAATACGGCGTGCTTGTAATTGGGCACGCGTCGAAACACAAGTTAACTGCGCTGAAGTTGTCTGAAATTTGAATCTCACGCTTCACCTGACACCCGTAAGTCGCAAGCTCGTTTCATTTCGTTGTAGAATTTGTCAAGATACGGCGTCCATGGCTGGTTGTCCTTGGGGCACGACTTTGATGGCGACGTGATCAAGAGAGAAGAAGAATAGAGTGCTGTTACCTGTGCATGGACACGCGTTGTATTGAAATTTGAGACTCTCAGAGGCTCTTACACATGCTTAGTAAGCCCTCTTCCATAGCAAGCAAGCTCGAGGTTTCACAACTTCAAAAACACAGTGAAGCTTATCAACAACGTGCCAATCACGATGCTAAACCCACCCTCATTTTCAGAGCAATAGTATTCTCGTTCAACGTCGGACAGCCTGAAAGTCCGAGTCAGTGGTCACGGTAACAGCCAAACGCACACATCCCTCACAGGCACCGGCGGTCCGAGAAAAGTCCTCATTCACGTTCATCCCCAACACAGAACCGAAGTTCACAACAGAACTTATGCTACCTTGCGGTCTTACTTTGTAGATTCAGGCATACACACCGCACACAAGCTCAGTTCAGAAGAAGACGTCGAAAAGTCATCGACTCGACTCAACCAAGAGCCCTTCGCACCAGGACTTGCTCCTATAGATAACCATTGGGTCTTGCGATATGCAGACTCTGCCGCGAGCGAACTTTTTGGAGATTCGTCATATAGGAGCAACTCAGCCGCTACGGACGTGGAGCGTGCTTCCGAGAAGCAAGGACTGCTTTTTTCTCTCTGTTTTTTTTTGGGGAGGGATACTGGTGAATCGCACACTTATAGACCACTCACTCCACTAATATGAGGTTCTTGCAGTGGCTGCTAGCTCCACTCTTCGCAACGCCATTAAAATGTAGCGTTGCGGTGGAATACCCATTGCAAATACTTACTCTTAAGCACAGCACAGCAAGAGCCCCTATTCCAGAAGCCATTGCAACGCGTCATCGTGCTGGCGTTAAGCTACTGGATTCTCACAGGGACAAAGCTGTGGACGGCGGATCGAGATTGAATATTGATGATCGATGAGCGATTCATCTCATTTGTCGTGTCTTCTGAATCTTATTATGGTCCAGGGTCCAACGTTCCTTCAGCTGGAGCCTGAAGGCGATCCATTTGCTGCGGGTCTCACGTGGATACTGGGTACGGGGCTCCGTCTGCCTCGGAAACATTGGAACGCGGGTTTGTTCCCTGGCGCTAATGCTTCATTTGGGGCGTTTTGCTCGTTCGGCTTTGGAATTTTGCTGTAGTGAGTTCGTGAACAGTTTGTTGCATTGCAAGTTTCCCCGTAAGTTCCTACATCAGTGGAAGACATTTTGCGATATTTAACACAGATAGGCTGCTGAGTCCTGGCATCCTAGATACATTTCTTCTTTTTGTTACTCAGCATCCAATACGTGCATGGACAGTGCTAATGATGCGGCGTCCGTGCAAGATTGTAGATTGTTTTGCAGTTTAGCGCTGCATTGGTGATACGATCGCAATGTTGAATACTCAGCGTGCAAGTTTATTTTGTGCTCGTCATTGCTAACGTCGTTTATTTGGTGACTTACTAGAACACGTCTACTTGCCCAAAATTTAATCAAGAGTGGCAGTGTCGCGGACTCGCGAGATGTAGCGGCGCGTAGCCTATCAGGTGGCGATCGCGAACAGGCTCGCGAACAGTATTGCGTGCTCAGGAGTATGGGGCGTGGGTGGTTTATTCCGTCAAGACTGAGGCGTACGCCGCGCCTGAAATTGCTTCGATCCATCTCCAGTTTTATTTTTCGGCGAGCTAAGTGTATTCTTCCGTTAACAGCCATCTCCTCAAAGCGTTCATCTCCCGGAACCATATAATGAAAAATGCCTTGATTGCGGGAGTATCAGATCGGAGACCAACCACAACTTCAATTCAAGAGGAACATGAACACCGGATTTTCAATCAGCTCACAATCGCTTACCAATTTTTCTCCTGCAGGACCGAATTCTCATTACAAACAATGTTCTCTTTAACAGCCACTCAGCCTACAATGGTCTGACCAGTGCTTGGATCGTGAGTCGATGATCAGTGCTGACAGTACATCAATCGTTGGACTTCTCGTAGCTGACGTAGACAGACCTCTTTGGCCAATTCCGAGGACAACCAAAGCGTTGCGCGAAGCGAGTGCTCAGCATCTGGTATCTGCTGACGCTCCTCCTACAGTTACTCCGTATTGGTGGTAAGGTGTTCACGTTTAGACGTGGACAACTATGTTCGCTGATCATGTTTCGGCGACATTACAGCGAATATCGTCCCCCAAGGACCCTGCATCCAGCGGAAAGATACCTCTGTAGTGACATTGGCGAACAATAGCTGCTGCAGCAGTGATTCAATGTCGCGTCTGCTCCTGTCCACATGGAAGTAGCCGATCGAATCAATAACGCCACGAACTCCGCAAGCGGACACCCACTCGGTCAAAGCATTGTGGGTTTGTGGACTCTTGAAAGATTGGTTATATAAGAAGGATTGTGCAAACAGTCGAGCACCCCCAACAGCTTTTAATCATGCATCGCGCTCTCTTAATCGACGATATCCTCCATATCATTTTACATAATGTCAAGTCCTCCACAGTGGACTTGAGAAACTTGGCACTGACCTGCACCGCACTCTCAGCTCCCGCCCTCAATATGCTCTGGTGCGAGCAGTCTAATTTGGCACACCTCATCAGGTGTTTGCCCCAGGACACCTGGGAAGTCGGAGAGCACAATGTTATTGTGAGTGATATATGTCATTTGGGTCTTGACCGGACGATGCTCACTGTACTTTATTTCGCAGAAAATGTTGCGCGAGCCGCAACTCGCGGAGTGGGAGCGCGTTAGAATGAACGCGTCAAGGACACGCAGGATTGTTCGCAATAGGAGCCACACGTTTTTCCGTTTCCCGAGACTACGTGGCCCGGGCCTACAGCGACTTTTCCGGCTCATGCCTCCCGCTCTACTCTTCCCTAATTTGCGTGCACTCAATTTCGACGCTCTGCCGGAGGTTGGCTCAAATTTCGTTCTACTGCGCCAGTTCTTCTCGCCCAGATTAGAAGAACTTTCCTTCAATGTACCACCAGACGTTACGATGCATGAGGTAGAACAGTTGTTCGATGCTCTTCGTGCAGAAGCGGCCGGCCTTCGACAACTTTCAATAAAGGCGAACCACGGTACTTCGGCTTTGCATTGTACACTACCTCAGAGTGTCGGAAAACTGCCAAAGTTAAATCGGCTGGTCATAGACAGAATCGATACACGCTCGATTGTGCAGAACATTACCAACATCCAGCATACCCGCTGTCTCCAAACCCTGACTCTTACTTTGTGCAAAACGTCCCGCGATGTGGAGGGCCAACCATCGGGCAACACGCCACTCGAATTGCGTACCCTAAAACACCTCTTTCTCGTTGGCACTAACTTGCGACAATGCGTATTCCTCCTTTTTCAAGTGACCACCCCATACTTATCAACCATCGATATCTCGTACCATATACCTGCTACACCGATGGAAATCACCGCGTTTATCACATGTCTTTCCATGTCTTGCCAAACATTCGCATTCCTGGAAAACATTTCTGTCGTCGACGATTCGCTTTACCGGACATGGCAGCACCCCGACTCCTACGGCCCACTCCCTTCTTATATTTTCCGCCCTTTGCTCGAGTTCAGAAGGCTGTCGACTGTCAATTTCGTTGCTGTTGGAAATAACTGCCTTGATGATGGGTTCATCGAGGATGCCGGGGTTGCCTGGCCGGATATTCTTGAATTGAGGTTCATCTCGGCAAAACCTGTCCCTTCCGAGGTCACATTCACTGCTATGCTCTCATTGGCGTCAAGGTGCAGATCGCTGCATAGCCTACACCTAGCATTCGATGCCACTCATCTTCCAACGCTTCCTCATGCACCAGACGGAAACCGGGAGGTTTGGCGCGCGCAAACAGCCCTCCGCGAGCTGCATGTCGGACACTCAAAGGTGTCGGAAGCGGCACATGTCCATTTCTTCCTCGCTATGGTGTTTCCAAACCTGGCTGATTTCGCCTGGTACGATTCGCTCAATCCGTCTGATATTACTGTATGGCAAGAAATTGTGCGATTGTGGAAACAAGAAGTGAACCTTCGGGCAACGGCTCCAAATAGGGCGGTTTCCTTGCCAGACTTCCTACTGGAGTCACTGTCGGAGGCGGAAGATGGAGTGGGGGAGCACGGTAACTTGCTACAGGGATTGTAGGAGGTCCTAATTGTAACTTCATATGTACTAGTATGATATAGTGGCTGCTGTATATATCTGCTCTGTATGTTTATTCAACATGTCGACGAAATGTATGTAAATCGAGTAACCAACTTTAGCTCATCGTTTCTCTGATTTAGCACAAGTACGAGTCATGATAGGTATTAAGTTACGGGTGTCTCACGAACTTACGAGCTTGAAGCTTGAAGAATGGTGTGATGGTTCAGAGTCGGCTTGACTCGAGCGACTCGTCCTATGCGCTCGAGTAAAAGTCGAGGCTGCAAACGACCAGGGCACAGAAGAATTCAAGTGAATATTCTAGGGGACAATAACACGAAAGAGGATACAAAAACGAGATCACGGGAGCGCAAGAATATCAGGGTCACAGTGACTACAAAAAACGGGACGAAAAAGGATTGCAGATAAACAACTTGTGAACATGCCCAGACGAAGTAATACGACATATGTAGAACTACACACCGATATGTGCCCAGGCCGACTTCGTACAGTCTATGACACCGTCCTCCAGATCCTGGAACATTTTCTTGTAGAAAGCTTCCACAACGTGTTTTGCGAGAGCGTCACTGACCCCCCACAACGTGCCAACGACGCTCTTGAACCCCGAAAACTGAAGTCCAGCTCAAGTCCAGCTGCGAGGTTCAGACCACCTGCCCTTTAACCTCCTCTATCTCGCCCTGCAGCTCTGCAGCCATCGTTTCTTACCTGTCGCGAATATAAACAAGTTCGTGCTCGCATATTGATATCTCTACATCTAATTGATTTATCGTGTCTCCCACAGTTGAGTCTGGCCATGACTCACAAATTCTACGTCGTCCTCAAATCTCAGTTGTTCTCTGTTACAACTTCCGATGACGATCGGTTCGAGGATACCTTCGAGTCCCTCAAATCCAATTCGGCTGCAGCACGTCGCATTTTGGGTAGAATCGCACATGAACAATGCGACTACTACATGCTCAAAAATCCCGTGCGACTTCCTGCTAGAATTAGTAACACTGCCGACATCATCTCAGAGTGCATGGATCCGGAAACTTGGGAAAAGGTGTCCCATTATTTGGATTCCTTGGAGATTCTGGCACAACCTGTTACAAAGAAGCATGTCTACATCGTGATCATCCCCCAGGAGGGCAAGTTACGTCAGCATATCTGTTGATCATCGATTAGCTCACCCATTCCTTCAGGTGCAACAGAGAGAGCTATCGCAGCTCTTAGAAGAGATCATAATGAGATATTCAGCCGCTTGCAGATCAGGGTGTTCAGGCTGCAAAGATGGACGATGGACGATGTCACCCATAACATGGCAGGTGGCAAGTTGCACCTTCCCAACAACGAACGTCTAGCCGAACTCTCTGAAATAGAGGCATCATTGGCACAGCGCCGTACCTACAAAGCGAGCACTTCTTTTGCCGCATCTACAGCCCTTCGCTAATTCTTCTCAAGGTCCCGAGAGCCCCAGAGAACAGGGATTATGAGAATGCTTGCCAGGACACTGAACATCTTCACGACATCTTTGAGTCGACTCTGAACCAATCGGGCACTGTGACCGACCGGGAATTCATGGCTTTTTTTGATGTCCTTCGGTGCTTTGATGAGGACTCGAAACACATTAGCGCCGACTCATCTTCCGCCCTTAAGACCAGCAACTTCATCGTGTATTTTATAGTTCCGCCTTTCTTTTCTAACCGCAGCAAACCATTCGAATTAAAACAGTAAGTAGGTTCACCTCATGTCACAGTTCAACTGATTATAATGAAATGTTTCAGGGAGATGCCCTGGAACTTTCCTATATTCATCGATACTCACAATCGCCCCGAGTCTTGGTATCAGTTCCACCCGAGGAGTGATTTAATCGTTTCATCACCCTTGTCTTGTTTCCCGTTCCTCTTCTGCGAAATTATTTCACAGAAAGAAGAGGAAGATCGATACCGCATGCTGCTTCAAGCTATTACTGTTGCACGGGCAGGGCAATTCCTTATGGGGGACGGTGCACCGAAACCGTTCTTCGTTGTCGCGATTTACCTCCGTGCAAATTTGACGGCAGAAAGATACGTGGTCACCCATACTACACCAACGGAAGAGGGAGAAGAGACCAAGAGGTGCGACATGCTGTTTCGTTGTCCCGTTTTTTTGCTCATAGAATGGTCAGCACCGCCAGGTATCCATTGCCCAGAAAGATTTTGACCTTACCAATGCAGATGGTGCGGTATCATTTCTTCGTGAGATGTACAACCTCGTCGCGATGCTTGAGGAATTGGCCAAGCATCTTGACGAACGCAAACAGGATAGCCTTGTTAAAGTCGACCAGTATGCTTCCAAGATGATCTCCCTCACATCTAATGTTAAGCAGGACAGGACGGGCGGCTCGACATTGGCCTCAGTAGTTGAGGGTGATGCTGACGAGGAGCCTCAAGATGATCTCGGCATCTTTGGTACAGATGCTATCCAAGCTATTCTAAAGAAGATGGATTACAAGATCAACTTCATCCCTGTTCGTGTCATCATAACGTCTGGAAATGTGATACTGACGCTTTGCAAACTTCTTGTAGTATCCACTGATAGCTGCCGTGTCGAACGCTACTAGTACTCACGAATCGGAGAACAGATACCTGAAGTTCGTGAAAGAAGGGGGGAAGGAAATTGAAATCCTGCAATACCTCACAGGAATCGATTCCCCTGCAAATCATACCATCTCGGGAGTACGAATCTGGCCTGTGCGCGGCGGCAACGTGATATCGATGCCGGCGGCTGGCGCCCGGCTTACGTCGCTAACAAAACCCAGTGCACACCTGTGGTCTGTGGCTAAACAGCTGTTCGAAGCGGTCGACTTCATGCACCAACACGGCGTGGCGCACATGGAGCTGAAGCCGAATAACATCTTGATCTCCGTCAACGGCGGCCGTCTGACTGTCATCGACTTCAACAGGTCCTTGCGAGTCAAGGGTATCGAACATAGGTTCCGTGGCGTCGTGGGGACTCCTGAATATATCGCCCCCGAGGTAGCCGCCGGCAATGGCCCCTGGAGTGCGATCCGTGCGGACTTGTGGTCCTGTGGAAAAACATTAGAGGAACTGTGCGACAAGTGTCGCCCGTCCACGGATCGCGATACCCTCCTCGAAATTTCGTCGCAACTTATGGATGAAGACCCAAAAAAGCGACCGATGATGGCAGAGGCGTTGGACAGGCTGACCCGTTGTACCGTTGATACTACCACCCGACCAGGTTCTTCAATGTAATGTGAATCTGAATTCTTGTTTTGCGGGCATGCATTTATCTGTCGTGAGTAGTTTCTACTCTGTTGCTCCACAAGAAGTAAAGGCATGAATTCAAGTTGAATGTCGCACGCATTCCATGTAAACCCAGTCATGTTTCGATGTTGTCATACCATATTGTCGAGAGTGATTAAAGATTGGATTCACCGGAGTCGCCATGTAGTACCACTTTGTAACAGTACCTATTATAGGGTTTTTTGAGGGATAGCCGTATGACTAGACGTGATTTTCCTTTCTCGTCAAATGATCACACTCGTGTACAAGGATTCCTTGCAACGCTATCTAACATATGCAGGACTTGCTTGTGTAACTGTCAGACCTTGACCGCCTATAAGTAGGTTAGGTACGCGTATGTAACTTCCGCGTGAAGGTCTAGTAGATAGACGATAGGCGAATCGTTGCGAGGGGTAGAAATGATAAAATCATCGTATCTGGGACATTATTGACTCGAGCACCTTCTCAATTGTGTGCTTCTTGTGCAAGTTGTGTAGTAGTTTTAATTCTTAAAATAGACTTTTACACATCAATTGGGAAATGCTGTCACTTCACGTGTACGCCTCATGCATGGTACCGTACGCATACTCAATACATGCTTGGGCGATAGGCCTGTGCTGAAACCACCTCTTTGGTCCCTTTCCCCATTATGGATTCCTCAAAGATCATCAGAGAGAAATTCAATCGCGTCCGAATCCTCATTATAGGCAGAGCGAATGCCGGCAAAACCACCATTCTCCAGAGGCTTTGTAACTCAAGGGAGAAACCAGAAGTATATAACAGAGCTGGGAAAAAGGTGCGTGTCACGGTGTTGCTACTTACTGTGGAGGCTGGTAATAATGATTGACCATCGAGATCAGATCGATGCCTCTGTTTTGCAGCGATCCAGAGAGGTAGGGTATACTCTTGGTTCGCAACATGAACTGACATGTTCTCAGCGTGGAGATTTCGATATCGAGAATGGATTGGTGTTTCGAAACTATCCAGGATTCATCTTTCACGATTCACGCGGTTTCGAGGCAGGCGGGGAATCCGAATACAACGAGGTGACGGCATTTATCGCAGGCCGTTCTAAGAAAATCAGTTTAGAGGATCGAATCCATGTCATATGGTAATCGGTCAGGTTGGCGACATGCACTCGCTCACTTCTTTGACATAGGTACTTCATCCCAATGGATCGGGCGAGCAGGTGTTTCACTGAAGCAGAACTTAAATTTTTCCGGAGTGACTATGGCAGCAGTAGGCTTTTGCATCCGGTCATTGTTGGCAGCGGCCCACTGATTCACAAACCCCAGTCCCGGTAATGGTGTTATTCACCAAATTTGACGCCCTCTATGCCGTCGAATTCGCACGACTGACAGAAAACGGAACATCGAAGAAAGACGCTAAAAACCTGGCCCCGAAGCACGCTCCGGTGACATTTGCGAATGGGTCACAATTGAAGTTTTTATACCAATCCAAGGATATCCGGCCTCCAAAATGTCATGTATGCCTCCCTGGTAAGTCAGTCAATCGCTCGATCGTGATACATCATGAAGACACTTGATCTAAACCCGACATTAGATATGAACAGGGATGACGCAGATTGCAGGCCACTCATGGAACGCACGGCTGAAACTCTCCATATTGCTCGGCCAGTTTTTTCAGCAAACAAACTTGCAGAAATATCCAGTTGAAAGGTAGATACCCTGAATATCAATATCATTTGCCTGTAGCAAGCATTGACGATCAAAATCAACCAGAAACAATGAGCACTCATTATTTGATGTAAGCTATTTGTTCAATTCGTCTAACTATCGCGGAACGTGAGCTTGCTTCGCACAGATTCTTGCTATAAACACGATGGTCTGCAATGTTGGGTTACATACCGCCGAAGAGCTGCTGTCCAAAGAGATTGACACAGATTACAACAACCGCAGCTCGTATGCCAAACGCTCGGTTGTAAGGACGCGAAAATCCGAATGGGATAATGCGCTTCAAGACGCAGTTAAGGTGAGATGCCTTGCATATCATGACGCTGTTGACGTTGACCCTTCTTGATGACCAAGTCCATTACTATCCAACCCTCCTTGTTGGGCTACATTTCCAAGGCCATTGCACTCTGCGGCAAGGAGCAGCTCTGGGACGCGAATCAAGCTTTTGATCTCGCTTTCATATTTTTGAGTCATGATCCGATCACTATCGATCTTTTACTATTGATCAAGGTACATTCGTCAATATTTTCAACAATAAGTCGGGCTTCAATGTCGATTTTCAGGCTATTGCACTTTTCAATGCCAGTCGCCATGATGAAGCACTACAGCGAGTTCAAGACCTCGCCACCACTTATCAGCTCTTAGATACACTCCCGTACAGTGTTGTCAACGTGAGTTCTATATCAGACCTCCCGAATTTTATCACTTTCGAACATACTCGGCGTTAGTCATATCTACGTGTGCAGCTTGCAATACTTGCTTTCGAGGATGGGCAATACAGCGAAGCCGCTGATCAGCTCAGCAATGTTATTCCCAGCATAACCGATGTGTTCTCTCGCAGAACACCGTTTGACATGAGGTTAAAGATATTTACGGTGGTGCGTCACTGCGAGGTCACGGAAGGCATTTCCACTAATTGTTCGTGCGTACTGCACAGTTTTTCGGTTGGGACTTGCATTCGTTGTGGCACACCCCCAACCAAAGACGGTGCGACGCATTCCTCCGCGCTGATCGAGTGATCGAAGCGGTCGAGTCTCACCAATACATGATGCTCATGATTGACAAAGATGCGAAGGATGGCTGTCTCGAATGGTCTGCCGGTGAGGGTCTTCCTAGATGACTCGAACATTGACAGTTACTCTGGGTTCATATAGTCTTCAAGAAAAACTGCACTGCACGCTGTGTCGCAAAGGGAGACGAGGCTGTTGCTGTGAGAAATTACGACACGGCTGTAGAACTCTATTCAGCAGGTATCACGCTGGACTCTTCGTGCGAGTCCCTCTTTTTCCACCGCAGCAAGGCAAACTTGGAACTGAACCTCTATGCGGAGGCGTTTCACGACGCGGAAAAGGTGCTGGTGTTATACCTAACCTGTTTAGCACAAGTGCTGATACTACCGATACATAGATAATTGAACTCAACCCATCATCGTATCTTGGTTATGAAGTGACGCATGCGGCGCTTCACAAGGCTCAACGGTATGATGAAGCAATCGTGGCCTTCGACATCATGCTCTCCAAGTTGGACGATGCACCCGACCCACAGATACGGGGTAAGCCCCGAAGCGCTCATGCATCAACGTAAACATGTAACTCTTTTTCTAGAGTTGCGTCAGCAGTATTGCAGTCCACCCGAAGCAGATCGTGCTATTCGGAGAGTCATTGATGACCGACTGGAAAACGCCCCACCTCGTCTACTCAACACCTCCACTGGTTTTTTATGCAATCGAGAGGCACAGATCGACGCCTTCATAAAAAGCACAGACTACAAGCAGATCTTGTCATTATCGATGACGCACATGCCCCTCCGAACGGAGCCCATCAAAATAGTGGTCGAAAAGTACTTCAGTTGGGTCATGTTATCGCATAGGTGGGAAGGCAAGGAGCCACTGTTGCACAACATCCGGGACAAGGTCGTGTACGATCTCGATCCAGTCGGAACTGTTGTGAAGTTGCAGAAGTTTTGCGAAGTCGCGCGTGATGCAGGGCATCACTGGGCGTGGAGCGACACATGCTGCATCGATCAGAATAACAATGTTGAACTGCAACGATCGGTTAACTCTATGTTTGTCTGGTATCGCCATTCAGCTCTTACGATCGTCTACCTATCGGATGTTCTATCTTCCTCGAAGTCTGGCGCACTCGCAAACAGTGCTTGGAACACGCGAGGGTGGACTGTTCAGGAAATCCTCGCTCCGGCAATCGTTCTCTTTTACAAAGTAGATTGGACCCCATATCTCGAAGATTGCTCTCCCAATCACAAGAAGTCTGACGCTATCTTGCAGGAGTTGGAGCATTCAACAGGCATAGATGCGCAGGCTCTTGTCGCCTTCGACCCGGGGATGAGAGGCGCGCGCAAGAAACTCCAGTGGGCGTCGACGCGTGTCACCACATTGCAGGAAGACATCGCATACTCATTATTTGGCATATTTGGTGTCCACCTACCTGTCATCTATGGCGAGATGAAACAGAATGCGCTCGGGCGGCTCTTGCAGGAGATTATAGGTCGTTCAGGCGACATTACTGCCCTCGAGTGGGTCGGAAAATCATCCACATTCAACAGTTGTCTTCCAGCTGATATTAGCTCGTACAAAGCTCTCCCACACACACCGCCACCCTTAACCGAAGATGACATGCACTTGTTGGTCTCTTCGTTGCACAACGCTGTGGTCATGGAGTCAGCATTGTAACTGTATGCTCTCCTTGACGACCTCGCTGCTCCTCGTTTCGTCAACTCCAGACTGCAACTGCCTTGCATTGCATTTCCTGTTACAGTAGTCAGACGGAACCGTGGTCGAGACCAGGAAACATGCCTCACTTATGACATCAAGGCAGACGGTCTTGAAGATCTTTCTATCACCACTGAAGACAAACTGGTTCAATTTTCCCGGGCACAGCCAACTCAACGGACATTCCTGCTCGTTCGTCCATGGAATCATCATGACCTCGGGCTCCCTAACTTTGCGGATGATACACGAAGCATGGTTGAGTCCTTGTCCGAGTCTGTGTTAGACGATCCGATCGGCGGGTATCCCGAAGATGATGAACCTGATGATACAGATTCTCACTTACGAGCGTTGAGGTTGATTGTTCGCCTCGGACAGCCTTTTGGCGCACTTTTTCTGGCACAGTAGCATGATAGGGAGTACAAGAGAATCGCTTCGGATCACAACATTATTGCACGGGTCAAGGACATGACTTCTGTTCATGACATGATGGACGTTAGGACGCTAGATATACTGTAGTTGTACGAATTTCAAAGAAAGGGGTCTCTGATGCGTTTCCATTCATGCTCTGATAGTAGTACCCGCATATATCATGCTAGGCATTTGTGGTTGAACTGATCAGGCGCAATTTGGCCCCGCAAAAAGTGAGCGCTGAGCGCTGAGCATTGGGCGGTACCGGCGGAATCAGCGCAAGGCACGTAGTAAAGAACCAGAGCAAACGCACATGAAATAACAAATATAGTACAGTACAAGCTCGTCAGAGAATACATATGATACAGAAGAGTACATAGCGCATGCACGCCCCTAGCAAAATAAACATATAACCTACACATAAAATCCACAAAAGGATCGCACCCATGAATACAATCCGTTCCGAATGATACAAACGAAAACAGCCACCAAGTGACACCCTTTGCGTCGAAATAGATGTTCGAGGGTCGCTGAGTAGCGATCTGTTTCCCTGTTCCATTCGTCCCCGTATCCGTTTGCTCATCGTAATGGCCAGTTTTGCCTCCCAGACGCTCCGCACCAACAATCTATCCAAAGACATCGCCCCAAATGCCCGATTCACATGGCCTCGCAACCCAGTAGTCAGTGGAGTCCGCGCGCCGCCACACCCACCCCGGGTGCAGCTGAACAGTGCGAAGTCCAGGACAAGTACGGTTCCATGCGATCTAGGCGCAGAGACGGACATGATCAGCGCATCCAAAACCATAATCGAAATATAACACAGCAGACGTACCACAAGTTCGCGAGTGTAATCGTCAAACGGCTCCGACGATTGTGGTGCTTCGAGCTCAGGATCAGGCTTGCGTGTAAACTGGAAATGTGATCTGGAGGCATACCTTGTTCGTCCACGAAGTCCACGTCGACATCTTGGGGGAAAGGTAGCTGCTGCAAGCTGAGAACACCCTCCATAAGGGTGTCTGTAATGGAATCGATATCATGCATGCTCTGTAAGTAAGTATTGTCGATACCAGGGGCACCATATGCGGTGTCGTCATCACGCTTCCTCAACTCAAGGACGTTTTGAGGGGGTGGGAGAAGAGGAATGCAGAATATGCGTGCGGATACGAGATGTGGAAGAGCGTACAGTGTACGTGAACCCATACCGAGGATAGTATCCTGAAAATGAGGGTCAGGGTCGAGGAGAGGGAAATGAGGGATATGCAGCGCACCTCGCTTGGCCCTCCCCTTGCATACCGGACTTGTAACTTGGTTAACATGGGAAAACGGGCAACGATAGCTAGCATGACCTCGTCGTCCCAGTCCCCCACAAATAGTGAAAGCTCTTGCACCCTCGATAAGTGAGAGTGCACTTCTGCGAATGATTTGTAGAGTGGCGTGAGCGTGGCTTCATCGCGGATATCGAGCTTGATAATTCTGGGTCCGGAACAGATAGAAGAGATAGCAGATAAAGGGGCAGAAACTGCACAGAGGGCTGGAAGAGAATTTGGCGACAGTGGAAGGGCGGGGACGTGGTTTCGCAGGATGAGAGTGCGAAGGGAGGGAAGAGTCTCTAGGAACGAGATGAAGCCCTGTGGGACTCTGGGACGGTCTTTCTGGATGGGAAACTTGACGTCGAGAGCAATGAGTGGGGGAGGTGGCGAGGAAGGTGTGAAAACATGGTGTAACCAAACGGTGTGGTCATATGTGAGAGTGCGGAGGGTGGGGACTTTTGCAAGCATGCGTAGACGAGTACGGGGATTCCGAGGATTGATGTCGTCGTCATTGGATGGAAACGTAGAGCGAATATCGATGAGGGTGAGAGATTCTATTTTCAGGGAAGTGTGCTTGATATCTATATAGACGCCAGCGAAGTGAACGGTGCAGTGCACAACTGCTAAATCACGCAAGTGCGGAAGGTCGCGCAGGATAGAGTGGAAATCTCGCGGGAGAAGCATACCACGGAAGACAACCTGTCTGAGAGAGGTAAAGGCCTGGGAGGTAACTTGGGTGATGAGCTTGTCGTAGACAGTGGCGTCCGCAAGGAAGCGCGGTTGATATGCATCCTTGATTTGGAAGAAGCGAAACCTGGTTGACTGCCTGTTGACAGGAATGGGCGTCCAGTCGTCAGCTTCCGCAAAAGAAACAACAGCGACAGCTTCCTTCAGCTGCTCCATTGGGCGCTCTACGAGCGGGGAAATACCAAGAAGAAGAGAATACGGTGAAGGCTGGATGGAAGATAACGCTGAGTACGCCGTTACAAACGATGTCGGGGACGTCAGAATCAGATGCTTGTAAAGAAGACGGATGGCGACCGCATGAAAGTTCTTCGACGTCAAGACAAGGTTACGAAGCGAGTGTGGAGACAGATATTCGAAGATTGAAAGCCATAGTTCATTGGGAAGTGTCATTGAATAGGCGACTTTTGACGGAGACGCAGTTGATGACATGGACATCAGTTGATGGTAAAGATATAAGTTAGCTTTATAGCATCACGTGACTGATCAAAGTCTCGGACTTGAGACTGTTAACACCGAGAGACTGGCCGATTTCGAGGAATATGGATACTACTACACGCATCTAAGCATTCACGAACTGAATTAACAGAAGACGTGAAGGAAGGAGCAAATAAAACATGACTTGAAATACAGTAGAGGCACAGAAGAGCACACGTACATACACAGAACATAAACAAATAACATACACAGATAACCAAACGCTTTCCATTTGTGCATCCAGAAGTACAAGCGAATCAACACAATGAAAAAACTGCCGAATTGCATACCAATAAAGATGTCGAAGTCAGCGCCGAGAATGAAGCTCAAGGTCACGTTCGATCTGTTTCCCTCTTTCTTATTCTGCCATCCGTTCCCGAGACCCCCTCTCGATTGCCGGTTCTGCCTCCATACGTTCCACATTAATAATTTCCTAGTCACGTCGTCGTCTGGATGCGTAACTAGAACATTGATTCCCTAACAATAAACTCGGTTCGCCAAATGGTGACTCAAAGACATCACCAAAAATGCCCAATTCGCATGGCCTCGCAACCCAGGAGTCATCAGGGTCTGCACGCCGCCACACCCACCCCAGGTGCAGCTGAACAGTGCGGAGTCCAGTACAAGCACGGTTCCAAGCGATCTAAAAGCAAAGACGGACATGATCAGCAGATACCGCAATCGAAATACAACATAGCAGGCGTACGACAAGTTCACGATTATAATCGTCAAACGGCTCCGTCTCCGGTGATAGGGGCTCCTCGACCTCAGGTTCAGGGTTGTGGTTGGACTCCAAATTATCAATAGTTTGGTTGGAACGCGCCCGCTGCTCGGCAGTTGTGCACTCATGGCACGGCAACCCGATGCGAGTCCCGTGGCAGCAATACATGGCGTACACGTCCATGTCCATGTTCAAGTCTACGTCAACGTCTGGTTGATAGACGACAATATTTTGCGAGTTGCCAGCATGGCCCTGGTCACGGGGTACGCCATCATCATCTTCATCACCCTTCGTGTCTGTAACCGGATCGATGTTATGCATACTCTGGAAATAAGTGTCGTCGATGCCAGGGGCGCCATATGCGGTATCGTCATCGCGGGTATTCGTCTCAAGGAAGGTCTGAAGGGGCGGGGGACCAGGGATGCAGAAGATGTGTACGGATACAATGTGTGGAAGAGCGTACAGTGTACGTGAGCCCATGCCGATGATAGTATCCTAGAAATTAGGGTTGGCGTCGGCGAAAGGAGACAGGAAATGAGGGGAAAACCACGCACCTCACTTGGCCCGCCCCTCACATACCTAATTTGTAACTTGGTTAAATTGGGAAAATGTGCGACAATGGCCAGCAAGACCTCGTCATCCCAGTCTCCCAAGAACAGCGAAAGCTCTTGCACCATTAGCAAGTGAGAGTGAACTTCTGCAAATACCTTGTAGAGCGGTGTGAGCATGACTTCATCGCAAATATCGAGTTTGCCGATTCTACGGCCGAAACAGAGAGACGTGATAGTAGAGAAAGGGGCAGAAATAGTACAGAGGGCTGGGAGACCATTTGGCGACAGTGAAAGAGCGGGGACGTGGTTTCGCAGGATGAGAGTACGGAGGGAAGGGAGAGTCTCTAGGAATGAGATAAAGCCCAGTGGGACTCTGGGACGGTCTTTCTGGATGGGGAACTTGACGTCGAGAGCAGTAAGCGGGGGAGATGGGGAGGCAGATGTGAAGGCGCGGTGTACCCAGACGGTGTGGTCATATGTGAGGGTGCGGAGGGTGGAGGCCTTTGCGAGAAGGCGTAGACGGGTACGGGGAAGATGCATGTCGTCGTCCTCAGATCGAGACGTAGTACGAATATCAAGGATGGTGAGAGTTTCGATTTTCAGGGAAGTATGGTCAATGTCTGGAGGGGCACGGACGAACGGAACGGTGCAGTGCACAACTGCCAAATCATGCAAGTGCGGAAAGTCGTGTAGGATGGAGTGGAAGTTGCCTGGGATAATCATACCACGGAAGACGAGCTGTCTGAGAGATATAAACGAGGATACTTGTGATAGGAGGGTGTTGTAGAGTGTCATATCCGCAACCAAGCGTGGTTGGTAGGTATCCTTAATTTCAGAGAAAAGAGACCTGGTCGATTGGCGATTGTTTTTAGTGTTGACAGTAATTGGCTTGGACCCATCAAAGGAAACAACAGCGACAGCTTCTTGTAGCTGCTCCACGGTGCGTACGAACGGAGAAATACCAAGAAGAAGAGCGTGTGGTGCAGGCTGGATGGAAGATAGCGCGGGGCGCGCCTCTACAAACGATGTCGGGGACGTCAGAATCAGATGCTTGTAAAGAAGACGGATGGCGACAGCATGAAATTTCTTCGACGTTAAAATAACATTACGAAGCGACTGTGGAGGCAGGTATTCGAAAATTGGAAGCCATAGTTCGTTGGGAAGCGTCATCGACAAAGATGCAGCTGTGGACATTGACGATGACATGGACAAACCATCTCTATCCACGTAAGATCCAAATTGCAACTTAAGCTTATAGCATCACGTGACTGATGCCAAACAAAGGCTGCGACACTGTAATAGCTGAGCACGATCGATCTGACAGTGTTCTAAAAACCAAAGACTGAAGACAGTCTTTCTATTAAGTATCACCAATGTCTACCATCCTACGTAGTCAGTGGTAGTCATGAGTAACGTATCGACAAAAGATAGGTCTGAGCGCAAGTTATCAAATTCAATCTTGCTTGATCATATTAGCCAACTGTTTTGCGGTATCTTTAGACATACCGCAACGCTTCATGAGAAAAGGTACAAGCTCCTTCCTTGTCAAATGGGAACTACCTGAGAGTAGCTGCTTCAGCTTACGCATCAGCGACACGAACAGGTTATCTCCTCCTTCCCATGCTTGCTTCTGCCCATCAGCAGCAAATTGCTCGACGAGGCGACGTATAGTGACGCGCGATTCTTCATATAGGACTTTGTGCCTGCCATCCAATCCATCAGCGGCAGTGATGCACGCGTGACCTTTGATCTCATATTTTTTGAAGGCGCGATATTCTCGCTCCCACCAATCCTCCATCCTCTGCTCTCTTTCAAGACCCGTGATCGCAAGAACAATGGGAACCTTCTTCTCGCAGAGGAATTCATGAAAGAGACGGTAATTGCTCTGAAGAGTAGCGGGCATTCTTCCAGCGCGAATGCAGAAGAGGAGCAGATCAATGCCGCCTCGCGAGTCCAATTCCTTGGTAAGCCTATAGGCGCTTTCGACGCACTCGAGGTACTCTTTGATTCCAAGCTGCGGGTCCTCGAGTCCAATGGTATCGAACACCTGGTAAGACGCGCCACCGAAGCTGATGTCATATTCTTCCCAGCGCATCGTACAGCGTTGTGGGCTAGAAGATGTGCGTGCTACATTCTGTCCCGCTATGAGGTTGATGACAGAGCTTTTGCCTGCTCCAGACTCGCCAAAGAGTACGACAACTTTTTTGCTGTACTCGGATATCAATATTAGAACAAATCAATATCTGAAGACTACGTACCGTGTGTTCATTTCAGGAGGGATGTTCCAGTAGTAGTGATATGTAGTCTTTGGTCGAGATTTAATGATGCAGGTCTTATAAAAGTAAAGGGATACGAACACCAGCCTCAAAGCAGATCATCACGTTTCTTCGTCTCATTTTCGCAACCATAAGTCGCATGGCTTGACGAAGAAACAGCATCTGCTACATTCCCGATGCATTCGATAGATCAACTTGAGGCAAACTCATGTTGTTGGCAGTGTGACTCGATTGGTTAGAGAACCCATGCAGCAGTCCTTCAGGGTGCGTTACGTAGATTGCAGGGCCTGTACGTCATTATATATGACTTGATATATAAGTATTGGCTTTACAATGAAATCGAGTTTTGACAAAAAGGCCAAGGCTGTTCGAAGAATTTCGGAATCAGAATGTGATCTCATATTTTCATCGTAGGAGTACTTGATCAAAAACTCGAGGCAAGCATGCATTGATGAGGGTGCGACTCGTGGATTTGACGGGAGGACCTATATTGGAGACTCTGGGAGAGAAAGGCCGATCGAGGCGAGGTAAAGGCTGGCAAAAGCGAGGCGCTGAAAAAAAAAAGGTTACCAAAAAGGAAACTGAGGAACAACGCCGGATAATGCCTGATCTTGATCAGGCCTCAGTGAGCTAGTCTCCCGTAGTCAGACCTCGATAGAATGCTTCAGAAAACTACCAAAAACCTTGGACAGCCATCCATAGTTCAAATGACGTACTAACCATATCCCAAGGTATACTCGACATGGAAGGCTACAGTGTGGGGGGCGCTTGTGAGAGACTAACGCTCATCTGTCTGCACTGTGGATAGTGATTCCAGTGAAAATCATTAGCCAAAATCAGCACCAAATGTAATTAAAAGCATAGCACAATGAGCTGAAAACGAAGTGCTGAAAGTTCCGAATTTTTCGAGTTTAATCGATTCTTTACACAAGTCTAATTGGTCGATACTTTCGAGTTTCCCATGTGCGGGCTGATTTAGGGTCCACCCCTTTGCCGTTGTGGCACGCGCTCTGGGCGCCCTCGGCATGACGTTCATGCTGAGCAATCTTCGTTCTGGCGGAGATTCGTTTTGTTTTACTAGTGCGTGTGGGCAGTTAGGAGGTCCTCGCCTCTTCTCACCTGCCCATCATCGCACTAGGTATGTTTTCTAGAAGTATTTCTGTTGGCCTCTTCTCACAAGACCATCATCGCACTAGCATATTTTATTCGTCACTATCTAAATAACATCGCTTTTTAAGCTCATCCATGTCGGAATATGAGCATCCCTCCTCTGAAACCCGTTCCTCAGGACATCGCGAGTCCGCAGACAGTCTCTCGACCTCTTTCAACCCCGCAGTCATCGAGCAATGTCTCAAATTCATTATCCATTACCGGAAGCATAAGACCACAAAAGCAAAAGCAATACTTGGCATCCAACAGGTACTTGCGGGAGCCACTACCAATGGAGACCCCGCCTTTGAAAGCGGATTCGGCCATTATCTTGAGGTCCTTGACGCCGTTAGGACAGAGGAAGAGCCAGAAAATATTCGAGGAAGTCCAAGACCGACACGTTCGGGTGGAAGTGAAGTCTTGTATGATCCAGAGCGAGAAGTCTTCAGAAGTGCGATCAGAAGAGGCAGAGCGCAGAGTAAAGAAACTGAGGATGATGACGAGCAGGAATCAGGGTACGCAGGGAGTAGCAGAATCAAAAGGGAAAAGCGGAGAAGACTTAACGATGATGTACTTCAATTCTGCCCTTGGTTTGAGCCATCCAAATTTCAATCCCTCACTCGATCGCAAGGGATTCAAATGGCCTTGCGGTGCTATGAAGAATGGTCAGATGACCCAAAGTATTATCGCACCAGAATCACCACTACGCCTGGATGCCCAAAGTTGTCTACCTCACAGTGGACATTGCTTCTCGAAGGGAAAGCGGTGGATCTCGATAAAGTCTTCACCGGACGGTATTCCACTGCCATCGACTCTAAGCAAACCCAGTTCCTTGGGAAGGGATTTGAGCTCTCGCTCTCCCAACCAACCGTTAGTCACAAGGTCAAATCTGCGGGGGATTGGGGAATCGCGACCGACATATGGACTCGAGCGCTCACCTTCATCATGCCGTGGAGGGAAGAGGAAATTCGAGAGTATAGGGAGTACATGTCCGACATCTTCGGAAACCACTTCTATTCCGTCCATGAGCGTGTCCTCGACTTCGACCGTGCCGTTCAACTCCTCATTGAACAACAAAAGTTTCTCCGCCTCGATGACTTCCCTAAATTCGAAGGACTCAAGTCCAGCCACTTGTCAGCTTTTGGGATGGTCGCCTGCATGCAAGGGTCACACGGATCGGGAGAAAAGGGAGGGAAAGAACTCACCACAGAGAAACGGCAACCCAGAGGAAGGGGAGAGCCGTGTCACAAATGGAACCGAGGGGAATGTGACAAGGAGGCGAGAGAATGCCTCTACTTCCACGTATGTGACAGAGGAAGCTGCAGGGGGAGCCATAAGCGGGGAGAGTGTCCCTTGGACAAAAAGGGTAAATGAGACAATTGCTGAGGGACAGCGTTTTCGCCGACATTTCATTTGGGGTAAGCGGATGTCGGTAGTTAGTCCAACGGCGCTATGGACCGAAACCGCAGAACCATTACCATCACCCCCTGCCTCTGAATTTCTCAATATCGAAGCAATCGAAACCATTCGTTCGCGTCCGGATCTCTTTCGTGTTGATACTCCGATCAACGTCGATGTCTTTCAATCTATGTTGGAGAATGCAGGCCACCCGAATCCTAACTTCTACCACTCTGTGTGCGCTGGTCTATGCCAAGGGTTCTGGCCTTGGGCAGACACGCATTACGGGGAATATCCCTCCACGTGGGAGGAATCTACTCCCATTCCTTCTGTTCCTCAAGAGCGGGAATTTCTACACGAACAAATCGAAAAGGAGGTTCGCGTTGGGCGATACTCATCAGACTTCGGTCCGGGGTTGCTACCTGGGATGTACTCTATGCCCATACACGCAGTACCGAAAGATGGAGGAAAGTATCGACTCGTTACCAACCATAGCGCAGGTTCTTTTTCTCTCAACTCCATGATCGCTAAGGCAGATATCGCTGGAGTTACGTTGGACAACGTCCAGCATCTAGGTAATGCGCTACGACAGTATCGAAGTCAAGAGGGAGACGGGCCTCTCGTAATATGGAAGGCGGATGTATCAGAGGCCTATCGACACATGCCCATGCATCCGCTTTGGCAGATCAAACAGGTTGTTTCATTCGAGGGTCGACGACACGTTGATAGAGCTAACGTTTTCGGGGGACGAGCGTCACAACAGATTTTTCACGCCTTCATGTCACTCGTCATATGGTTGGCGACATTTACGCGACTCATTCTTGCTTACATCTACGTCGACGATTCTTTTTCGTACGCTGAAGAACATGATCTCGCCTTCTACGGCAAGTATCAGAAATTTCTACCGCGTGGAATGGTCAAATTACTGCTCCTATGGGACGAGCTTGGGATTCCGCATGAAGAGCGCAAACAAGTCTTTGGTTCACCCCTTCCCGTCATCGGGTTCGATGTCGACCCACAGCTTATGTGCATTACCCTACGAGACGAAGCTAAGACAGACCTAATCGTGGAATTACGAGCATTCGCTCGTCATCGCCATCGACGTACACTTCGGGAATGTGAGCACATAGCAGGGTCCCTCAATTGGGCACTCAATGTCGCTCCAATGCTACGTCCTGGGCTAGCGGCCCTTTACCAAAAGATGAAGGGAAAGACGCAGTCGAAAGCACTTGTATGGCTTAACCGGCGCATCGTTTTTGAGATTCTCTGGGCAGCGGAGCATCTTGAGCGATCGAATGGAGTCTACCTCCTCAAGTCTGTATCCTGGAACCTTCGACAAATTATTCACGCACCGGATGTTTTGTGTGTATACTGTGACGCTTCAGGAGTTGGAATGGGGTTCTGGTACCCCGCTTTACATTTAGCATTTCAGTCTAAGCTGCCCGCACGCTCGCCAGTATCTGACATTTTCTTTTTCGAAGTGTTATGTGTCACCTCGGCGATTTATGACGCTCTTTCGCGTATCTTGCCGGGCCAACGTTTGGCGGTTTTTACAGATAGCCTCGATACCGTCAGCATCTTCAGCTTGCTTTCTGGCGAAACGAGCTATAATCAACTCCTCATGTTTGTTGTTGATCTTATCCTTGCTACAGAAGTCGATTTCTGCGTCTTCCACATCACGGGAAGTACAAATGTGGTCGCGGATCACCTCTCACGCAACAAGGCTCGGGAGGCCTTAGCGTGCGTTCCTCATCTCCGAATTCTCCCCTTTGAACCCCCTCGGAATGCGCTGGGGGAAGGGAAAAAATGATTCCATCGCTACGTCGTGCCAAGCAGCCCATTCGGGAAGCTTGGCCTTTAGAGTGTCTCGTACATGAATGCTCTATTAATCTGGGTTTGTCTCTCGACCGTTCAACAAATCACGCCTATTCTTCCGCCCTTAACTCGTACCTCACCTTCTGCGAATTGCACCACTTCGCAATCGAACCAACCGCCGACACCTTTTCTTACTTCATCACCTTTATGGCGGCGCAAATCAACCCTCGTTCGGTGGATAACTATCTATCTGGAATTTGTAGTCAACTTGAGGAGTTCTACCCATTGGTTCGCGACGTTCGCAAATCGCGCTTAGTCGCTCGGACTCTGCGAGGCGCGAAGCGTCGTTATGGAACTCCAGTTAAGCGAAAACTTCCGTTGACACGAACTGATCTTGCACGGGTGGTTGACAGTCTTCACCATCCTTCCCATGATGATAAGCTTTTCATCGCCATGCTCCTTGACGGTTTTCACGGCCTTCTACGGCTTGGTGAACTCGTTTGGCCCGATACTCAGGAACTTCAACTTTGTCAAAAGCTTACTTTACGCACCTCCGTGTGCGTAACGTTGAACAATCACTCCTTTGTACTGCAAACACACAAAGTTGACCCTCATTTCGAGGGTGCAACAATCGTCATTCAGCGCTCCCTCGTGCATCCAGATCCTCATCACTCTTTCATCGATTATCTTGCGTCGCGTGACGCACTCTTTCCCTTCCACTCTACTCTTTGGCTACGTGAGAACGGGAACGTGCCTTCTCGAGCGTGGTTTTTAACACGCTTACAAAAATTTTGTCCTCCCACCATCGCTGGTCATTCCATGCGAGCGGGAGGAGCAACATCCTTGGCAGCAGCAGGAGTCCCTGCCATGGAGATTCAAGCTATTGGGCGGTGGTCATCAGACTCATTTCGCTCGTATATTCGCAAGAATCCTACCCTTTTGCATGCTCTCATCTTTAATGGTCGGTCCGCACATGATGGGCGTGATCCATTCGCGCTCGTCCATTGAAAAGATATGTTTTCCTATTTTCTCTTTTTTATTTTTATACAAACTTATCGCCCTCCCTCCCTCCCAACACACACATTACGGCTTATTTTCACGCGTGAACGCGCAGGCATTCGCGCATCCTGGGTTGTTTTTTATCTCTATCTATGGCCTCCACCTTTTGTCCTTAGCTAGTTTGTCTATTCATCGGATTTTTCCGGACTCGCGTCCGGAAAGATCCTTATGCTGGCTAATCCTCGCAGCCTGCACTTTCGCGAGGCTAAGTGAGACCAATTAGACTCTGAAATTACAGTTGAAAATCAGCTGAAATTGTGCTGCAGTCGTGCCAAAAGAAATGTTGGCCTGAAGTCGCATCACATGATGAATTTGACCTATTATATTATATTTCGCATCTGGCAAGGATTGAACCCAGGACCTCAAGTACTCATACGTGCAGCATCGTTACCGCTGAGCCACACAACCATTTATATACCTCACAATAATAGCAATATATACCAACGCTGTGGTCACATGATAAAAATGCGAAAATTCCTAAGTCCGTAGCTGCAATCAACTTTGTACTGAAAGGATGTGCTGAATCGAGGGTGATGCGCTGAAATTCAGAATCAGCACTCCAATGAAATTAACTACATGCAGTTTCAGTGGAAGTTACTCTGAAACATTCAGCATCAGTGCATTTTCCAATGATTTTCATTAGAACCACTATCCACAGCGTCTGTCTAGCCAACTTGAACGCGATGTGTGAGTGCTACCACTTGATTGACAAGAAGAAGCGTGTCTGTTACTATGTAAGAGGATGACCAAACATTGCTGCAAAGGCACTGTATTTCGTTATCACTAGTATTCACCAATGCATATGTAGGGACAGAGACAATGTACGCAGAGTCATACACTGTGGAACATATCGACAAGGATCAAGTCTACAAGCGGATCGGGAAATAAGTTATCGAGGGGAGAATCAACATTTCTGTTGCTTTATTATATCAGCTAAATGCTTCGCGACTTCCTGGGATATCCCGCAATGCTTCGTGAGACGAGGGATAAGATCTTTCCTTTTCACATGTGAACCCCCTGTAAGCAGCTGCTTCACCTTGCGCATGAATGAAGCGAACAGGTTATCCCCTCCTGTCCATGCTTGCTTCTGCCCATCAGCAGTAGATTGCTTGACGAGGTGACGTATCGTGATGCGTGATTCTTCATAGAGGTCTTTGTGCCTGCTATCCAATCCATTGGCGGCGGTGATGCACGCATGACCAGCGACGTAGATTTGATATCGAGGGAAGATGTCGTGTTCTCTATCCCACCAGTCTTCCATCCTCTGCTCTCTTTCGAGGTTCGTGATCGCAAGAACAATGGGAACCTTCTTCTCGCAGAGAAATTCGTGAAAGAGCCGGTAATTACTCTGAATAGTGGTGGTCATTCTTCCGGCGCGAATGCAGAACAGAAGCAGATCAATGCCGCCTTGCGAGTCCAATTCCTTGATGAGCCTATAGGCGTTTTCGACGGACTCGAGGTATTCTTTGATTCCAAGTTGCGGTTCCTCGAGTCCAAATGTATTGAAAACCTTAAAAGACTCGCCGTTGAATTCGATGTTATAATCTTGCCAGCGCATCGTACAGTGTTGCGTGCCGGAAGATGTGAGCGCTACCTCCTTCCCAGCCATGAGGTTGACGAGGGAGCTTTTGCCTGCCCCAGTCTCCCCAAAGAGCACGATGTTTTTAGTCCTCCTAATTTATCAAAATACGGCGCAAAGCGGCATCTGGTGACCAAGTACATACCTTGCGGGAGGGAGAGTAGTCCCTCTAAAATTCTCCGTCCCATTCTGCGGGCGACAATGCTCGAAAAGGTTGCAGACAGCGTGGTATGACTGTTCGCGACGCTGTCTGACCTCGTCTGTGTCACTTTCATTAATGGTCACCGCGGTAATACAGGCGTGACCAGAAAATTTCATCCCGAGGTCTGAGATCGATTTCTCGTTATCCGTCCACCACTGTTCCATTTCTGGCTTTCGGCCTTCCAGACCTGTAACGACAAGGACGATAGGCACCCCTCCCTTCACTTTGGAGCACAGTAACTTGTAGTTGCGCTCGAGCGCCTGGGCGTCCTTTGAGCCCAGCACGCAGTACATGAGAAGATGAATGCCCCGGTTCGCCTCAAGAGTTTTAAGGAGCTTTTTCAAAGCTATTTGAGCTTGCTCATTGGGGACTGTTCCCTCAGGTCCCTCATCCAAACCTGCAGTCTAGTTGAGTGACGCCCACAAATGGCGGCGAAATACACTGACCGACCGTGTCAAACAGTTGTACCTTTAACGTCTTGTTCTGAGTCACAGCATCATGCTCATATACGGTGGATTCAGTTGTACATCCCTTGGTGTCAGGCGACGTCGGAGACGCTTGCGTCCAAGTGATCAAGTTGACCAAGGAACTTTTACCAGCGCCTGTTTGTCCAAAAATGACAACATTACATGTGTCTGGGCGACGTGAAGCATCCTCGACTCGCCGGTGGTTGCGAACAGCTACACTCTCATCTGAGGTGCGTAACTGACTTCAAGTTAACTTCGTGCTGAAAAAGAGCCAGACACCACATACGGATACAGTAGACAATGTTCTCCCAAGAGACGGCGACATTGAAAAAATCGATCGAAACCAAGGAAAAGGGCACCTTGACTTGCGTTGATGGTGTTTTTGAGTATGGCCAATCTTACCTTTAGTTCCTGATTTGTTAGAATATGACGCGTCCAAGCGTGAGGCTCATTCGAAGACCGGCCCCGACACCTGGATTCAGTGCATGTTCCATGCATGCGAGAAAGGCATTGTGACAGTGGCGAATTGGCTAGTTTCATTGATTATGATTTAAAATGCGCATTGTTCAAGTGATCGGGACACTTCAATTGAGCTGTATATATATAGGATGCAATATTGCCATCTTTGCCTCATAAAGCCATATTTTTCATTTATTTGACGCTTTCTCACACAGCCAATATTAATGCTTAACGTTTGGCTGAAGGATTCGGGTTCTTCCTTCTATCTGCTGGTAGGCAGCGGGCTATACAGCTAAGTACGGACAAAATTCTCCCCGGGAATCGATTGGAGACTACTAATTATACTATGTACGCTTCCCATTAATGCACGACACGCTACTCACGAATCCGATGGAAGATCCAGGGCATGACAAATGCGCCTTCAATGAAGCTTGAAAACTTGACCCTCCTGGACCGTCCCACATCTGTCATTGACTGTCAATGCCTGATGAGAAGGAACGATTCGATTGGTCTGACTAGGGGACACAACTATACTCGGTCCCCGAACCCTGACGTTAACATTCATGGATTCAGAATTATGTAATTTAAAAACTAACTATGCCACCTATCGCAATGCCTTTCTCGCCTTGCATGGAACATGATGCTGAATCTAGGCGTCAGGATCGATCTTCGAATCTGGCGCCTGGAGGCGTTACGTTCCAACGAATCGGTGACTGTAAACAAGACCTACTATCTCTGGCCCGGTGTTGCAAAACTTTTGACCTGTTTTTTATAGCACAACAACTACACAACGTTAAAATGAGCCAAAAACACGAGCAGGTAGGATTCAGTACGTACTGTAATGCTATGAAAAAAAAAATAGAGAAATATGTCAATGCTACGTTGCCAGAGAGAAGCCGGTGCGAAACAGTGTTTGAGCACAGAGTTGCAAAATTTCTCACCCGCAAAGAAGTCGTCGCGTCACACCATGTCACACAGCCGCTTGTACTCTCCGATGCCGTCAAGCACAATTGAGCGAGAATGGGTCCCGAATTGTGTAAGTATTGGCCGAGTTGCCGAGCCGCGATTTATGACTCCGAACACAATCTCACACCTCCTGTCACGTCTTGCATCTCAATGGTACAACATTTGTGTCTCTCAACACCACTTACTTATCACGTCGGAAAAAATTAGAGCGATATTAGAAGGCAATGGGAAACCACTAGTGAAATTCCTGATTTTTTTAGTGCATGTGGTGGCTTCCCTCCGATGGATTGGCGTGGACAGTGCACATTCTCAGCAGTATTTCGCTGCCGCAAGCACTTCTAGTTCATTTTTCGTAGAATAAAAAATATGTACAGTAAGCTATGGATCAAACATCCCCTAGAATCATTGTGCTAAGGAAATAAGTGAAATATGAGTGTGCTACGTCGCGGTTTGCAACTCCGGGCCATTTTGCAACACCGGGCCAGAGATAGTATGGCACTCAAAAACACCGATAACGCCAGTCAAGACAACCTTTCGTTGTTTTCGATCTTTGCAATGTCACCATCCCCTGAGGGAGTCTCGTCCACCGTATGTAGTGTCTGACTTTCCCCCAGCATGAAGTTCACTTGAAGTCAGTTTCCTACCACAGATCAGAGTCCAGCTGACTACAGTGACCATCCAATCGATGGCGCCAAGGTCCCAGAAACAGGCTCTGTCAGTGGTAAGGGTTTCTTGGTCAACTCGACAGCCATGATGCAAACGGTGTCGATGTCCCTCAACGCAATATCGCCGTCTCCTGAGAAAGCACTCTCCACTGTATGTGGTATCCTGCTCATCCTCAGCATGAAGTTAACTTGACGTAAAATCAGATTTCAGCTAGCCATGGTGACCATCCAGTCGAGGATGGTGCCAAGGTTCCAGAAACAGGCGGTATCAGTACTGAGGACTCCTTGGTCAACTCAGTTTCTGTGGCGCAAACAGCGTCATTGCCTTCCGACGCAATGTCGCCGTCTCCTGGGCGTCGATTGTCCACCGTATGTGGTGTCTGGTTTTTCTCAACATGAAGTTAAATTAGAGTCAGGTTTCTATTCCAGACCAGAGCCCACCTGGCTACAGCGACGACCCACCCAAAGACGTTGCAGAAACAGGCACTGCCAGCGGTAAAGGTTCCTCGGTCAATCTAGCCGTTGTGACGCAACCAGCGCCAACGCTCCCTAACGCAACGTCCATAATATCCGTTCATAGTGTCTAGCTCTTCCTCAGCATGAAGTTAACTTGATGTAAATCAGAATTCAGCTGGCCACAGTGGCCATCTACTCGAGGTTGGTGACAGTGTTACACAAGCAGGCACCAGTAAACGTCACCGGCCTGGCTGGTCCAGTATGTCCTACTACTTCAACACAATGTCGCAATCTTTTGGGAGAACATCGTCCACCGTATGTGGTATCTGGCTCTTCCTCAGCATGACGTTAACTCAAAGTCAGTTCGACGCCTCAGCTCAGAATGCGGCTCTCCAAAATCATCGAAGAGTCAAGGATGCCTTGCGTCGCACAGACACATACAATGTTGTCATTTTTGGAGAAACAGGTGTCGGTAAAAGTTCGTTGGTCAACTTGATCGCCAGGACGCAAACGGCTCTGACGTCCCCCGACGCCAAGGGATGTACGACTGAAACCACCGTACACGGGCATAGTGTTGTGACTCAGAACCCAAAGGTACAACTGTTCGACACGCCAGGTCAGTGCAGTTTACCATTCTTCGCAGGTGTCACTGAACTAGACTGCAGGTTTTCATGAGCCCTCTCAGGGGACGGACACCACTACGCAGACGCAGATGGCTTTGAAGTATCTCCTCAAAACTCTCAAGAGGCAGCGGGGCATCCATCTCGTGATATACTGCGCGCAGGGCACAAAGGACGCCTCGTCGCTACAGCGCAACTACAGGTTATTGTACTCCAAAGTGAAGGAAAGAGTTCCTATCGTCCTCGTTGTTACAGGTCTGGAAGGCCAACAGCCAGAAATGGAACAGTGGTGGACGAATAACGAGAAATCCATCTCGGACCTCGGGATGACCTTTGCTGGCCACGCGTGTATTACCGCACTGACCATTAACGACCGTGATACAGATGAGCTTAGGCAGCGCCATGAACAGTCATACCACGCCGTCTGCAAGCTTATCGAGCAGCAGTACCCACAGAATGGGATTGGGGTCCCCACAAGCAGCGAAATTAGTACTATCTCTCCCGCAAGGTACGTACTCGGTCGCCACATGCGCTTTGCGCCATAAATTTTAAATGTCGATCAATTAGGAAGCCTAAAATTATCGTACTCTTTGGGGAGGCAGGTGCGGGCAAAAGCTCACTCGTCAACCTCATGGCAGGGAAGGACATAGCAGTCACATCTCTTAGCATGCAACGATGTACGTTGCACTGGCAGGAGTATGCCATCGAGTTCGATGGGGAGTCCTATAAGGTCTTCGATACCATTGGACTCGAGGAATCGGGACTTGAAATGAACGAGCACCTCGCGGCAGTCGCAAACGCATATACATTCATCAAGAGGTTGGATGCAGAAGGCGGCGTCGACCTCCTTCTGTCCTGCGTTCGCGCCGGCAGATTCACTGCTGCGCTTCATAGCAACTACCGGTTCTTTCATGATTTCCTCTGCCAGAAGAAGGTTCCAATTGTTCTTGCGATCACGAACCTCGAAAGAGAGCAGAGGATGGAGGACTGGTGGGATCGAGAACACGCCATCTTCCCTCGATATCAAATCTACGTCACTGGTCACGCGTGCATCACTGCCGCTAATGGATTGGACGGCAGGCACCGGCAACTTTATGATGATTCGCGCATCACGATCCGCAAACTTATCAGGGACAATATTGCTGGCGAGCACCGTCAAGTATGGGCAGGAGGGAACAATCTGTTCGTGTCGTTGGTGCGTGGGCTGAAGAACCTGGTTGTAAAAAATCAGCGTATCAGAAGGATGAATCTTACTAGTCAACTCACGAAGAGTTGCGGTATGTCTCGAGAAACAGCAGTACGGTTGGCTGATATGATCGAGCAAGGGGAGGTCAACGTAACTACTTGACTTGTATCTTGCGGTGTTCTTCTGTTTGCAGATCGTCCTTGTTGGATACATGACTAGACGTTTCTTGTTCCCGCTCCCTTATCACTGTGTACAGCAAAATCGATTACTTTTGTAACACTCAGATTCCCCTAATAATTTCACTCCCAATTTTGAATGTTCGGGATGGAATGCCTTCGAAGATCAACAAGTCGTTATGGCAGTGACGGATATGACCCTTTACACTTCCTTCAAAATGTCAAAGATCTAACCCATGATCGTGCTGCAAGAAGACAGCTGTAGTTTCTCGGAAACAGCGCACGATCGAGCCACCACAATCGAAGTTCATCACAGACCAAGCAACGGGAGAATACCGGGAGCAGGATCGATTTAACCCTTCTAGTGCCCATCTAGCTTGATTGACTTTATAAACTCTTTCTATAGATTGCAAATGTCTCAGAATGTCTCCCGTATCATGAAACAGGTCACGTGTACCAGAATTTTCGAAAGTCCCACCCAAAATTCGTGGAATTTGAAATTAGCGCCATGATGATAATCTGATATATCAATGACGGAAAACAGGCTTAGAATCTAATCACTGGTGTACATACTCAGATAAAGCAACTACCAGCTGCATGTTGCCGGCAGTCCTCGATTAGAATGTGACGCGTCCAGCAGCCAGATTCGAAGATTAATCCTGGAACCAGGATTCAGCATGTTCCATGCACGCGAGAAAAGCATTGCGATGGATGACGTAGTTTCTGAATTACATCAACGCATTACGGTCAGAGGACCCTGTTGCGCGACGATCCAAACTTGAGCTGTAGTGCTAGTAGTGACTCGTCCCGGGCAATATATTTGAAGATAGATCCCGATGCTTAGATCTAGTAAGTTTCATGCAGGCGAGAAAGCATCTTGCAATACAGATAGGTGGCGTAGTTAGTTCCTGAATCAATTCTGAATGCAACCATGAGGCCTGAGGCCTGAGGATTGTCTCGACTCGTTCCGACGTTTTGGGAATCGCGTTGAAACATGAAAACAAAGTTCCTTCACATTTACCGGCAATGCTCCTAAGAGATTCATATTTTCAGCATCCAGTTTTGTCAAAGCAGGCACACACCTGGTATATCCTGACACACCAAGGTAATGGAGGAGGGGAGGGGTGGCAGGGGAACCAATAGGTAGCCAATTGCAACTCACCTGTATACGACCCTCTATCAGGGAGAGAAAACTAGTGAGACGCTGAACGAAAGCCGCGACGATTATCAAAACGGACAACATTCAATAGCGAGATGCGTAGATACAACACTTAAATTATACCATATACATATTCAAACGGACGAGCATAAGACTGAGGCTGAAGAAGAGAAAAGGCTTCCGTGCGCACTGTGTTCTAGTATGGAATACTAGCTAGTGACGATAAGTAGTGAATATGAAAATGATGAAAATGTGATTATTAACTCTGTTCATGAATTCCCACAATCGAACTCAGAGACAACTCCGAGTCGGAGTCAACTCTCAGAACAAGTCAAACATGCCTTCAAGCCTGACCCGATAGCCTATCCGAGCGTACGTTGTGTTCGTCAATGCAGCAAGGCCTACCCAACTTGATACGACAGAACGACTACCTTCCTTCAATTGGTCTGGCTAAGGGAGACTTCTCGGAATCAGAGAGCCCGAAATTCGAATCCCTGAGGCCTGAGGAGGGTCGGACCAGAATCCTAGCTCATAATGGCTGCATTTAGAATTGATTAGGAAACTAACTACGTCACCTATAGCAATGCCTTTCTCGCATGCATGGACACGCTGAATCCAGTGCCAGGATCGATCTTCGAATCTGGCGCCTGGACGTGTCACGTTCTAACGATTTGGGGAGTACTGATGGCAAGACTGGTGGCACTCAAAAACACCGACAACGCAAATCAAGACACTCTTTTCACTGTTTTCGATATTTCCAATGTCCAAGTCGCTTATTGGGAGAGCATCGCCCACCGTACCCGTATGTGGTGTCTGGCTTTTCATTAGCACGAGTTAACTTGGGGTAAGTTTCCCACCTCAGGTCAAAGTTCATCTGGCCACGGTTACCCTCTACTCGAGGATGGCGTCATTGCTGGAGAGACGCAAATGGTGCCGATACCCCCCGACTCAATGTCATCGCCTGCTCAGGCTGGGACAGCATCGTCCGCCTCAGTCGTATGTAGTGTTTGGCTCTTCCTCAGCATGAATTAACTGGTTTAGGTCCATAACTCAGAACACCTTTCAGCTGGCCATACACCCAATGCTGACACTGTTGGAGATATAGGCGCCCGTAATAATAGCAGGCTCAAACTCTTCCTTAGGGGGCCACTGTCCCTCGACGAAAAGTCAGTCCCACCGCTCAGCTCCTAGTGCAGCTGGCCAAAACGATTATAGATTCGACTTAGCTTCACGTCGCACAGACACATTCAATGTTGTTATTTGTGGAGAAACAGGATCAGGTAAAAGTTCCTTGGTCAACTTGATCGCTGGGACGCAAACGGCGCCGACGTCCTCCGATATCACGGGATGTACAACTGCAACCACCGTATACGAGCACGATGTTGTGACTCAGGATGAGACCGTAAAGGTACAGCTGTTTGACACGGCCGGTCAGTGCAGTTGGCCATTCTTCGTGGGCATCACTGAACTTGAGTACAGGCCTTGGTGAGGACTCTGAGGGAACGGTCCCCAATAAGCTAGCTCAAAATATTTTGAAGAAGCATCTTAAGACTCTTACGAAGAAAGGGGCCATTCACCTTCTCATGTACTGTGTGCAGCGCACGGGCGACATTGGGGCGCTCCAGCGCAACTGCAAGTCATTGCACTCTGCAGTGAAGGGACGAGTTCCTATCATCCTCGTCGTTACAGGCCTGGAAGGCCAGCAGCCAGAAATGGAAGAGTGGTGGACGAATAACGAGAAAACCATCTCAGACCTCGGGATGACCTTTGCTGGCCACGCGTGTATTACCGCGCTGACCATCAACGAGGATGATACAGATGAGCTCAGGCAGCGCCGCGAACAGTCATACCGTGCCGTCTACGACCTTATCAAGCGGCAGTACACGCAGAATGGAATGGGGGTCCCCACTGGCAGCGAGATTACTCCCGCAAGGTACGTAGTTAGCTAGATGCGCTTTGCGCCATATCTGCTAAACGTCGATCAATTAGGAAGCACAAAAATATCGTGCTCTTTGGGGAGGCGGGTGCAGGTAAAAGTTCACTCGTCAACCTCATGGCAGGGTCGGAGATAGCGGTCACGTCGCTTAGCATGCAACGATGTACGTTGGATTGGCAAGAGCACGCCATCGAGTTCGATGGGAAGCCCTATAAGGTCTTCGATACCATTGGACTCGAGGAATCGGGACTGGAAATGAACGAGTACCTCGCGGCAGTCGCAAACGCATATACGTTCATCAAGAGGTTGGATGCAGAAGGCGGCGTCGACCTCCTTCTGTTCTGCGTTCGCGCCGGCAGATTCACTGCTGCGCTTCAGAGCAACTACCGGTTCTTTCACGATTTCCTCTGCCAGAAGAAGGTTCCGATTGTTATTGCGATCACGAACCTCGAAAGAGAGCAGAGGATGGAGGACTGGTGGGACCGAGAACACGCCATCTTCCCCCGATATGAAATACATGTCGCTGGTCATGCGTGCCTTACCGCCGCCAATGGATTGGATGGCAGGCACCAGCAACTTTATGAAGAATCGCGCATCGCGATCCGCAAGCTTGTCAAGGACAATATCGCTGGCGAGCACCGTCAAGTATGGACAGGAGGGAACAATCTGTTTGTGTCGTTGGTGCGTGGGCTGAAGAACCTGATTGTAAAGAATCAGCGTGTGCGAAGGATGAATATTACTGGTCAACTCACAAAGAGTTGCGGTATGTCTCGAGAAACGGCAGTACTGTTGGCTGATATGATTGCGAAAGGAGAGGTCAACGAAACAGCTTGACTTGTGTCTTGTTGTGCACTTCTGCTTGCAGATCGTTTGATGCATGTCATATGTAACTAAATTGTTTCTCATTCCCACCCCCTTATCGTTGATACAAAAATCGATTACTTATGTCTAGCGAGAAGCACCCTAATGATAACTCTCCCAAATGTGCGTGAGTGTAGAAGCAGCATTCCATATGATGAAATTACAGTTCGACGTTCACAACAGCTCAGCAGACTTTGACAACTGGAGTCAATTGACAGCGTGAAGCTAAGTGGAAATGTGCGACTCCGATGAAGGCACCAGGCCACCAGATGTCGTCAGTCTGCAGTTGATAAACAGTTTGTGTGACTGTTCATGTTTCTGGATTTGCTGTTATTTGCGCGTCGAGGCGGTGTTCACTTGAGGACAGAGTGCGCAGGCACAACGTCTGGTTGCTCGGGGTGGAACAGAGAAAATTATTGTCCAGACAATGGGACGCGTTGTGTGGAGGTTAATTGCTGTTTCCGCTGCTTTGCCAGACCCTCGCCTTGTTGCAAGATTCTGCGAAAGTATCATGACTGGTCATGGATGTCGAAAATATAGTGAGAACTCACCGGCAACAACCACATACTCTGGAAAATAGTTCGAAACGATTAAATCGAAACGCTGGGAGAGGGAGTGCAATACTGACAACGGATTGTTACGAACATAACGCAGCAGGGTGCTCCGTCAGTTCGCCATTATACAATAATAATAAAAGTACACCGCACCGCATCGACCTCAAGCTAGCTGAATGAAATCTAGTCAGCCGGTGGTTTATTCCGCCCCTGACACCTCTTTGAGCTCTCGATAAGGTGATCTGGTCTTCACCTTGGCCTGTGTATGCTCACCAACATGTTCTACTGACAGCGGGTATGCGCCATGGCTGTGTAGAGAATCACGCTTTGAGGCTCGAAGGTATTTCACCAACACGTCCGTCAGAATGTAGCAGTAGCAACGATGCAAAGCACGCCCATAAAATCTGATCTTGAAGTGCCAGTGAGTGAGGGCATCCAGGAAATGGACACTCTGGGGCCAAAGTCCGGGGCGGACTCTGGGGCCAGAGTCTGGGGCGCGTGGTTGTTTCAGTCGGAGCTTGAATATCTTGCGGTTGACATATGTACCACATAAGCAAATGTATGGCGGAGCGCTGCACTCAGGTGGGATGATGCGCCCATTGACATCATGGTTCACACATACTTCAAGGTGGCAAGCACGGGAATCAATGAATATTGCTACATAGGGCAAGTATGTAGGTGGCTCAGCACTGACAGATCAAGGTTTGTGCCCACTCAAATGGCCGAAGGTCAACAGTGGTCCAGCCGATGCCAGGAGAAATCGTTTGTAGGGTTTGTGCTATTAGTTGCAAGGCAGCTTCATTGGCCTGGACCTGCGCATAGATTTGCGTGAAATATTGCTGTAGTAGCGAGAGACGACAAGATCTCCCCAAGGAGGCTGCTGTAGATTGGAGTGACGGCAATGCCGATCATGACTTCATGACGAGCCTATAGACATAGGTTTAGCGGCCGTGTGGCATGCGTAGGTTGACGCTACACACAGTAGTATAGTGGACAGTGCTAGTGAGGTGCCAGTTTGCCTCGCGGCAGCCAGTTTGTCAGTAGTGTTCGTCTCAACTAGGGAATATGAATGCTCAAAGATGCAACACGCACAAAGGGGTGACTTACCGACAAGAGCCAACCAAACTCGTTCATTGATGACCGCCTGCATCACGTCCTTGTAGTTCGCAAATATGGTAGGGTCGACTTGGCTCCAGCCCAACCGAGGTCCTGGCGTAGTATTGAATATTGTTGTTGATGGCTACCCATAGTGCAAGTCCAATGGCGTTGTTATCGTGATCGATGAACCAAGCGGCAAGATCGCTTGTTAGTCAGAATATGCTAGTGCAGCCCTAGCCAGTACCTGCAAATAGTACCTGTCATGATGCAAGGCTTCGTGAGCGATGAAATTTAACCTCAGCTGGTCTCTGCCGGACTTGCCGATGGGCCCCATACTCTGGCCCCAGAGTCCGCCCCAGACTTTGGCCCCAGAGTGTCCAATTCCCTGACTTTCTGCAGTGAGTGGTCATTTACTGTTCGGGATTCGGACACTGTTTTGGGAAATTTGCCGCCACCGACGGTGGGAAATTTACGGCATTCCATCGCCTTCGAAGGTCAGCAAGTCGTTCTGGCGGTGACGGATATGGCCCTTCATACTCTCTTCAGCTAGCGCTGAACGCCACTTAACGGTCGAAATGTCAGAGATTCAACCCATGATCGCGCCGCAGGAGGACGGCTCTGGTAGTGTCCCAGAAACAGCGCACGAGCCACCACAGCCGACGCCCATCACAGACCAAGAGGTGGGAGAGTACCGGGAGCAGGATCGATTCCTACCAGTGCGCACTACTACCGTCCGTCTGGCTTGATTTGCTTGCTAACCTTTTCCGATAGATCGCAAATGTCTCCCGTATCATGAAACAGTCCGTTCCACACACTGCTAAAATCGCCAAGGATGCCAAGGAGTGCGTTCAGGAATGTGTTTCAGAGTTCATAAGTTTCATTACTTCTGAGGCCGCTGAGAAATGTCAAATGGAGAAGCGGAAAACCATCGGAGGCGAGGATATTTTGTACGCCATGGTGTCTCTAGGGTTTGAGAACTACGCAGAAACACTGAAGATTCATCTAGCAAAATTGAGACAGGTGCGTATCTTCCGTAACATGCTTGATCATGGTTTAAACTTTAAAACTTGTGCCAGCACCAAGCAGGATCCTCGTCGAACCCGCGACAAGAACATAGAGAAGATTGATTCTACTTTCTTGTACCCTGTACTATTCGTGTACCACTGTATCAACTGCTTTCGCAATGCGTACATTTTGCCTCTAATCATTATGATACTCGTTCAGCCAGTGATTTTGTCTGCTTGCCATGCTCATTGATCGCTCATCAATTGGCCCAACTTGACTTTGGGCACCTGGCAGCATTGCCCCCAAACTCCCGGGCTTAATGTGGTGTCTTGGGCCACATTTCATGAACACGCTGATAGCATATATACACGGCGTCATTTAGAAATTAATACCACGGTTTTCCTTGTCAAACGGTTATCTGAGTCTGAGCCTCTGAGGTGACGGAATAAACGTCTCGGCAAATTCCGTGCCAAACTCCGACACATCATTCTCAACTATACGACAGCGTCAACGACGTCGACGAACACCCTCAAATAACTCCCCATGACTGTAAGTCGCCGTTCTTTTGTCTCTGAACCCTTGATCAAGGATTCCGCCGCTTCCGATATTATTTTTGATGAAAACTGATCGAGTTTGAGATGGATGGAGGTGGCGCATATCCGATGTAGTCAATGGCATTCATTGGTGGAACACCCATGTCATATCGATCGTTGTCTCTCGATGCTCGATTGACTGAAATTCTGATATTCCTATTCAATTCTAGGACTCAACTTTCAAGCGTTTCGTCGAGGTTGGACGAGGTACGATTGTTTTAGACTTGTACCGCGCTGAATGAGCTAAAGTGTCAACAGTGGTCCTTCTCAAATCTGGCCCATCTGAAGGCAAGATCGCTGTCATTGCTGAGATCATAGACCACAACCGGGTGCGTATAATGGTATCATGTGTCAGAAACTCAGCTGATCTCATATTGTCCTGCCAACGTATAGGCAATCATCGATGGCCCAACCACTGGTGTCCCGCGCCAATCCTTCCCCTACTGCCACCTTACCCTCACCCCTCTTACCCTAACAAAACTTCCTCGTGGCGCAGGGTCTGGTGTCATCCGCAAGCAGGTGGAGAAGGAGGGTCTCGTTGCCAAGTGGGAGTCCTCGTCATGGGCTAAGAAGCGTGCTGCCATGGAGAAGAGACGGTCACTGAACGACTTTGAGCGATTCAGCGTGATGGTTGCAAAGAAGCAGCGGAGAGACGTTGTCAGGAAGACCCTGGCAAAAGCTGCATAGAGGATGCTGGCGCTCTATGGATACAAAATATTGGACATCTTGGTAGGATGTCGCGTCGCTGCATGATTCACACTTCTCTTACATCTGTTATGCCTACCATGCCTACCATGATATATGCATGCACCACATCCACGCTATATTGTTAATCATTCGCCGCGAAGTAAGATCTGCTATTATCAACTAGTTGGCTTCTCCTGGGATTGAGTGATACCCCTTTTTGCTCTTTCGACCGTGGCTTCTGCTTCCACCTCTATTAGAGCAGCTGATGCCCAGCTATGAAACCCCCCCTTGTCAAATGCTTCCCTAAGGCGGTTCTCTGCTTCATGCCAATTCCATTCTACAGGTTCAGAAGCAGGGTTTTCCGTCAGTGCGGAATCATTACCGTCTTGGCGAGTTTCAGCTGGACGATATATTCGGTATGAGAGTACGGGTAATTTGGTCAGCACTGCATGGCGCAGACGTTCCGCAAACTCGTTGGTCTATAGGAAAAGTTGCTTGAGTTCCAGAAGGAAACGCATGAGATGCAAAGACTCACATCACGCGCATCGAGAGCTTTCATTACTCCCCAGATAGAAGCTGTCGCGCCCAGTGTCACAATAGCAGTGGCAATACCGAATGCTTTGAGGGTGTACAGAGGACTGTTGAAAAATTGTTCAACATCGTCTTTGTTCGATACGGGTACTTTCGGAGGCGAAGGATGAGCTTGAACCTCCCTCGGGACTGGTTGTGAGGCCCGTCGGAATCGTATTGGGGGAGAATGTGAAGGGAGAGGCAGGGTTGATTGTCCTCGGCCCCTCCGAGGAGGCGCAGTAGCTTCCTGAAGATTCTGAGGAACAACACCGCGCCTATACCATCGTAGCATGACTATTGGTGCTACAAGGGCTACAGACGAAAAGGCTAGCTGTAATTACCAGTACCGTATATAAACTGCGAGTCCATGCAATTGATTTAATGTGACCGGGCCACTCACCAATGTCACTGGAACCCATTTCGGAACTTGGTGATTAGTGCCGAAGATATTTGTTCGTAGAACATCGAACCGTTCTTCCTTTGCATCGTCAGAAGACGTTGTTCGTCGCGTCATTCGCGATGATAAAATATGTCACAAGGCAAGAGAAAGTCTGAGAGAAGGATCACGTGGTGTCATCTCGATTCTTGACATACACATATATTGTACAATTTGTAATTGATAGATCTACATACTTCAACTACTCCTACGAATTTGCACCGAATCATCGCGCTGGCCACGCGCAAACGCTCGAGTTGACTACCATCCAAGGTCATAAGTAACACTCATATTCGCTTGTAGGTGTTCATGATAGCATTCATACATAGCTGCTGAGCAACAATTTTATTTAGTCACGCACTGATTGCATTCACCGACCTATCGTTTTTGGCTCGTCTCATCATTGACAGCTCGGCGCACCATGTCTGATCCACGATTCGCGCGGTTGAAGACCGACCCCCGTTTCCGACGCCCCAAGAAACACAATTCAAAAGTTGTCGTTGATGAGCGGTTTAAAGGAATTTTTGACGAAGACAAGGCGGGAAAGACAAATTCGAAACAAAAGGGCAAAGGAAAGGAAAAACTAGGTGCGTTTCAAGCTTTGTCATTTACTGGTCTTCACCTCGCATTGTGGCTACAGGCAGAGTGGATAAATTCGGTCGTAAAATTTCAGAAACTCATGAGAAGGACAACCTCAGGCGGTTTTATCGGCTGGAACATGAAAATGAAGAGACGGAGCCTCCAACTTCAACGATAACTGACTACGCTCGTGGTGGCGTCCTTATGGAGTCCTCTTCCGAATCAGAGGCAGAAGGCCAGGGTGCAGGTGACTCTGACGATGAGAGCGATGACCCTGGATTTGTCACGTTAGGGAGAGGCCTTGATGAAGAAGGCGAGATCGACCTTGATGAGAGCACCTTTGCCGTTCTGGACGCACAAGCTGCTGCATATGCGAGGACAGCTCCGGAGGACAACAGTAAAGAAGCTACAGAGAAGACCAGAAGACTAGCCGTTGTCAATCTTGATTGGGACCATGTCCGTGCAGCGCATCTGTACAAAATATTTTCGTCACTCGTTTCACCAGCTGCGCCTGCTGCCCTTCCAGCATCTGTGCCAATGCAACCCGACGGCGAGAAGTTTGTCAAGAACACGAGAACCGCAAAGACAACAGTTGCAAGAGGGAAGGTGCTGAGCGTCCGCGTCTATCCAAGCGAGTTCGGGAAAGAGCGTATCGCAAGGGAGGAGAAGGAGGGACCGCCTGTAGAGGTGTTCAAAAAGAAAATAGAAAACGAAGAGGATGTCAATGAACGGACGATTCACGAAACCGGAGACGGAGCGGACTATGACGAAGACGCTCTGAGAAAGTATCAGTTGGAGAGATTACGGTGCGCCATCTCCTCAAATGTTTCTGACGTAGTATTTAACGAAATGCTGATAGGTATTATTACGCAATTGTTGAATGCGATACCGTCGAAGCTGCTGTGCACATCTACAACGAACTCGAAGGTACTGAGCTTGAGCGTTCAGCAAACGTGTTCGATCTCAGTTTTGTTCCCGATGAGATGGCATTCGATGAAGAAAACCGGTGAGTCCACTTTGACATCACACGTGGTCATTCTTTCTGATCAGGGCCATGTACAGCGACGAGGCGACGGATGATCCTGGAACACGATACCGAGCAGTAGAGTTCGTGACAGATGTAGGTGAATTTCACCGTTATTCTTTATTACTCATTCATTTCGCGCTTTTAGGCTCTCCGTCATTCAAAAGTCAAGCTCACTTGGGACGATGATGATCCGGAGCGCAATCACATTACTAGACGACCCCTAAGTAAGAAGGAGATTGAAGAAGCTGACTTCAGGGCTTATATCGCATCCTCATCTTCTGAGTCCGATAATGATCCAGATCCTGTGTCGAAGAAGAAGAGCCAGAAGAACGCCCAAAGAGACAAGCTTCGCACACTACTTCTTGCCGGAGATGATGACGAACTTCCAGAAGGGTGGGGCCGTGATGACGACGCAGGACAACACGACGATGTAGACATGGAGATCACGTTCACCCCTGGTCTCACTGAGGCCCAAAATCCCGAGGACGAGACGACGATGGAGGCTTATCAGAGAAAGATGAGGGAGAAGCGTAAAAAGAGAAAGGAAGAGGTCAAAGCGAAAGCCACGACAGTCGCAGATAATGAAGGAGGGGAACAGGCTAGGAAAAAGGTCTCTTTCGAAGACGACTTCTTCGAGGGTGCAAGTGGGGGTGAAGTTGAGTCCGAGGCAGAGAAGGCATCGAGGCCGGCGAAGCGGGCGTCCAGCATACGGGACGCCGACAAGCCAGCGCCACGCCAAGAGATGAAGTCGGACACCATGGCAGAGAAGAAAGGCAAAAAGAAATGGGGCAAAAAGAAAGCGATTGATAATGACGATGACATCCAGGACGAGTTCGTTATCGACGTCAAAGATGACCGGTTCAAAGCAATCCACGAAGATCATCGATTCGCTATCGATCCCAGCAATCCTCAGTTAGTGCCTGTTGTTTATGTTATCACACGATGCTGATATGTTCACAGCTTCAAAAAGACGAAAAGCATGGTGGCACTTATTGATGAACGAGCTAAGCGCCAAAAAAAGAGTCACCCTGAAGATGAGACAAACGTACGGATCCCCGCAAAGGTGGATGACACCAGCCTCAAGAACCTCGTTGAGAGCGTCAAACGAAAAAGCGCAGCGGCTGATAAGGGCGGATTTGGGAAGCGGCGCAAGCTATAGGTTTGTCCTCGGTCTGTCGGTGAGAGGCATACGACGAGTACTTGGCGTCATGCTGCTTATTCTTATATGGTTGTGGTCATTGCATGGGCATGAAAAGACCGTCAATCTAGGGGGAACAACTTGATCTGCAACAGGGAGTCTCCGTCGATAGAATTCTTATAGAAAACCTCTACTCGTGCTCTTCATCCCAGCGAAGGTCTCAACGGACGACTTCTCTGAATTTTACTTGTTTTGCATCCGCTCATGTTATGCTCATGGATATCTCAGGCAATCCGGTGACAATATAAATCAGATCTGTGCACATTCCATGCAGCGCACTTCCGACGGCTTCCCGGAGGTGTCGAGCGTTGAATCAGCGAGAAATAAGTGCTCTTTACTATACTTCTTCACGGACAAGCCTCTCGAGTTCTTCGTACAAACTCTCGACATGGCTCATGATGGTAACCTCAAAAGTCCGCCATGAGAAAACGAGCGTACTTGTCATCGACTCTCGTATTCAATCCAATGCCGTACTGATGCCTACGCTCCTCTATGATTGCTGCCTTGAAGGGGACGCGCTGATCATTTTTTTGGGCTCCCTCCGTCAGTACTTCAGCAGTCAAAATCAAATGTGTCTCGAGATGCATGATGAGTATAAAATACATGCGTGCCAGCACACGGTTCTAGAATCTAAGTAGATACATGAGCTAGCAGGATAAAATACAGGCCAATGCCGATTGTTTATATACAAATGTACTCGCCAAAATTAGTGCAAATCCAGTGTTCTCTTGCGGAATCATCGACCGAATCGTCCAAAACATCTACAGTCACCCCCATCTAATCATCCACCGTCTCTCCCAGCCCGTCCATTTATCCAAATCCATCTTCTCCACCAAGCTCTACTACATCCCAGCCATCTTCCTCCTCCACAATACGTTCGCTCCTCGTTCTGCCGATGCCAGGTTCTTGCGCTGAACGTCCCGGCCGTATTCGTGCTGCTCGAGCAGGACTAGCGGCAGTAGCTTGGAGGACCTGGGCAAAGTCAAGCGTGAACGATGCAGGGGTTGGAGGCAAGAGGAGCGGGACAGTAGAGTGCGACCGACTGTAATGGGTGATCACAATGTCAATCAGAGAACGTCCATGTTGGTTGACAGAACGAATAAACGACGATGACGAAGCGGGAATAAAGCGCCAGTAACTCACCGCCCAAGTTCTCCGCTACAACATACAGCCCACAAATTACTCAATGCATCACCTGCCTGAGACAACGGAATATCGACACCTTGGGTATGAGCGAGGTAGCATACGTTGTAGAGAAGCATCGCAAGCCCCGTCGTGAACGATTGGTTTTGGCTGTGTGCTGGCCCTTGTTCTGGAGCTTCAGAGTCGGCCAACGAGGTGAGTGGAGTACGGGACGGCGAGGAGGATGGAGAAGATGGTGTAGAGGGAGGATTTGAGGTGAGGTGCAAAGGGTGTTTAGCCGTCCATCTATGACGAGAGAATGGTGAGTGAAAAAGGTCAGTCAGAAATACGATAAGTGACGGAAGTTAACGCACTTTGCCCAGGATTCACTCCCTCGTCCTGCTCCGATCCAAGGCATACCAACACCGAGTCTTCTGCAAGACCACGAAATTTCAAAAGGGAGTTTGATGCCTAGGTAGAAAGTAAGAAGTCCCAGAAAGTGGATGGTATAAGTTATCACGGCGTTGATGTGATCCGGTGGGTATCCTATGATACGTCCTATATAGTCAAATTCTTGGTGTAGTAAGCAATTATAACGTACGTCTAACATCTCCCGGTACTGGAAGAACTAGTCCACCAATAGTCCACTCTCCCCTAGCGCCTGGCCGTCCGCCTACTGCAGGCCGTCCGCCGGATTCGACAACGTGAAAGACCTCCACGAGCTCTTGTACAAGGCCCGAACGTGCTCTAGCAATCGTTTGGCTCAGCACAGAGAGTTCCTGAGACTCCTTGGCAAGCGTTTGCGATTGGGGTGGAAGGAGGCGTGCGGCGTTAAGTGTGCGTCTGCGCTGAGCAAGGGTCTCTCGTAGGGTACGGAGGCGGTCGCGCTCTAGACAGATTAGAACAGTACATATGAGCAAGGGCAAGACACGTACTGCTCTCGCAGTCTCTTCTCACTTTGGCATGATCATCTGCTAATTGATCGAGGCTGTGGTCGGCTCGTGCAATCTTTGCACGAAGGAGACGACCAGGTTCGATAGATTTGAATGCTCGAGACGCACGAGCAATATGCTCAACTTTGTCCGAGGAAAAATGGTGAGTTTGAAGGCGGAAATCGCGTAGACTGTATGTCAGGCAAGGTCAGCGCGGGCTGCATATCATGAAAGGTGTTTTGCGTACTGGTTTTTGAGACAGTTTGCACAATAGTACTGACGTTGTCTCAGCTCACAGTTCTTGCACTCCATCGCATCTTCAGAAGGTTCAAGAAGGGCCCTGTAACGGTATTGAGCTGAAGCTTTGAAGTGGGCGAGCGGCTGCAAAGTACTGGATGACGTAAGTTATTTTTAATAGGTCACCGTAGTCACCCAAATGAAAACTGTTTAGGAACATACTGTTCACCGGCTTCGCTCACCTGAATAGATTTACCGTGCCATCTGTGGCAAAATGGACGAACCAACAAATGGACTACCAGCTGCAGTGGGCGACACTTTTGTTGGTCTAGCCGCTGCTCACTAAAAGATGCCGGCTCTGACTCGGAATCGTTCAATGACAGACGTTGATACTGCTGCCCATTGACAGGTAATAGGTATCGTATAGATTCGATTGTCGTTTTGTGCAGCTATTTGCTCATTCTGGCTAGATCTCGTTCCAGATCGCAGTCACCCTCTTTGCCACTCGTTGTATCGTCCGCTGCATTTAACTATGCTATGTCTCATATTGGATCTGAATCCGACCCGTCATGCTCTCGCAAACCGTCACTGGTATTTCCAGAACGCTCTCGATGCTCTCACCGTAGCCTATCAGCTCAGTCAGTCTCATATAGCATTGTTCGGATTTTTCTGTGTGCCGTTTTCAGCGGTTTGTATTATTTTAACTAACTTACGAAATAGACTTAAGTCAACATTTTGCCTTAGTGTGCTAAATGGGTAGCAAACATCGCAGGACGCTCTGGGACTTGCATTTCCTCTTCAACCTTGGTGTGGGCCATCTTTCTTAGCGCTTAGTATAATTATATACACGTACAGCATGACCTGAGCCCCCGTCTCTTCTCCTTTCCCTCTCAGCCGAACTCCATCGACAGTCCCCATGCCCTTACCCCGTCTTCTCCTACCAACCATTCTACCTGGCACTGAGTCTATCCTCGATCGGTTTCCTTTATCGCACCATCATGGCCTGTGGCGTAGCAAGCCAATCTATCAACCTTGAAGGTAGGTTATTCCGTAATACCTTTGTATCTGTGTTGTGATACTCACGCTCTGTCCTCAGTCATCAGCGGAAAAAAAAAGTTCCCTCCTGGCGCGTATTTGTTGGCATTGACGTATCCATCAATATCGACTCAGGGAGACGCTGGAAATCAGCCAGCAGTGTCTTATCATCCGACGAATCTGTAGCGTGGGGAGATATCCTGACCCTGTAAAATCTATGGAAACTTTCGGACGTGATTCGAGACTGATCTTCGGGTTATATATCATCACAGGCGTCAACTTCATTGTCAGTGGAGATCAGGGCGTTCTATAAGGTCGATCGAACGTTAGGCAGTGAAGAAGCCATCGGAGAACGTCAAAAATCGTTGGATGAGCTCCTCGATCATGGAGATGAGCCATTCGGTGAGTGATTTGCTCTTTATTCATGCATATCTACTAAGATATCATAGAACTGTCCGTCCCACCCGTTCGTGGTGTCTAACCTTCCCTCACGCTGAAGGCCGCTGTTATACATGTTTGCGACAACCAGGACGGTGCACTGCTTGATGTGAGTTGATGCTGGCCTTTGCTGTCAGCTTTTGCTGACTGAATGTCAACTGTAGTCCCTCGTAGACTTCGAGAACGGATGTGGGCCACACACGATTTGCCGAATACATGACGAGCGAGACAGTCTTTCACCTGAACAATGTTGTAGAACATTTGCAGTTGGTTCTGGACCAGTGTCCGGTCGACCATCCTGACCACGCAGCGCCTCTCACCAACCTCGTGTGTGCCCGCCTTCAAGGTTATATTCGAAAGGATCTTCAAGACATTGATACCACCATTATATAGGGATATTGTAAATGGGTTCGGTTAAAAGTATGGTTATGTTACCCCCCAAGGCCCAAAACCAAAAACGTGTGTGTGTTCTATAGAAATTTAGTAACATATAGACAATAAAACTATCAACATAAATGATACATGAACCCTATATACGGCTAATATTTACACATAGGTACGAAGAAACACTCAGTGATGATGGACAACACGAGAGTTAATGATTAATATTTTGTATTGATATCTACGTAGATGTCAATAGAGGTCCGCAGATAGGCCTATCATGAACAGCGGACCATAATGGAAATCGACACAGACAATATATGAACATAGTATTATGTACACACACAAAAGTATTGTATAGATACACACACAAAATGAAAATTGACATAGACAATATAGTAACATAGTAACATAGTGTGTATAGATACACACACAAGTATGTATAGGTCCGCGGATTGACCTTTGAACAACGGCGGACGTGCCGTGGGCAAGGTGATGGTATGTTATCAGACGATCTATTGTAATTTATCAGCGTCCCCCTGCTTTCTGACTCCTCTTTCCCCTTCCGTGCCCTTCATTTCCTCGAGGCTTCTGAATTTCCGTGATCCGTCACGTGGTATCAGCACGTGACGGTCGCGGACATGAAGAAGCCCTCGAGGAAATGAAGGGCACGGAAGGGGAAGGGGAGTCAGAAAGCAGGGGGGCGCTGATAAATTACAATAGATCGTCTGATAACATACCATCACCTTGCCCTACCTTGTATACAAGTCTGTGAAGAAGATGCCGCCGAAAAAAAGCAAAGGAGGAGGAGAGAATACGAAGGTAAGTGCGGATCATTAAAGAATTCGAAGAAAAGACTCACTGATAGTGTTTTAAATATTGAATTGGATCAGGCTGATGGGGCGTCTGTCTTGCATATGAACAACCGACCG